TTGTGTACAATGGAAGAGATTTCTACTGTCATATATAACTGATTAAAACTAATAAATAAATTTAAAAATACAAAAGGGTTAAAATAAACAAAATTTTTGTGGATACTTTTTCTTTTTTCATTTCTTAAAAGAATTAACTAAGTGATTAAGTTGCTACTATTGTGACTAGGATATCAAGGAGGGGAGATGTAACAAAACCATTCTAAGAAAAGAATAGTGCGGAAGAGATGGTGCTTGTGAAATATACACAAAAGCAGTCCAGGGAACGCATACATTATTGGTAGGACTTTGTATTGATGCAACCACTATGGAAAATGTCCTCAAGATTTCCCAAAAATACTAAGAAAGGAACCACCATTTAACCCAGTTCTCTCACTCCTTGGTATATATCCAAATAATTTAAAATCAGCAGACTACAGTGTCACACCACACAATATTTAGAGCAGTTCAATTGAAAATAAATAAGATATGGAACCAATATAGGGGCCCTTCAACAGGTGAATGTATAAAGAAAATGTGGTGTATACAAACACAGTGGTGTGTATCTCACCCGTACAGAAGAATCCCTTTAGGACATTTGCCAGTGAATGGATGACTGGATGTGGAGACTATGATGCTAGGAGAAATATGACAATCCCCCAAACCAAGGTCAAATGTTTTCCCTGATATGTGGAGGCTAACCCACCATAAAGGTGCAGGGGAGAAGAATACAAGTTCAGTGGAGTAGACAGTGGAATGAAGGAAAGGAGGGGGTGGAACAATAAAAGACAGTGGAATGAATCTGACATAACTTTGCTACATACATATATGAATACGTGAAATGACTTTTTTAAAAAAAGTATGAGAAAATGGCAGAAAGCAGTAAAGAAAGCAAGGTTTAGGGAGAGGAAAGGGGAAGGGGAGGCACTGGGGACTGAATAGAGCAAGATATAATCCATGGTTTTATATTTATTGAAAATGGATTCTACTATAATGAATAACTAAAAAGAACCAATTTTTAAAAGTCCAAAGACTTTATAAAAATAGATAATTTCGAAATGAAACACAGGCTGCAGAGGGGTCTATGGTGGTAGTATGGGCATGCCACAAGAGGCAGTGTCTTTTCAGCAAAAGCCAGAGAGCAGCTTCTTGACAAGCACTTGAACCTCAGTCAAAGCCCACCCACACCCTGCCACCCTCATTATGAGGAAGTGGGAGAGGGGCTCATCTAGGAGTCTTTGGCATTACAACCTGTGCACCTGCAGACCCAGTGGAGCCTGCACATTTAATGTAGTCTGAACAGGGATGCGCCTGTCCCAGAGGCCTAAACTCACCTTTAGAGCTCTAAGGTGACCTATGACTGGGCTCACTGTTTACTTCTATGTTTCAGTTCCACCCTTAACACTTCTTCTGGACGTCTGACCCCAGAGAGTGAGGCTTGAATCCACAGGCAGCCTGCTCTGTTGCCCTGGTTTTGGAGGAGAGGGGTGATTAGAGATTCCTCATCCATCCCGATCCTCTGAGGAAAATAAATCCTCTTCTGCTTTCTGAAAACACCTGGAGCCAGGGACCCTAGGCAGGAAAATACAAAGATGTTGACTTTCCCACCCAGACTCATAGGGGAAGAAATACTGCAAAAAGCAGGACCCTGGGTTTCCCCCTTGAAAGGCTGAGCAAAGGACTTCAGGGCCATTCAGTGCTAGAAGAACAGGGAGAGGAGCGGCTCAGGCTCAGGAGAGGCATGAAGGAGAGTGGGGCCTCAAGGCCCAGCTCCCTGAGGGGTGGGCTTTATCCATGTCCCTCTCCTCCTGATGGCTGATCCAGCTCTCTTGTACCTCCTCCACACCATGCAAATATCATGACGAGCCCCGCTATTCCCCACCAGGCCATCACAACAGGCTGGTGGGCACAGGCCAACGGGACAGCAGCCTGCTTGCCGGGAATGCTCCTGGCCATGTAGTTCTCACAGTAGGGTGTTTATCTGTCTCGTGTCTAGTGTGGCAAACCCTCGTCTACCATGTTCTTGGAATTCTACTGTCCACTGACGATAGAAGCAGGACAGACACTCTTCCCCAAGTGGTGATTGATCACAGCCTGGAGCACAGCCCAGGGGTCCAGATCATCCTTCCCAGCGGGTAACTATGACTGGCTGAAGAGCCTCCACCCACTCCAGGAACTCCACGTATTCCATCCTCTCCTGCAGGTTTGAAAGTTGGAATTGGCCCTGCAGATTGCACAAATGTATGATGGATGTCTTGCTCCGACTGATGTCTTCTGCAGATCTGCCGTGCATGTCTGCTGCTGCTGTACATGAAACACAGGTGTTTCATGCAGTCATTGTTTGGCAACTCATCTTTGAGCATCTACAGGATCATATACAGTTTCTTTTCAGACTCCATGAACAATAGTGGACAGGGCCTTTGTACCCATCCTCCTGTGAGCTGGTTACAGCATACTCAAGTCCTCATCACCGAAACCCAGGTCCTTTCTAATGTTTGGGGCAGATTTCCTCTTCACAAGGCTCCACCCCCTGATGCCTCCACACAGTGCCCCTCAGTAAATGCTCCAAGTAACCCATCCTGTTGGCTACTCCCCAACTGAGTCTTCCTTCCTAGTGACAAGCTCCATCACTAAGACATGGTTGTGATGACAGCATCTGATGTCACAATCAGGATCACTGGCCCTGAATATGATCTACACTCTCCTTACCCCATCCTGCCTGGAGATGAGCCCACAGGGCCAACTGATAGGCCTGGATCCATGTCCCAGGCTCTCCCACTGAGGATGGGGATAAAGAAGTATGAGCAAGAAGGCAGAATTTGTATCATTTGGGTCAAAGAAAGCCTGGGTCAAGTCAGGAAAGCCTGGAGTCCAGTGAGACACACAAACCCTCTCTGAGTCCCATATAGGTCACATGTCTCTATTTCCTGATCCTTCATAGGAGATCCTGTCAGCTTCAATGGATCAAGCCAAAGCAATAGCCTCTGAAAAACTCAACACTTTTGTTAATTTTTTTAAATTTTATTTAGTTATTTATTTTTATGTGGTGCTGAGGATCTAACCCAGTGCCTCACACATGGTAGGCCAGTGCCCTACCTTGGAGCTACAACCCCAGCCCTTATTCTGAAGTTACTAACAAGGAACTCATAATTGCATTAGTAATTAACAAGTGTGGAGAAAGTTTTTCAGCCTTGTCCTGGGCTCCCCAGGCCTGCACTGTCATTGCCTCTCCAGGTGAAGTGATAATTGCAGCCCTGAGGGGAAGTGAGGTCACAGGAGCACAGACCTTTATCTCAGGGCCCAGCTGCCTCCTCCCTCCATGCTGGCTGTCAGGACCTCACACTGAGCCCAGAACCTTGCACACAAGAAGCACAGTGAGTTTTCTATTTCAGTCTTTTGTTTCAGCAGATTCAGTAAGGAAAGAAAGTCTGCAGGTGTGCTCATGTCTGCAGAGAAATCCTGGGGTAAAAACAGAGTTGGTGGGAAGGTCGACAAGGGAGAGGAATAATTCCTTCTTTATGAGCTCAGTAGTAAAAAGAGAAGTGTCCCTGACCTGATATCAATTCTTCATGGCTCCTAAAGTTATTTAATAAAATACACACTGAGGTTGTTTGGGAAAAATACCATTGACAATGAATTGTCATTTGGAAGGGGCTTAAGGACTGTAGTTAACAACTAACATGCTCTTCACATTGCTTTAAAAAACTCAGAATATATTTTAAACTGCTTTTATGACTGTGTGTATGAGGCTTTCATGTCTATTTAAAGATAATCCTGTAAATGTAAGGATCACCTCTTCCTGTGCAGAAACCAAGACCAGGGACTATTTCTGGAATAAAGTGTTCTTTCCCAACTCTACATTACAATCCACCTAGTGGACAGGAATTTTGTCTCATCAGAATCCCTGTGCTGAGATGGCTCTAGCGTGACTTCTCTCCCTGCTGAACATATAAAAGAAGGTAACATTATAACAATGACAACCGGACACTGGTCAGCAGTACCAAGTAAATCTGGTAACTTCTCTGGTTTAATAATATTCCAATACTAATCACAAACTCAGGAGATTCTCCTTTTTATTTCAGTTCATTCCATGCAACAGATTTCACATTCACCACTTGTACTGACATATCCCGTGTATTGAAATGTCCTCCACAAATCATCTTTCACCACTATCAGTTTCACTGATGTATCTATCAATGCACAGAATATTTCAGCCTGAAATCACTGAGGGCTTCAGTTTTATCCTAAACGACTTTGTCAGATATTAGTGTCTCATGTGCCATTGTTTAAGAACAAAGTAAGATTTTTAAATAATTCACTTATAGATTTCACTATTCTTTTATTCCTGGAATGACAATGTGAGCAACAGAAAGTCTGGTGGTCCATTTTCAGAATGCAGTATTAAGCTTTAAAAATACAGTGACTTGGGATGTGAGAAAGGAGCCTGGCAGGAAAGCAGAGTGAAAAGTCACAAACAAAAAACACAGGAGTGTAAAACTGCATGTAAAAATTGATGTTTGTGCTGCTTAATGTGCATTTTGTGTTATAATATTACATAAATGTTTTTTGTTATTATAAAAATTCCATTGCTTATCTTTAAAATTTAGGTCAGAAATCCACTGAGATCTGATTTTTTGTACGGTATGGATGGTGATTGAAGTTCTTTTTCCTATGTGATCAGCATATATCAGTTCATTCTGAAACATTAAATGCTAAATTCTTTCTATGCATTTGCTCTCACTTTTCATTGCTCCTCCCAACTTAGCATAATGTGATCATCTAGGCTCGTTTTCCTACAAAGCATATTTCTCCCCATCAATATGTGCATCTTGAGGTCTTTACAATCCCACAGGTGTATGCAATGAAAGTTACTGTTGGTGTCAAAAATTACTTTAAGATGGGGAGCTCACTACGGCGTTGCTCAGACTGGATTCCAGGTTCCAGTGAATCTCCTGCCTCAGCCCCACAGGTAACAAGTGGATACAGATTCTCACCACTGCACTTGGATACAGCTACTGTTAATGAGTAATTTTGCTCATCGGAAGAACTGTTGCTATCATTCAAAGGAAAATATGATGAATGAAAGAATAGACTCCAGAGATATGGTTATGGGACTGATGTTCTTATCACAGATTGTAGTAGGAATCCCGGGAAATTTCTCTCTGCTTTATTATCATTTAATTCTTTTCTGCAATGAGTACACCCTGAGGTCCAGAGATTTGATTCTCAGGCACCTGATTATAGCCAACTCCTTGGTGCTTCTCAGTAGAGGAATTCCCCAGACAATGACAGATTTTGGATTGAAATATTTCCTCAGTGATTTTGGATGCAAACTCATTTTGTATATACATCGAGTGGGAAGGAGTATGTCCATTTTCATCACCTGCCTCTTGAGCGTCTACCAGAACATCACCATCAGCCCCATGAATTCCTGTTGGAAGGATCTCAAAGGAAGAGCTCCAAAGTACATTGGCTTCTCCATTTCCCTCTGCTGGGTACTGTACATGGTGGTGAATTCCATTTTTCCTCTATATATGCTCAGCAAAAGGAACAGTGTAAACACAACAGAGAAAAGAGATTATGGTTACTGTTCTTCTGTAAATTGTTATAGAATCACAGACTCAGTATATGCAGCATTGTTTGTATTTCCTGAAATGGTATTGTCCTTGCTCATGATCTGGTCCAGTGGCTCCATGGTTCTCCTTCTGTACAGGCACAAGCAGAGGGTTCAGCACATCCACACCATCAAAGTTTCCCCCAGATCCTGCCCTGAGTCCAGAGCCACCCAGAGAATCCTTGTCCTGGTGGGCACCTTTGTGACTTTCCACACCCTCTCCTCCCTAATACATTTATACATTGCTCTATTTTCCAACATCATTTGGTGGGTGGTGGTCACCAATGACCTGATTTCACTGTGTTTTCCCACTGTCAGCCCCTTTCTTCTCATGAGCCGAAAATCCACTGTATCCAATCTATCCAGGCAATGCTTGGTCTGCATAAAAAAAATTAAAAATCTAGCTTTGTGCTGTGGAAAACACGTATAATCACAACAAATTGGGAGACCAAGAGAGGAGGATCACAAGTGGAAGGACCCTCAACAATTTAGATGCTGCCTCAAAAATAAGAAATTAAAAAGGCTGCAGATCACACTCAGGGACAAGGCTGGGCTCAATCACCAGTTTCAAAACATAATTTTAAGTATCGTAACTACATAATTGTATCATAACTACATAAGTTACCTATTTTTTCACAAATGTTTAAGTGTTTCATTGTTCTTCACACTCAAAACATCAATAGAGAAATGGATGGAAGAGTCATTGTCTTTCTATTGCAAACCGTAAAGAGCACTGGGGTCCTTAGCTGGCTGACTGTGATACCCACATGGTCGTGGTGGAAGGAAACAGAGCTAGTGGTCCTCACCCTACGCACAGCATGCCGTAGTCAGCCATCCTAGTTCCTGTTGCTGGAGGCACATGGAATGAATTAGTTCCCAGGCTTCCAGGTCAGTTGAATTACAACTTTTGACCAAGTGCTGCACTCCTGGAAAGATTGTCTGAAACAAATGCAATGTAGAAATGAGAGGTGGGTTTTTTGGAGGATAATTCTCCTTAGCATTTCAGTAAGTTTATAATTACCAGAAAAGTTTTGTTCCAGAATGTTATTTGTTAGATAATTTTGAAAAGAGACCTTGGGAGGACAGATTTAGCATCAACTGCCAGAATTAAGGAGAGAATTGTTTTTCTGCACAGTTTCTTCAAGGAACAAGGTAGGTTTGTCAGCAGTTCTCCTTAAAAGGTTTGTTTTCCTGTGTGTGGGTATCCTCAGTTGTGATGCAAACTCCTTTCCTGTGCAGTGTCCACCTGGGCCACTCCATGTCACCCAGATTGCAGTTTGCAGGAATAAGAGATCTGGTGGGAACACAGTGCTCCTGCTGCCTGCTGTGCCACAAGGAAGGAAGGACCTGGTTTCTCATCTAGGAGTTGCACCTGTTCTGTTGGGAGCTCTACAACAGTAGCAGTGTAATCGCACACTCTGACATGTTGTTAAAATATCCACAGATGCGTTTCAGTGCACATAGATAAATGGCCATGTCCTCACCTACACTCTTTTTTTCCCCACTGTACTGGGGTTGAACAGAGAGTCATTAAACCACTGAGCCACATGCCTAGCACTTGTTTGTAGTTTTATTTATTTGTTTGTTTTATTGAGACATGGTCTCACTCAGTTGTATAAAGCCCTTCTAAGTTTCTTAGGCTGGCTTACAACTTGTGATTCTCCTGCCTCAGCTTCCCAACCACTGGGATTAGAGGTATGTCCCACCACTCCCAGCCTCACCTACAATCTTAAAAAGTAGCACTTACCACTCTCTAAGTCAGAATACATTTACATATTGAGGCTAGGTTGTATTCTTAGGAGAACCCATTAATCTATAAACAGTGAAGTTGCTGGTTCAGGCAGGGACATGGGAAATATCAGAGCAGGACACACAGGTGGGGAACTGGGCTCAGAGTAAAACTGTTTGGATGAGAGTTCAGTGGGGACCTTTTACTGTCATCTCTGGGTAAACTGCCACATTCTCCCAGGGCCAAATATTCCTGAGGACCAGTATGAGGACCAGTATGAGGACCAGGCTGCCCACTCAGCACAGGTCATGCCATGGCAGTGATTAAAGATGAGCTGCACAGTGGACACCACCTTTCCTGGGTGACCTTCAGGCTGTCCCTAGAGAGCAGAACCACTGGTGTGAACTTGCTGTCTACCTGTCCTGTCATCTAAGTTAGGGTCGCTGGTGGACAGTGGCCACTGCAGTGCTACACAGGTGCACTGCAGCTGTGAAGTGACATCGTCCTGGACAGCCATCACCTCTGTGACCAAAGTTCTGCAGGATTCTGGGCCTGGGGGCCCTGGAGCACATTTAGGGGTGTGGGGCTGTGGTTACTTTCTGGGTGGGGCCACAGAGGGAGAAGGTATCTGTTCTATCAGGAAAGTGTCCATTTATAGCAGTTTGTGAGCATTGTTATCACGAATACAGGTAGGGTGCTGTCCAGTTCTCTTATTCATCTATTCCAGTGATAATGAGGTTTCTCACCTTTACTTTGTTAGGGTTCTGAATGACACTGCCTATCAAATAGTGAATGCACCTTGCGTTTCCAAGGTAATAACTCCTTGGTTTTGATGGATCATTGATCTTTACATTAATATTTCAGTTTTTAAAAGCAAGCAGTATTTAAAGAATGATCAAGCATTTAGTACAGAATTCTAATATATCCCTGCTCCCAGTACAGTCTCCATAACTGTAACATCTGGAATCTGTGTGATCTGTGTGACATCATTAAACTGGATGTAGATCATTCTTAGCCAAAGTCCACTGTTTACTTTGGAGTTCACTCTTTGTTGTACCTGCGTATGGAACAGGAAAAATGCATAGTGTAAGGACCATTTTGCTGTATTCTACTGTAGTGATCGCACCCTAAAGATCCCCTGTACTTTACTACCTATCCATTCCTTCCCTCCTCCAGTCCTCTAATGCCCACTGACCTTTTCATGGTCTGTCTTTAATTTCTTGTAGATAAAAACTCTGCAGTTAGCCTTTCAGATTGCCATCTTTCATTGAGGAATATGTGTTTTTACATTCCTCTACCTGTTTTCATGGCTTGGTAACTCAGTGGTGAAAACCACTGAGTGGTGTCCCACTGTGTGGATGACACCAGTTCTTCACGCCATGCATCTGCTGAGGACCTCTTTGATGGCTTTCCCTGTTGGGCCATTATGATAAAGCTGCCATAAATAGTGCTGAGTATCTTTCTGGGTGGACTTAATTGTCAATTTCTTAGTCAACACAGAGTGAGCCGTATTGCTGGAAGAGGTGGAAACTGTGATAGAGGATTTAATATTTGCCCAAGAAAGAAACCACACCTTTCCTTCTACTTCTCTAGGCAGCTTTTTGTTGTCCTCCAAATCCACAGATATACTTTCAAAATATGCCTTTTGAATGATATCCCCACATACCCATTGTTTCATGTCTTAAATTATGTACCCCTCAAAATTCGTATTTTGAAGTCTTCATCCCCACCTCTCACTGTACAGCAGAGTGTGACCTGATCTGGACATGGGTCGTGCACAGGCGATTAGTAAAGGGAGGGTGGGTCATAGTGGTGGTGAGCATACTCTCCCTTGTGGGCCGATGACAGTCCTGTAGATCCCAGTGTCTCTGTGAAGTTCTGCCTCACCTAGAGACAAAGTAGTGGGGGAATGCAACCACAGACTGAAACAGTGAGCCCCATAACTCCTTCCTCCTCTAAGTAGTTTTTCTCCAGTGTTTGTCATAGAAAAAAGGGGGAATGGGGGACTAACCCCCATTCCTCACCTTTTCTCACCTCCATGATTTCCTTCCACACCGACCAATATCTGTGTATGTTCAAATGACCTCAACCCCGTCCCCATCACCTCTATGGGTCTCCTTCAAAATCACAGCCAAAAACTTTTGTGGCCTCAGCAACTGTGTCCCAATCCCCAACTCCACATCTGCATTTCTCCTCTAGGGCTTTCCCTCTGTCCAGTTCCACTGCCTTCCCAACCTCGATGTGTCACCAAATGCCCCCATTATGTTTCCCTGTCCCATATCCTCCAAACACAGGTTTTGGCCACTGTCCCCATACTCTGCTTCTACCTAATACCACTGACAACTCATAGGACATGTCTTTATCAAAAGATATAAACACACTCACACACACACACACACACACATTTTAAAGCCCTGTCTTGACACACTTTTGAGGGCCTGACTAAGGGAAAGTTATTTCCTTTATTGAGCAATTGATTATTTTCACATTCTAGCAAATTCTATCTGCACTCTCAGACACACGGCTACTTGGCATCTGACAAAATTTCCCAGGAGTGAGATCCAACAACTAGGGAGGTCCCTCAATTTCAGAGCCATGAAATTCTTCAAACCGGTCACTGCACAGAGTGCCTTGGAGCCCTGGCCATCCCACCTCCTTACCCTGTTCAGGATATATCCCACTGCAATCCTGTGCGGCCCACCTGACCTCTGCTGGCCTTTCAGCTGTAAGTGGGGAAGATTTCTGCAGTTCTTCTGTCCCCATGTCAGTGTGTTTGTCTTTCCATTAAAATAGTCTTTACATCAAGGAAAACCTATGCACCTCGTCCTGACGTCCCTGGGGACATGAACTGCTCTGGAGTTTTTCCTCCCTCGGTCCTTCTGGCACTTGAGCTCCTGGTCTCCACCCTGCACTGTGTCCTCCCACACGTTTAGGATCTGAGACCCAAACTATCTCATCTCTAATTTCTGTGAGCACGTTGCCCCTTTGTGCCCTTGAACTCCCCAGTGCATTTAAGACACACCGCACCCTATACCCCATGTGCCCTTTCCCCACTGCCATTTCCCTATTGCTGTACTGTCTACGGCACCCAGCCACAAGCCCCCTGGACCTCCGTGTATGTCACTGTCGCTCATTCTCTATCACGCACACTCTCAGAGTGCCCCCACACATGTCAACTGTCTCGTCACACCCCCACATCAGCATCAAACACCTGAGCCTGTTTAAAGTCGGCACGTGTGCAATGCTGTCCTGGAGGGCTGTGGGGGCTGGGAAGAGATGTAAAGGGCAGATGTGACCACCCTTCTGCTGGCACTTGTAGGCCTGGGGAAAATGTCACCTCATGCTTTCAATACAGCCCTTGCTGCTCTGCCACTGAGGCTTATTTCAAAATGGACTTTTAAAGTTTTTATCCTCTCTCTCTCTCTCTCTCTCTCTCTCTCTCTCTCTCTCTCTCTCTCTCTCTCTCTCTCCCCTCAGGGAACAGGATCACCTTCTCTCTCACACTAAGCCAAGGTATCTGTCTTAGAGCAAACCCCCACCACAGGAACCAAGTAATTCAGACTTCATGGATAACCAGAAGAGTCAGATCCTCACACTGAGCCTATGTCCTGGAAGGTGGAAAGGACAATGTGGGTAGTTTGCATTTCAGTCTGAGGGGCAGAGGGGGTAAGCAAAGGCAGATGGGCAAGTGCTTAGGTCTGGGAAAGGCATTCTGACACAGAAGCAGATCCTGTGCAGGGCGGACAAGTGGAGGAATATTTCTTATTATGACACTTGTATAAAAACACACATAGAAACAAATTTAACTGTGAAATATTTTAAACACAAAATATAGGCAAATTTACCTAGGCACAGTGGTGCTTGCCTGTAATCCCAGTGGTTGGGGAGCCTGATACAGAAGTATTATGAGACCAAAGCCAGCCTCAGCACCACAGTGAGACCCTGCATGATTTAGTGAGACCCTGTCTCCAAATGAAATATAAATGGGGCTGGGAGGTGGCTCAGTGGTTGAGCATCCCTTGGTTTAATCCCCAGTACCAAAAAAAGGAAGAAAATGTGGGCAGATTTATTATTTCAAACCCATGATAAAACTACACTGACATTCCATCTCCTCCTCTCAGCTGCTGCCCACTCCAATCCAACAGAATCCCTGACCCTCCGCAATAAGGAAAGAAAAAAGTTGAAAAACAGATGACCAGAGAGGTGGTGACAGCGCGAAACTTTCAAAAATCAACACTGCACAAGTCGAGACTTGGAGGCACTTGAAGTTTGGTTACAGGAAAAGAAAATAAAGACAGGAGACCCTAATCCTGAGCCTGGAGCAGGGTGAGGGCAGGGGTGACCGCGAGAGAATGAGGGAGAGGAAGAGCATATAAACTCACTGCCTAACCGCAGCTGGGAATAAAAGCAGACCAAGGAGAAATGGGAACAGCAAAGTCGGTGAGGGCACCGGGCAGTTTAACCCAGCTCTTCACTGAAAGCCAGCAAGACGTGGCTGCCCTTGGTGGAGTCCACAGCTGGCCAGCCTCCCTGGAAGCAATCCAGTCAACACAGCTTCTCTCAACTGAGACTGAGATTCCTCACAACACTAAGAATAAAACCACCATATGACGCAGCTATCCCACCTGGTGGTGTTTATCTAAAAGATCTAAAATCACCATACTATAGAGATATTGCCACATCATTGCTTATAGCAGCAAAATTCACAATAGCCAGGTTATGGAGCTAATCCAGATACCTGTCAACAAAGAAAATGTGGTTTAGATACACAATGGAGTGCTAATCAGCCATAAAGAAGAAAATCATGGCATTTGCTGGTTAGTGAACAGAAGTGGAGAACATCAGGTGAAATGAAATAAACCTGACTCAGCGAGTCAAGCATAAAATGCTTTCTCTCCTATGCGGAAGCCAGACCAAAATACAGAAAAAATTCTGGGTGGAAAACATCCCACGAAAACAGAAGAGAGATCAGTTGAGTAGAGGGAGAGGATTGAAGGGGGGTGGGAAGAGGGCTGGAGAAAATGAGGAATGTGAATGAAATTGACCAAACTGTTTTATGCACATGTATTTTATGCACAGATATACCAGAGAATTTCATCTTGATGAATTTAATTGTGAAATATTTTAAACACAAAATATAGTGTTATGTGATTTTTTAAAAGACTATAATTAAATAGAAGAAACATGATTAGATTAGAGGGAAGGGAACTGGGGAGATATGAGGGCAAGAAAAGCAGAAGTCCTGGAGACTGAGCCGGAGCAAATTGCATTCTTGCTGGTGTAATTGTGTTAATGAACTCCAATAATATGCACAACAGTGAGGTATGAAGAAAAATATGTTACTTTTTAAAAAAAGAAGGCAGCTTTGTTGGCACCCACTTGTAATCCTAGGCACTTGGGAGGATTGCAAATTCAAGGTCAGTTTCAGCTATTTTCCAAAACTCTGTCTCAAAATTAAAAAAAAAAAACTAACAGTGCTGGGGAAGAAGCTGAGTGGTAGAGCACTGTTGGATTCAATCACCAGCATCCCCCATTAATAATAGGTAAGTAAATAAATACATAGTAAACAAGAAAATAAAATTGATGTTAATTATTAGCCTTCAGTAAGAGCAGATTAAAAACTCTATACAATTCTCTGTAAATTAACATCCATCTTTTTGCTGCTAACCAAGAGTTTAAAATGAGTTTATAGGGTCTTTCTTATAGAACAACTCAAATAATTTCCATGTGTGGTTTTGTATTTCTTTAAAGACTGCCTGAGTTTTATTGTTCTAATAAGAGAAGGTGCTTCACTGCCTTTTGAAAATGTCCCTCAAAGCCTTGCTGTGGACCTTGTACCATGCCTGATATTAAAATCTAGTAATGCTTAAATTCTAGAGGAACTTAAAATAACTTTTAAAATACATTAATAAATAAAATCCAATGGGAAATGATGATCAGTTATTAGTCAGATTTATAAAAACTGATTTAAATAATAAAAATTTCATGTTTTAATCAAGTCCTTTTTCTGTATTTTCTGATTTTTTTCATTCTTTTTTTCCCCACTTTTTTGATTGCTTAAAACAAAATTAAGTTCTAGAAGAAATTGGGTTTATTCAAAACTTTATTTGTTAAAAAGCCTATTTTGGTTTACAATCTGTTTACATGAACTACCAGTTTTACAATGAAGTGTTGTGTGTTATTGATACAAATCCTATAAACTTACAAAATCTGATAGTCTGGATATAAAGCTATAAATCATGATTGTTATCTTAATAACTAAATTGCTTATTAAATTACAAAGTTCTCTAAGTACTAATAAACCTTATAGATGGTTTGTAGTCATACTAGGTAGTGTGAACAAGGTTAAAGGCAAATCTGCTTTACTCAACCTCCATCTCATGACAAATTTAAGGGATAAAGGTGTTGACATAGAATATGTATAAGTCCTGCTATTTTAAAGGGGTATTAATTTTTTTCTGAGAACTGCTTACATCATTACCTTGTTTACAAAGAACATCTAACTATGTATGGATGTTCATAATTGGTAGGATCACATTAATTTCTTGTATACTATGTTCCAAATTTTTACACTCTATAGAAGTTAGGACATATGGGTTAAACTGTCTACCCACATGGGGATTAACCTTGATTTACAAAAACAGGACTCCAACTGTTGAGCCCTCTTTAGGCAGATCTGACAGGACTATTTTTTACGAAGTTGGATTTATTGTTGGATAAAGAAGATAGAACTAAAGAGACTGTGCTTACTAGTTTACATCTGTCATGCAGACTGGAAGGCTTTGCTTTTATTAATATTTTGTAGTTTTTCTGGCCTAAGAAATGATCTATCAAAAAATTTCCATTGCTTAATATTGTCTAAAAGGGGGTGTTGAGATACTGATTCATAAATTGTCAGTTTTCCCCCTACATGAGACCACTGGAGTCAAAGAACAGGACAAAGGTCCTATATCATGGGACAGAGATGCTTGTCAAATAGTCAGCAATGTATTCGAGGAAATCATTCAGAAATCATGATGTCACTTGTTGAACTTCAATAAAAATAAAACTTTTCTCTAGTTCATTAAAAAAATGACTGCTTAATCATTTGATCTTCCCATAGTTGAATTCTACCACCAGCAACATGGATAAATGCTAATTTAAGAGCACATGTAATTTTTAACATCAAATATATAAGAGTTTATGCTGAATTCTCATTGTATAAAAGAGAGAGGTGAAAGTTATCTGGACTGTGAGCCGTCACACAGTCGTCACACTTAGGGATGGTCAGAGAACAACACAGCATCTCAGACTGAGGATGTTGTTTTTCTAAGTAGGAGCTGCACGCAGTGGAATGTGCTTTATTTGTGAAAACTCACTGGACATCTCATGCCTGGCTAGTACGATAAAAACACTTAAAATACATAGCAGTAAATAAAAAGCCAGTTTAAGCAAAAGATTACTATCCCATTTCATATAATGTCAAGTTGGACAGTGAGTGTATTTAATAAGTACACATCTGGTCAGTTTTTGAAAAGATGAAGTGTAGCATCTTGGAAATAACAGAAATCAACGTAGAAAATTCAATAGAACAGGAGTCAGAACAGCATTGTTGTTTTTCATTATGTCCAGTATTATATGGAACATGTAAGACAATTTTCATTAGCCAAAGGCAAATAGTGTTTTAATATACAAACAGTGGTGTTTCCTTCAAGAGACATAGCTAACACAGAAGCATAAGAGCAGATACAGAAGAAACACTCTCCACATAGTTTTACAAATGATTCAACGAGATTAGGAAGAAAACACAATAGAAAGAAAACTTTATGTTAAAGCTTTTGCCATTGGATGAAATTGATATTTAAATCTGAAATTTACATTTGTTACATAAAATTTTCTAGAATTATTGCTTGACTCACAATAAACCTAATCCAAGTGATATGTATGTACAAACACACATGTATATTGATATATCTAAACATGTACACATTTAAAATATATAAAGGTATATTCAAGAGTTTAATTTTTAAGTAAATTTAGACATTTCAATTTATACATTTATCTTTTTGTAAGCTGGGAAAAAAGAACCAGGGATTCAGGCAGAGCCAAGTCTTCAGATCTTTATCAGAATGTTGTTTTAGTACTAAGTACTACTAACAGGATTATAAACTCTAAACAGTAAATACTTGCCCTTATTTCTGACTAGGGAATAGCCAAAAGTCCAGTCTGTAAAAGAATGTTATGCAGAACCTCTTGATCTGCAAAGATAAAGTGACCCAAATTATATGCAAGTTACTTTAGTCAGCTTTTTATTGCTGTGATGATGGCACCCAATAAGAATTACTTAGAGGAGAAAAGATTATTTGTACCAGAGATCTCAGTCCATAGCCGACTGACTCCAAGGCTCTGGGCCCAGTGTGAGGCAGAGCATCATGGGTAGATGACATGGTGGGGGTAATTTGCTCCCCTCATGGCAGCAAGGAAGCAGAGAGACTGGGAAGGTGGGAAGGGGCCAAAGGCAAGATTTCCCATCCAGTGCATGCCCCCAGTGACCTGCCTCACCCACCCATATCACACCTGCCCACAGTTACCATCAGGTCAGCTCATTCAAACCAGGATGGACTGTTTAAGTTACACCTCTCACAATGCAATCATTCCACCTCTGAATATCCCCACATTAACACAGGAGATTTGGGACATGAGTCATGTCCAAACCATAAAAAAAGGCCAACCTACTGTACACTTACATCAAAGACTGGTTGTAAAAATACAATGTTCATATTTTGAAAATAAATCTGGCTTAAAAAAATTTTATGTGCTATCAATCAGAAACCAGGTGTAAAATATTGCAAATGGGTCCGTGTTGATATTTGATTTACCAATGCCTTCCTCCATGACATGAAGGTAGAAATAAGTGTGGGAGAAAAAAATACTTAGATATTTTTTAAATAAATTGCTTAAGCCACCCAGCACACACCAGCAGGAAGCACAAAGACATGAGTGCATGTGTAAAACTCACCATTCCCATGTGAAATAACTATACAGTTATGCTTTAAATTTTATGGGTTGGAATGAATAAATAAGAATTATGCAAAACCTTATAGTTCACATGTTCATCAGATCAGGGGTTTTTCTTTTTTATATATAGGAAAAACAAAACCTGGATGCACTGGAGTCTCTGCTTATGAGCAGTAAGGGGCTGATCGCTGGAAAACACCCAGAGAGTATTGCACCCATGTTCAACAGGAACAAGTTGGGGTTATCAATAACAGCCAAACACAGCTGAGAGATGCAGGAAAGTGTGTACAAAGAGACAAAGGTGCTCACCAGAAGGAGGATGGTTTTGGTGGCTCTGGACTCAGGAGAGGACCTGGGGGAGCTGGACTTATGAACATGCTGCATTCTCTGCTTGTGCCTGTGCAGGATGAGCACCATGGAGCTGCTGCCCCAGAGCATGAGCCCCACACACAGGGCATCAGGGAAGGTTAGCAATGCTGCATGCAGTGAGTCTGTGGTTGTGTCATGACGAACACTAGAACAGTATCCAAAATCCTTTAGGATTATAATGGTTGTATTGTTCCATTTTCCAGTTACATGCATAAGAATAATAATATTTATAAACATGTATAGTATGTAGCTCAGGAATATGGAGGAGCCAATGTACCTGGGAGCTTTCACTTTAAGCTCTGCCCACCTGGAGTCCCTGGGGCTGATGGTGATGGCCTGGAAGATACTCAGGAGGCTCGTGCTGCCAATGGACACACACCTGCTGACTCTGTGAACATAGAAAAGCAGCTTGCATGCAACATCACCAAGAGAAAATTCCAAACTGAAAGATGCCACTGTCTGGGGAACCCCTTTACACAGGAGAGTTAACAAGTTGGCCACAATCAAGTGCTGAAGAATCAAGTCTGTGTGTCTTACCCTGCACCCAGTGAAGTAAAGGACCAGGACCAGGTAATGGAGGAGAAGAGAGGAATTGCCCAGAGCTCCATCCACAGTCTGTGACAAGAAGATGATGCCTACAGCCACATCACTGGCTGCCATTCCACCAGTTCCCTGCTGTCCCAGCCAAAGTGTCCTGTAAAAGAACAGGAGGTCTGGGCTGCATATGTCCTGTCAACCAAAACTCAGCATTCCCACTCTCCAGAGTTCCCACTGTGAACATTGCATGCTTCTCTTTTTTACTGGCAGGTTTTAATGAGGTCTGTTTGAATTTTTTAAAGCATGAAAACAGCACATAGTGACTTCTTCAATCTTCAAGATTTGAGGCAGTTGCTGAGATGATTTTGCATGATGACCAGGAGAACTTGGTCATGCAGCAGTTAAACATCTGACTAAATTCATGCTCTGATTAGGGGAGTGGAGGGGACTGGCTGAGTGGTGAGAGTCAATACAGTAAACCACCAGGACTCCTTAACAGTGGTGAGTGGGGTTCTTCAAAGAGTCCAATTCACTGTTTAGTTTCAATTTTCTAAATTCCTATTATCCTCTAAACTGATGGTATTTTAAGCTTTTATTCTAATGTGTTTCTATTTGCTTGGAAATAATTATTCTACAAGCCAATGCCAATTATGAGAGAACCTGAGACATTTTGCAGGTGCTCTGAGGGAAGTAGAATCCAGCAGGCACCTGTCTCATGGTGAGCTATGTGCAGGGAGACAGTATTGGTTCCATTTCAAGAGAGCTACCACAGAACTCACCTGGTTGTATGTTAGAAAGTGCCAAAATTTGTAACTGAAATCTTGGTCCCTGTCCCCAGTGCCTGTTGCACTGTTATCGAGGAATCAATGATGGTGGCTGATATTACAACAGGGGCCACATATACACACTGGCATATGTACAGCATGAATTCTTCAAAATATTGAGACAGCATATTTGGGGCAACAATTCAAATATATACATTCAATAGACCTACTGTTTAGAGCAGTTAGGAAGATAGAAAAATTGAGCCAAAGGTGAAGAGATTTACTATATACCCCTACACACTCATACCCTACTCCACAACGAAATTCCTAAACCAGGTGGTGTATTTGACACAATGAGGAGGATGTTTTTAAACACCTGAAAACAAGATTTATATATGATACAGACTGTTGGAAAACCACAATTATTATATTATATTTTCCTTATAAATTTCTTATCAGTTAAGAGGAAAATAGCCTGAAAAAATCATAGACAACAGATGGTTTCAGGATTGGTACAATGATTGTCTCCCTGAGCCACACCATGCCCAGAGTTAGAGAAGATGTTCTAGTCTAACATCATGATTCAGATCCATTTCTACACAGGGCTCAAGGATTCCCATAAGTTCTTCCTACTCCACACAACAGGCTTGGAGATGTCGTAGGTCCAGTTCTAGAAATCCAGAAAGCAGCACAGAATCTCTGTAAGGAAGACTAGCAGCAGACTTATTTTAAATGCACCTTACAAATTGATGTAATCTAGTTCAGCAGCCACCATCAAGGAGGATCACTTTATGATCAACTGGGAGCCATCAGAGATGGCTGCAGGATCTAGGACCCCCTGGCTCTTCACTACATAAGCCCACTCCTTAAGAATTTTTCTGCCTCTTGGTGTGGCTCTGGAATTCAACCAGATCACAACAGAATCCCAGATTCTGATGTGATCACTTACCCAGACTCTTGAAATGGGTCTTCCCTCACAAATGCTGCTCTCACACTGACATAGGTATCCAACAGCCTCTTTCTCTTTCCAAGGATGGTAATCTCAGCGCAGAGACCTCTGTGACCAGGACAAGTGCTGCAGGGAGGAGGCCAGCTTCTAAGATATGGTTCTGTGACTCTGTCACCTCACCTCCCCTGAGACCTACAATTATCACTGTGCCTGTAGCAGCAATGGACGTGCAGGCTTGGGGAGCTCAGGACACTGCTGAAAACTTCCTCCACAGATGACACCTTTCAACAACAATTATAAGTTTCTTAATGGTATCTCATAAGAGGATCCTGGAGTGCTCGGAGGTTCTCCTGATTATCCATGATCCCTGGAGACACACAGTCACATGCAGGGGAAGAGTAAATTCTGTGGTCTGACATTTGAGGGACTGGCAGCCCCAATGCATCCCTTGTTTTCCAAACCTAGTTGTTTCCTATTCCTCATTTACCCAAGTGGAACCATCATTTTACCTATCAGTAGAGAACTGGAATGAAACAAAACACCTGGGAAGAATTTCAAAACACACACAACTGAAAGAAGAACTGGATGCTAACACTGCATTCTGAGCATCCTACAACTCTTCTGAACAAGTACAAGTCCATTCATCTGCACTTATTTGCACAACTCAATGCCAATTAACATCAGAATTTTCAAGGAAATATACTGACATTAATCCCACCCGTGACAGGAGGGATTCCTACAAAAAATAGAGAATGTGAGAGTAACAGCCTTTGGGACAGGAGTCTCCTGTGTTTCTCCTTTGCTATCAAAATAATAAAACTTATTTTCCCTTTTTCTCAAAACTGTGTCCTCATTATTAAATTGACCTTGATTGGCACTGGGGACAGGGACCAAGCTTTCACCTTCAAATTTTGGCACCCCAGATGGAACTTGAGAGCAGCCCCCACTCTAGCTCTCTTGGGCAGGCCTGGCACTCCAAGCAATGGCACTTCCATGCTGAGGATGTAAAGGGAACTTTTTGAGAACTGACTACTGGAAAGATAGGAGAAGGGTGGGCATGCCTCAGGACCAGCTGAACCAGAGGAGCTAATCCTGTAAGTAAAGGGGGGGACTGAGGAACTGCCAGCAGCTGCCAAAGCCCCTTTGCTTTGGGGAACTCCCGCCTTCCTTCCCTGCTCTGTAAGGATTGCTCCGCCTTGGTCTACTTTGAGAAAAAAGGAAACTGAATGCAGTAAAGTCACAACACCTTGGCCAATTGGTAACCAGCTCCCCTGGTGTGCACACCCAGACCCTTGATTCTACATTTCTGAGTCCCCTTTGTGGGAGCATCTGGTCCCCTCATGGGCAAATCTGTGGCACCACTGGTGTAGGATTAACGGGTAAGCAGGTGTTGGGAATCTGGGGAGATTTTTCCTCTATCTGGTCTGTCGGTTTTAAAGGTTCCTATCTATCCATCCATGGCTTGGGGATCCTCTGTTTGTCATTATATCTTTTGTTTGTATCTGTTTTGGCCCTTTAAGACATGGGCAATAGTGTGTTGATACTAGATTATCTCTCGGGAAAGATCTTGGCTGAATGGGCCACCTATAGATGTAAATGTGTCTAAGAAAAAGATGATTTTTTACTGTAACAATCTCGTTTTTGAATAGTGACTGAATCGTTGTACATTCTTGCAGTTGGGAGTTAGTTTGTCAGAGATAAAATAAATATTCTCTATGTGCAGACATGTATTCAAATACTTAACAGACAATAACTAAGGTGGATGCAAAAGGTGCTCCTCTAATGTGCTAGCACAGCAGGACACCAAATTGGGATTGGAAAAAAAATTTTTTTCTCTTCCTTTCAACCTGATGCTGACAGTCTGAGCACCAGCACTTCTCAGCCTGGCCTCAGACAACTGCAAATCATCCTGCTGTGGGTCAGGAACACCAGTTCTAGAACTGGGGAAAAGGTGGGGGGGGGATGACTCAAGAAAGCTTCTTTGTCTATAGAAAAAATTGGTAAAAAGGACCTGGCCTCTACTCTGCATTTTAGCCACTCTTTGCCCGAGTTGGAGAACAGGACTCAGTTTAATACTCCTGCAGACAAATGAAACCTATGTGGGCTGTAGGTCTCACTGATTTTCTTTCTGGGTTCTTATCTCATGGGTTCAAAGAATGAAATCCATAAATGATGGCAGGGGACAAAAATTTAAAAATCAAATTAGTTTTAAATGAGGGGGTGAAGAAGTCAAAACTCCCTGTCATGTCAGGGAAAACTGGTAAAAAGCATTTCCACTTGAGTATATTTGCTTAGGGACCTAAGGCTTCTGGATAAAGGCACAGATCAGAGTCCATGCAGAACAGGCATTAAAAGCACTGGGACAAATTGTTGAATCTATGCTGTACACATGTTGGGAAGGTACGAAATCCATTAGCTTGGCCTATGATTTTCTATCTGGATGTATGATTTTTAGTCCTTAAGTCTGAATTTTTTTGTAACCACCATTTGGGTCCACCCCCATTTCCATCTTCCTGCCACTATGAGGACAAAGGAGTAGACTAGGATGCTTAACCTCAGAGGGTTGCCTTTACATTTGAGAAAACTTTACCTGGGGTCCATTACACTCACTGTCTGATGATTAACCATGGATCTTAATGGGGGGTAAAAATGCCAGCCAGTCATAAGGAATGAGGCAATAGGTTCCAGTATTAGTAAATAAAATTATAATCTGGGGACAAAATAGTCTCCACTTTTTAAGATCTGTCAGGATGCCTTATTTGGCCAGAGGACACTTCTGGATGCAGCCCTACCTATTGCCCAGAAAGCTATAGCAATGTCATAGCAATGCACAGTTAAAGGGCAAAGGGGAATAAAGGTTCTGAGGAAAACATGTGATGAAAGCATGCTGTGGGAAAGGAGGATACAGAGGGAGGAGGCAGACCTTGGATGATAGTGAATCAAGGAAGATACATAGTGTGAGTAAAGGAAGTTGAGCCTGGGGAAAAGATAGACATGAAGAGGCAGGAAAGATGTGCACAGGAAAGTGTAGGGAGTTGGGGAGGACAATGGGCATGGTTTAGATCACTGGCTAAAGCATATAGAAGAAAAAGACAGGGACAGCACTGTGAATAATTGGTCAAGGGCATGCATGCAGTTCATGGAGCCGAGTTGCCTGAAAGTTAAGCACTGTGGGGCTTGAGGGTGTTGGTCAGAGGACACAGGAAATTGGCAGAAATGTATGATTTGGGAGTAGATAGAGAAATGGGAAGTGAGACACAGGTGACAGAGTATGTGGGAGCAGATGAGGTGAGGTGGTCCTTGCAACAGGAAAAACAAGGATGCATGTCCAGAAGTTCACAGGATGTAGGGGCATGCTATAGACTAGAAGGGCTAATGGAAGTGAGGGATGATAGAGGTTTGGTGGATCTAAAGGTGACGGGGTAGAGAGATGCACATGATTTATTGATGGACAATGGCTCTCATAGGTCTTCTGGTTCCTTTTCCAACTGAGAGCATGACTCTGTTGTAGATTCTGCTCTCTGCACCTGCAGGGGGCACCTTAGCATGGCACCAGATGCTCCAACTGCACTAAGTCCAAGTGCAGAGGAGAAGTAGCCAATAGCTGATCATCTGTCGGGATGCCAGATAATGGCCTTTGGGATGCTCAGGGTTGTGCTTGTGGTTCAAAGTGGATATTTTTAATGATGCCATACAGGGTCATATCTGTCCCTTCTTGGCCATAGTGCAGGACTTTCTGGATAAGAAATTTTTGTCACTGATGACATATAAGCATCATTTCTTATGCTCCTTTGCCATCTGTTTAGCCCATTCCATAAAATATTTCTTCACAACTTTGGCCAACTTTTACCAGGTTGTTTGTTTAGCTGTTGAGTTTTAAGAGGTCTTTTAATAAGTCTCATATAAAAGCCCTTTATCAGATATGTATCTTGTGAATATTTTCTCCTGGTCTGTGGCTTGTCTTTCTCTTTAAAAGTATATTTCACAAATCATCATATATAATTTAAACAAAGTTCAACCAAATACTTTTCCTTTATGGCCTGTCCTTTTTTTAGTACCTACAAAGTCACTACCAACTCAAAAGACAGCAGGATTTTCCATGTCATCTCCTAGGATTTTTACAAGGTTTCTGTTTATGGGGGAATTTTAATTTATGGGGGCATTTGAAGTTAATTTTTGTGAAAGGTATAACTATTAATGGTCCAGGAATTCATCAGGAAGAGAAGGAATGAACTATTCCATATTCATTCATACAAAGAAATGCAACTCAGCCATATAAAGGAATTAGTGCTGATAAATGAACCGAACAGATGAATCAAAAGCATTGCGCTGAGTGTACAGCTGTGGCACACTGAATAATGAACATAAAGATGTGCACAGCCTAATGCCCAGAACCTGTGAATATATTACCAAACAAAAGGGACTTCAAACGGCCCTTTGTCCCTCCAGGTGCCTAATTTTGAAGCTACAGCCTCCCCATTTGTCAGTCCCACATTTTCTCCATTTATGACTTATAGATTCTCCCAGTTTACAATTTCAGCCTTCCAGGTTGTCAACAACATAAATTTCCCCATCAGCCCCACAAACCCCCTTCTTTAACCCCCAACACCCACATCACTGAGGCCCAGGCCCTCGCCATGAGACAGGAAAGTAAAATGGGCCAAGGAAGAGAGGCCCTTAGTAAATGGAGAACTAAAATAAAACAAGTTATGTTGAACTTGCTTCTTCAGTTCAAGACAAACAGAACATTCAACATATATGCTTATCAAAGATCAGACATTACTTAAAACATCATCCACCTGAGGAAATTACATAATGTGCCAACAAATTTGACCAAGGAACATTCTGATTCTGACTTCCAAGCAAAGAGTGGTCACCATGGGATCTGATTGTCACAAGACTCAATCTTCAAGGTGGCTTGTAAACATCTTCCAAATCAGCAAAATCTAACAATGGCTCCCCACATAGGGTTACACCCTCAAAAATCATATGGAGAGAGCTCAAAGCTGGGCACCTCACTCATCTTTTGAGACAAGGGCTGCCCATACTCCAAGTGTAAATTCTGTGCATGTCCTTCAATAAATATTTACCTGTGCCTTGCTTTCTGAAGTGTCCTTCAATCCTGTGAAAAACATTGAGAACCTAGATGGTTTCCCTTTATATCTCCATCTTAGGGCTTCTCTGGATCCCTCTGTTGGCAAGCCCTGACCCTTATAGACCCATCCCAGCTCAGTGGTGCCAACGACCTTGCAAAACCAGCAAGCTCTCTAGGACTACCTCCCTGAGGTCTTCCTAGCATAGCACCTATGAACTGGAAGTTACTGCTGGTCATGTAAGAGTCTTTCTGGGGAGTTATGATCACATCTGTGGAACAGCCACCTTTCAAGGTGTGCAACAGGAAAGGTGGACTCTTCCATTGTGCACTTCAGCTGTAGAGTCTCCTGGGCAATAGTATCATCTGCAACGTGAATAAAATCCACCTCCCACAGTAGCAAGCCCACTTCTTCATACCACAGCATGTTGACCATTGGCCTTCCTCCCCTCCCTCCTTTCATAGGGGCAGGAAATATGGGAAGGGTTGGTGTCCCAATCCAAGACCATTGGCTGGAGCAGTGGGATTGTAGCCAAGGGCAGGTCAGGGGTGGTTTGGACAGCAGAGTTTTGAGATGAAACTCAAGTTCTGAGTTGAAACAGAGTTTGACCTACATTCCTCCATCAGGAAGAAAGGGAGATGAGCAAGCTTCACTGCAGTAGGAACTTTTCTGCCTGACAGCCACAGGGCTTGGACAATCCAGGTGGTACAGAGGGCAAGAGTTAGAAAACAAGGTGGCACAATGGGGGCCAGGTGACCACACCTGTAATCCCAGTGACGTGGGAGGCTGAGGCAGGAGGATCAGGAGTTCAAGGCCAGCCTCAGCGATTTAGGGAGACTGGATTGAAATAAATAATAAAGAGGATCGCAGGGTATAGCTGAACAGTGGACTTCTCTGGGTTCATTCCCCGGATAGGTGAGGGAAGAAGAAAAGAAGGAGGGAGAAGAGGAGGAAAGAAGAGAAATGGAAGAAAGGAAGGGAGAGAAGGAAGGAAGGGTTTGGCAGCAGACATACATGTACCAAGCTTAGTTAGGTGTGCACTGGGTGGGCCTCATTCCGGGACTTCAAACTTGACAGGTTTTCTTCTGGTCCACAGGGCTCACGGTAGGTCTAGTCCACCCAGCCTCTGACCAGTTCAGGGAATGAGCTGGCCTGATGCTGCCATGGCAGAATATAGATCCACAGAAATGAGACAGGATCCGGGGCCCAGGAGAACTCCCCATCTATAGATCACCCATTTGATTCTCTGCTGAAGACTATCTGCCCTGAATCCATCCGATTATAATGTGTGTGTGTGTGTGTGTGTGTGTGTTTTGTGCCAGGGGGGCGGGGGGTGTTCAAAATTAAGTGTACACCAGAAAACCGTTATTAGAAATGCAAAAATATTGCCCCTCCAGCCCTGAGGTTCTAGCTTAAGGAGGTCTGGAGAGTGACTCAGGAGTATGCACTCTTTTAAATTTCTCAGACTCCTGAGACAGAAAACAATTTCAAACAGTCCTGGAGTATTCTCTGTGGCTTCCTCCCAACATTATGTAATTCATTTTTCTATGTCTCTGCCTCACTAGGTGATAAGGTCCACAAAGGCCATTCCTTTGTCTGCTTCACCAGAGTGTCCCCAGAGTGTAACACAGCACCTTGCCCAGTGATGGCAGTTCACAATATTCCTGAAGGAATGAATTCTTCCAATAACTCAAGAATCCAACTTAATTCTAAGACAGCCACAGCATGGCAAATTTCCGTTTCATTCATTCATTTCCCAAATAGAATATAAAGTTTCTGTTTTTCTGTGTAGGGAGAATCACATGAGCCAGCACTCTCCAAACTTTTTGGGATGACGGGAATGGGTCAGTTTTGCTCTGTTTGTGCTGTCCAGTTTAATAGCCATTACTCATGCACACCTACTGAGCACTTGAAATGTGGCCAGGGAACTGAGGCACTGAATTTCTAATTTGTTTTTAATATTTTTGTAACTTAAGTTGCCATAAAACTATAGTAATTTGCAATCTCTTGTACCTACAAGGCATGGGCATTAGAAAACAAATTCTTTGTGCTCTAATATGCATAAATACTATGAAAAGCAGTCCTTCCTCAAATAAGGTAAAGAAGGTGGTGCAGCAGGCACTGAATATCATAAACACATAGGGAAGATCCACAGAGTAGGAAAAGGAGGAGGGAAGAAAGATGGGAAAGGGGAGGAAACATAGAATGAATTTAACAAAATCATATTATATGCTTATAAAAATGTACCAAAGAGGGGCTGGAGTTGTAGCTCAGTGGTAGAATGCTCACCTACCATGTGTAAGACACTGGGTTTGGTCTTCAGCACCACATAATTAATAATTAATTAAATAAAGGCATTGTGTACATCTACAACTAAAAATTATTAATATTTTTTAATGTACCAGGAGCCTGGGTTGTGGCTCAGTGGTAGAGCGCTTGCCTAGCATATGTGAGGCACTGGGGTTGATTCTCAGCACCACATATAAATAATAAAATAAAGGTCCACTGACAACTAAAAAAAAATTTTTTTAAAAAGGTACCAAGGAAAATTTCACCTTCATGTATATATAGAAAGTACTGATCAAAATTATATAAAGCAGCTATGTATAATTATAAATACTATATATAATTATAATGCCCTAACAAAAACTACATTTTAAAAAGTAGTCCATCTCATCCCTAAAAGTGAGTTGCTCTTTGAGCTATAAGCCATCGTGTCCCCTTGCATCAGTTGAATCATGTCCATGTCACCTATGCAGATGTTCCCATTCTCTGACTAGACCAGCTGGAGTGTGAAGATACCTCTTAAGGATGACCCAACTACCACAGTGCTCCTCCCGGGGACAAAACGTTTTGTTTTTTTTGCCTCTGTAACCTCAGTTCCCAGGACAGGTCCAGGTACAAAGGAAGCATGAGTCAAATACCTGCTAGGTGAACACATTAACTCACGGGAAGGCTGACACTTCACAGGTCCCTCTGTAGAAGTTCTACAAGTTTCATGTACTTTCTGGTTTTCAGTTACTCCTTCACATTGGTCAGGGGAAAGTGAGATGATGTGTGTGTCCTACATCAATTTTAACCCTTTTCCTTCAACCATCTCTTATGATTTTTCACTCATGGAAACATTCGAGATGTTGATTTAAACATTTCTGTACTTATTTTCTCCATTTAAATGAACTCAGTCGTCCTTCACTCATTTAATTGACAAAACAGAGTTGGTACCTACGTGTCTGAGTGGTTATCATCACACTGTGCCTCTGTAACAAAACAGCATTTAGGAAGGATGAATCTACCACCCTTTCCCAGCTTTGCATTTTATAGTTGCTCTCTGTGTATACTTTCAGCCATTTAGTGAACTAGAAATTTCCGCTCAATCCTTTCCCACATAGACTGAATCTGAGCCTCTCCCTATGGGTTTTCTGTGACATAAAATAATACGTAATTTATCACTGGGGGCACAACCATGTTCACCGCATTTGTGAGGTTTCTCTCCTGTGTGAATTCCATGCTGTCCCCTGAGGGTGTACATCTGGCCACTGGCTGTCCCACAAAGACCAAATTTCTGTTAGTGAGGAGCCCACTGACGTTCACTGCTGTCTGAGGGGCCTCAGAAGGCACCTGAGTAGTCACGTTGCTAACAGGGCTCTTCTCCTGGTGGCCATCACAGGTATGCAGTGAGCTGTCTCCGTCTGCGGGGTCTTCCACCTTGCCTGAATCTCCCTGTTCTCCCCTTGTGTGTATTCTCTTGTGCTTAACCAGACAAGACATGTATGCAAAAGCCTTCCCACACTCGCTGCAGCCATAGGGCCTCTCTCCTGTGTGAGTTCTTTGATGGACAATGAGCTTTTGCCTTGTGGTGAAGGCTTTCCCACACTCGCTGCATTTAAAGGGCTTCTCTCCCGTGTGAATTCTTTGATGCTTGATGAGCCCCGACCTCTGCGAACAGGACTTTCCACATTCGCTGCACACAAAGGGAGTCTTCCCTGTGTGAAATCTCTGATGAGCTATGAGGCAGGTCTTCTGGATGAAGCCTTTCCCACACTCACCGCATGTGTAAGGCTTCTCACCTGTGTGAATTCGCTGATGAACGATGAGGTTTCCTTTCTGGATGAAGCCCTTTCCACAGTCGCTGCATATATAGGGCTTCTCTCCAGTATGAGTCTTCTGGTGGATGTTGAGCCGTGATTTCTTGAGAAAGGCTTTGCCACACTCGGTGCATGTGTAAGGTTTCTCACCTGTGTGGGTTCTGTGGTGTTCTGTGAGCATGAACTTCCTGGAGAAGGCTTTCCCACACAGATGACATCTATGGGGCTTCTCACCAGTGTGGATGATCTGGTGATCAGTCAGCCAAGACTTCTTGATGAAGGCTTTCCCACAGTCGCTGCATACATGAGGTTTCTCTACTTTTTGAGTATTCTGAGGCTTGGGACAAGTGAACTGAGATTTAGTGCTGATGAGTTTTCCATTTGCAGGGAATTTAATTTCAGTATGAAATTGTTCACAAGAAACATGGAGAAAGGATTCCCCATTTCTAGAAATCTCAGCAGAGTTCTTTATTTCACAGTGTCTGCTCTGGTCAACCAAAGGTAAGTTTGGTTTCATACTTTTTTCATGTAAGTTAAATATACCATGCTTTTGCCTTAGTAGAAACTGAGGTCTGTGTTGATGAACAGAATTTTCAAAGGCACTGTGTTCATGCCACTGTACCATCCTGTTCACCTTGCTTTCACTCTGTAAGAGTTTTGGTAGATGATCATCAATTTCCCAGATTTCTATGAAAGAAAGGAACAGTGAGTTTTCTATCACCTTGATCTGGAATAAAAGCATTTTTAAAAATTACCTAGGAGAACAACAATAAGTGTTGGCAAGGATGTGGGGTAAAAGGCACATTCATAAAAAAAAAATTGCTGGTGGGGCTGCAAATTGGTGCAGCCAAAATGGAAAGCAGTATGGAGATTTCTTGGAAAACTTGGAATGAAACCATCATTCGACCCAGTTATCCCACTCCTCAGTTTATACCCAAAGGACTTAAAAACAGTATACTACAGGGACACGGCCACATCAATATTTACAGCAGCACAATTCACAATAGCTAAACTATGGAGCCAACCTAGATGCCCCTCGGTAGATGAATGGATAGGGAAAATGTGGTATACATACATAGTGGAATGTTACTCAGCATTAAAAGAGAACAAGCCACTGGGATTACAGGCATGCGCCATCACCCCCAGCAGTAGTGCCTTTAAAAGAGAGACAAATCACTGCACACAGAATGGGGAGGCAGAACTACAGCCTGTCAATGTGAGGGTGGCCACCACATGCCCAGGTGTAGACATGGGGAATTTGAAGGATCCATAAACCTTGAGAAAAGCCTCGACTGCAGAGATGAAATTGGAAAATTTTAGTAAATAAAAAGAACAGGACAAGACCACCTTCAGAGAATATGTAGACTCAAAGACGAAGAAGATGCAGGGCCAGGCTGTAGCCATTCTACATTTAGAGTTTGGAAACTAGAAGTCCCCTGGAGGAAACCAGGTTGCTCATCCTGACAGGGGACACTGGTGACTGAAACAAGTAGCCCAGAGGCAAGTCAGGTTCTTCCATACTCGGCCCTGTCCCTGGGACAGCTCCTGGGTCCCTGTCTCGTAACTTGCCTTCTTCCTCCTGACACCACCTTCAACCAGCTTTCTCAAAGTGCTGTCTCACAGTCATGGGAAACTTCCTCTGGGTGACACCCTGCCCACTGGCCCAGCTGCAACACCCTGTCTATTCCCACAGAAGGAGGGCAGCAGTGGTCCTCAGGGAACATCATGACAGGGCAGAGGACCAAGCTGCACTAACAGGATATGCTGCCCCTCTTCATGCTGCTCCTGGACAGGCAGGGTCCACCTTCTTCAGGTTCCCTGAGCCCTCAACCTGCCACTAACAGCATTATCCCACAATTCTTCACTGATGTCGCCTGGCTTTGGTCAGTGTCTGAATGGTCTGCCTCTTCCTGAATCATGGTCATGGCAGCTTTACGTCGACTTGACTGGGAACAGGACAGAAGGATTCTTCACCTGAGAAGAAAAGGGAAGCTAGAAAACATGTAGAACAGGAAACCTACAGTCTACAACTCCACCATCAACTAGAACCATACAGTCTGCCTCAGTCAGCCTGGCAATAAAGGTCTCACTACCTGGAAATGTCCCCACAGTCCCACTGCCAGCAGGACACAGAGAACTCCCAGCCTGACCTCTTGTGCTCTCTCAGCCCACCTCACTCAGTTCTCAACTGATCTTTCTTTCCTTTTCTGGTCCTAGGGATGGAACCCAGGGGTGCTCTACCAATGAGCTACATCCCCAGCCCTTTATATTTTTTTTATTTTGAAACAGAGTTCAAAGTTATACAGGCTGGCCTCAAACTTGAGGCCCTCCTTCCTCAGCTTCTTGAGTAGCTGGGATTACAGGCTGTGCCACCACGCCTGGGTTCACCTAACTTCTAAGTGCCCTTGGCTCTTCTCTTCCTTATGGCTTTCCTCCCCTTTGGGCAGATTTCATCAGTAGAAAATTCCTTCTCCAGGCCTGGCCTCTCTCTGAATAACTTGGGCTAAATCCAATGCAGCAGAGGGTTCCTCTTGGACACTATCAAACATGTCTACCTTACAATCTCCTAAATTCCCCAACCCAATCTCCTCCTCTGTAGGTCGTCTGCACCACAGTAAACACAAGCTCCCCTTTTCTTGCCAACCTGGACAGCACCACCCTTCCTCTCTTCTATTCCCTCACCCTAGGATACAGGTAGACAGCTCGGGGTGAATTCCACCTGCCTCTGTAAGCAGACCCAGATACGATCAGCACCCACTCCTCCTCCAAGTCAGCAGCCTGCTAGCTTCCAGCTCTCTTGGCTCAACAGCACCTCATCCAAGAGTTGGTCCCCTTCCTAAAAGATCAGCCCTGTACCTGCTTGTTCTGTCCCATAGCTCTGCCTTATTTTATCTCTTGGCTTCTTAGAATGACTGTGGCTCATCCACTCTTTGTTTTTCTTGCTGCTGTTATCCTGTTATGCTGCTCAGCATACACTGAGCTACCAAAAGATAATTTTTAAAGGAAGGAATCGAGAAAGTAATCACATATGAAACACAGTGGGAGAATTTAGAATATGGATATCTGTGCAAGTAAGATGACACCCTATCAAAGAAATAACTGAAAGAAGAACTTCAATGTCTTGTGACAAGTAACATGGTTAATGGCGACTTAGTGCAATCAGAACTATAATAGGAAAGAAAACAAAAGCAAATATCATGGTAAGACCCATAAGAACTAGAAGAAAGCTCAGAATTAGTAAAAACACAAAGGAATCATTGAAAACACATAAGTTAGCATCTGATTCAGGCTGGACCTTCAAGTGCAGCTTGTGAAAAATATCTTTTCTAGCAGGGCCAACAGCCCACACCAGAAATCCCAGCTACGTGGAAGGCTGAGACAGAGGATTACAAGTTCACAGCCAGACTGTGCAACTTAGCAAGACCCTGCCTCAAAGTAAAAAGGGCTAGGGATGTGGCTCAGTGATAAAGCACCCCTAGGTTCAATCCCCAGTACCAAAAAAAAAAAAAAAAAGAAAAGAAAAAACGAAAAAATCTTTTCTAGTTAGAAATTCACCATGAACAGTTAGACCTTTCAATAAAGAAACACAGGTAGAGGACATGTGAGGTAATATCTGGATGGCTGGAACTTAGGATGCATGAAAAAAGGAGAAGCTAAACTCAAGAGGGTTTTCTTGGAGAGAAGATGATTCTCATTCTGCAGAAAGAGGAACTCTAGGCAGACTTGAGGTCCAAATCAGGAACTATCAGGGATTCACAGAGAACTAGATATCTGTGCTAGATGACACCAGGACATGTCAGCTTGGAGTCTGCTCTGGGAACAGAAGGAGCTTAACTCATTAAAGTGAAAGAGATTTTAAAGGGTGAGAACAGATAAGAAAATAGAAAACACAGGGTTTGAGAACCTCCGAGTGAAGAAAGGCTTGGGGCCAAGGCACGATGAGTGACAGGCTTCCTCAGGCAGCACCCCAGTGGGGTGGGAGGTGCAGCAGTCAGAAGTCAAGAAGGATTCAGAGTTTTCTCTCTGGAGAAGGACTTGGAAGGTGCAATTTCATAGCACCGAAACTGGAAAGGTATGAAGAAGGGAATATCTGGGACTTGAAGGAAGAATATTATGCCAACTTAAAGACATTGATTAATAAGGAACAATCAGCTCCCAGAAGAGGTAAAGAGGATGATTTTCTCCAAATCCCTCCAAACCGCAAAGAGAAGGTCTGCATTGAGAGGCAGACGTGGGAGGTGCTGCTCACCCCACCTTCCACAGCTGCTCTCCCTCTTACCTGGACTGTTTGCCTCATGGATTGCATCTTCCACTGTCCTCGGTTCTCCTCCTAGCAACTTGGAGAGGGCATCAGGCTTGCTGGCTTGACACCCTGTTCATGGGAAATGACAGTCTTAGGTTCATCAAACTGGGCTGTGATCTGTCAACAGGAGGTAACGTTCTATTTTAGGAACTCTGTAGTTTACATCTGCAAAGCAAAGGCTTTGCTCTCAGAAGGAAGCACAATACACCCTCTTGTCTGGAACCAGAGAGGGACTGAGACACCACAGGACCTCCAAGGCGTTCAGACACTGAGAAAGAAAAGGCCACAGACTGGCACCCTCTGAGCTGCACAGGGCAGCCATCCTCACCCACGGACACCAGGTTCCTGCAGTTCTCCAACATCACGTCCCAATACAGGTCCTTCTGAGCAGGGGCCAGGAGCTGCCATTCCTCCCAGGTGAACTTCACGGTCACATCCTCCAGCGTCAGCGACTCCTGTCAATGAGGCAATTTCCTTGTGATGATATGGGATGTTAGTTTTTCTGCTCACTTCCCCTTCTTAGTCTGCATCTAGGTATTTAATACAGTGCAGGAATAAAATACTAATAAAATAGTCTATAATTATACATGAGTCATCATGTATTCATCCAGTGAGATGTTTCTATATTGGATGTGGGAGACCAACCTTATATGTGACTGGGTCACACTCCCCGGCTGGGTGTTGAGGCGCTCAGTTGCAGAGATGTGGCAGAGCTTTCCCACACTTCTTGGGCCTGAGGGTCGGTGTCTCGTGCATGGGTGTGTCTTGCTACAGCCCCATGGGTGAAGCTATTTCCTTTGTAATATAACCCCTTGCCCTGTATAGGATAGAATCTTCCATGGAAGTGCCTTGTGTGTGTCCCCTTCTCTTACTATGCCCTTGGGTGTGGCCTACCCAGGTGTCAGTCAACCTGCTGACGGTGGACATCATGAAGATACTCAGCCCCCTGAAACCTGACCCCTTGCCTCATTTGAATAGCTTCTCCTCAATAAAAGAGATCAGTGCATGCTCTCGCTCTCTCTCTTTCTGTGGACCCTTAAGGTCAGAGGAGCCGTCATAGCGACCCCAAAGAAAAAGGTATTTGTGTCTCTTGTGTGGTTATTTTGCACAGTCCAGTTAGCCCAGTTCAACTGGAGTGACCCCTGAGCCTTTTAGTCGCGAGAACAGAAACCCGGCAATTGGATAGTACTTAAATCTTCTTGCTAACTTAGAAACACCATCTTTATATATTACACATACACAATCATGAATTGCTTAACAACAGGACTATGTTCTCCAAAAATCAATCAGGCAATTTCATCTCTGTGCAAACAAAACTGAGCATACTTACCTATACAACCTGAGACAGCTACAACATCACCAGGCAATATAATCTTATGAGGCCCCAGTGGTATATTCTGCCATGCGACCAGCGCTGGCTTCATGAAAGAAGGTTCGATTCATAAGTAATTGCTAGGGAGTTTTAAATTAAAGAGACAAGACTCTCATTACCTTTAATACCAGCTCCGAGACGGCTTCTCCTAGCTCCTGCCACCAGTCACCTAATGCGGTGGCAAGGTTTACAGAAGAGACTAGCGAGAGAGAGAGAGAGAGAGAGAGAGAGAGAGAGAGAGAGAGAGAGAGAGAGAACATGCCAGGGAGTGGGCTTTTATTGGGGAACAAAAATTCCAGGGAAAATCCCATCCAATGAAGGTTAAGGGGGGCAGCATCCCAAGGTCAGGGGCGATGATTGGCTCTTCGGGGCAGTGGCCAGACACGTCTCTGCACGGACAAGCCCTTGGACCTGGAAAAGGGTGGGGAAGGCTCTAACACAGCTGTGTCTAAGCACCTCTCACCCAGCCAGGGAGGTCACTCAAATCACATGTGACGATGGCCTCCCGAAGTATATGAGGCCCATCACTGACCTAAATGTCATTATACAGACATGGGCCTACCATAGTTCGGACTGACCAGGTATAAATCAGAGGGTCCCTTGATCCCTTCCTTGACTTGATAATTTGTTAATTTATTTGTGTTGGGGGTTTGGGGGTACTGATAATTGAACCCAGTGGTACTTAACCACTGAATCATATTCCCAGTCCTTTTTGTTTTTGAGACAAAGTCCCTAAGTTGCTTAGGTCCTTTCTAAGTTGCTGAGGCTGAACTCAAGCTTGCAATCTCCTGCTTCGGTATCACAAATTGCTGGGATTATAGGTGTGCATAACCACACTCTGCTTATTCATGTTTTTATGGAAGATTCATTACCTAGGCATAGCTGATTAAATGACTGGCCACCAGTGACTAAGTCAGTCTCCAACGTTCTATTCCTCAGAGGTAGGACAGGATGTGGGGTGGGGCTGAAGCTCCAACCCTCTATTCATCAGCTGGTTCCCCAGGCACCCAGGCTCTCCTTAGGAGCTTTCCAAGTCACCCCATCAACACAAACTCAGGTTGTAAATAACAGATAACTGTCACCTCCAGAGCTGTTTTAAGAGCCAAGGACATATAAATATAACAAAGAGACTCCTGTTGTTCTTATCATTAAAGAAATTACAATAGTTTTAGGATCTCTGGCCAGGAGTCAAAGCCAAAAAACAAAATATATATATTTTTACACAGCATGACAGTGACAGTGGCTTGGAGCTAACCCTTTTAAACATCATGCTACAATGCCCATAAAATAGAATGGCCAGTCACTCTGAACAGCAAAGAGAAATATCCATTAAAATGTAGAATGAGCACTTTCATCAAGTGACCTCTCTGTGGCCACCTTCAAAAATACTGAGATACCTTCATAAAAAGGCACTACCAGAGATGTGGTTGGCCTGTAATAACAGTTAGCTAAATGTCCAAGAGCAGCAGAACAGCTAAATCATGGCACACACATCACTTAGAGGACAGTGCAGCCAGTCAAAAAGGTGTTTAGGCTGGCATGTATTGACAAATAAAAGGCAAGAATAGTATAGTAAATATTGGCAGCATGATTCCTTTTAAAATGACAAAAGCAGGAATAAGAAACCATGCTTACACTGAGAACAGTCTGGAGGATGCAGATCACATCAAATCCCAGTTCCTTCTGGAGAAGATCAGAGTGCATTGTTCTAGCAGTACAGAAAATAACCTGTTTTTCTACTCAAGATCAGTGCACATCACACAAATGAAAACGAATCTCTCGTGGCAATGGCTGTCAGAGATAAATGCAAGCTGAGAGCTCATGTAACATACAGTACCCTCCAGTCACATTTGACATCCCACAGTTATTAATTTGGTGTGTATCTTATGAACATCATCTCCCATATACTACTCTGCCCATTTAAGCCAGCAGTGGGGGGGCATACATCTGTAGCCCCAGCTACTTGAAAGGCTGAGGTAGAAAGATCACGCAAGCCCAGGAGTTTGGTGTCAGTGCAGGCAACATAGCAAGACCACCATCTCAAAAAAAACGAGTAAGTTGGGCACAATGAACACACACCTCAATCCCACCTGCTGACTTGGGAGGCTTCAGCAGGAAGGTTGCTGAAGACAAGTCTCAGAAACTTGGTAAGACCCTGTCTCAAAAAATTAAACAGGACTTTGGTGTGTAGCTCAATGGTAGAGCACTCCTGGGTTCAATTCCCAGTACTATATTCACACACTCCAAAAAAGTAATAATAAGAGCAATAATAATAATGAAAATTGTACTCCTTTCCAGAGCCTACTTTTTAAAGTTACACTTTTCAGATTAACTGAATTGGTATTTTTTTAAATAAACTTCTATAAATCTTTTAGGGAAGAAAGGAAAAGATGAGGACAACCCAAGTCAGTTACCTGGGACTGGATCATTTTCTTCTGTTCTTGGAAAATAGCTGGTCACTGGGATGCTCTGCCGTGGGGTCTTCCAGACCTGCTCTAAATGCTTATTCAGAAACCTCACTCTTCAATCAAAGCTGTCCCCAGAAATGCTAATGCTGCAATCTTGAAACTTCCTCCTTCATGTAATTGTTTTGGTTCTGAGGAGTCAGGACCTGTGGTTTGAAGAGAAAATCCGTTTGATGGCACATTTCCTCAGAGTCTGGTACTGTCACTGCCGCTAGGCACTCATCTTAACACAATGACCCCCTATTCCTGGCCATCCCTATATCTGGTGCCCCATGAGATTTGGTATCTCTGGCCATGAAGCCTCAGATTCTGAATGTGATAGTGCTGTGCCTTTATTCTATGAGGTTTAAGTGGGACAACTGCAAAAGGTGGGAAATGAGACCCATCCCAGCTCCACGTCTCGGGAGCAGGTGTGCTCAGATATCCCAGCTACGCACTGGAGTTGGCAGGATAGCTGAAATCCAGCTTACCACACACAAAAAAACCACTGTGCAGTCAAATGCCAACCTCAGTGGGAGAAGCAAACCGATAATTCTTTCAAAATATAACACTGGAGACTTTATCAATGTTATTACAGTATGGAAAAAATATTATAAGCAGGCCACATAAAGCAAATGATACTCTGCTAGGAGAACAGCACAAGGCACAACCACTTTGGAAAACATTTTGGCATCACTGCTTAGATCTAAGTGACACACACCCTGCAACACAGCAAAATTTCCTTCTGGGGTATACACCTTTAGGTATCTGTCGGGAGCTGCCACATAGGAGCTGAGCGATGGAAATGTGGAGACTGGCTTCCCTCACCTGGAGGCATGTGGATCCCCATTTCCACTCAGCAGAGGAGCACAGCTTTGGGAGTGCACATTACCCAGTGGGAGTGGGCTGCCCCTTGCAACATTACCCCTCTGCTTTATATGAATGGAATGTTCTTTCAAACAGCCTCACCCAATAAAGCCCACGTCCAAGGTATGCACCCTCTCTTTCTTGCCTACCTTGCCTCCTTTGTGGGAGCCGGGTAAGAGGGACCATCACTGAACCCAATGAAAGAGGTACTTCTCTCTCTGTGTCTTTATTTTGTGCCAGCCCAGTTCTCCTGGAGAGACCTGATAAACCCAACCTAATTCTTTCCTAAGATTGGGAGCTATCTCATCACAAAGTTATGAAAAGTTCATTTCTGTTTTACTAAGATATTTGGCCTGACCATGTGACCCTGACTGGTTTAGTCCTGTGTTGCGATATGTATCTATTACCCACCTCTCCCCAAATAAGGGCACATTTTTGAATCAGAAAATGCTTACAAAACTTTTCATTATAGTAATATGCATAATAACCCAAACTGCAAGCAATACAAATATAATTAGTCATAGGAAAAAACATTATTCAAGTAGTGGACCAAGACAGAAAAACTACAACCTTTGGTCCAACCTGCAAAAATGATTTTTACATTTTTACTTATTTTTTAATTGGTTCTTTTTGGTTATACATAATGGTAGAATCCATTTTGACATAACTATAAAAGCACACAATATATTTTGTTCTAATTCAGTCCCAAGTATCTCTCCTCCCCACCCCATCCCATCGTTTTTACATCTTTAGAGACTTGTAAAATGAAAACAAAAAAGAAGCATATGCAAATGACCTTATGTAAACTGCAAGTCCCAGAATAATGACTGTAAGTTTGACTTTCCCTTGCTACAGAACAAGGAAAACAAACCTATGTGCAACAACATGAAACTCTCACCAATACTGAGAAAAAGCCTGTGTGCATACACAAAAAGATGCACTATGCCATTGATACACAGTTCAAAGTTTGCAACACTCAATTAATTATCAAGATGGGGAATAATTATATTCATTATGTAATTTACAAATTATTAAGGAAAGCCAAAAGTGCTACAGTAATTACCCATGACCGAGGACGGGAAAAGGTGCACAGAACACCACTAAGGTGCTGGCAATGGTCTATTTCTTCATGTGGACAATGACTGCTTATATATATGCTTTTGTGATCATTAAATTGTACATTTTAAAATATAAATTTAGAAAAATTAACCAAAAAAAAGCTTAACAATACCAAAAACTTGCCTGAAAAGACCCATAAAATATATAAATTTGTAGAGAGACCAAAAGAGAGAGGGAAATGGTACTAACAAAAAAGTATAAGTATTAATGGAAGCCATGATTCGGACTGTTTTTGTCTTGAAATAATAAACCAGCACTTTTATGTCATCACATTTGAAGTCCTGGATGAAGTCACAACTCTATGATCCTACTGAGAAATTGATGTGACTCCATTTTTAAAAATAAATAAATAACAGCAGCTTCTACCTCAAGGCCTGTCCTAAGGAAGGGGGCGTGGCTCTTGTCCTTGGAAAAACCCACAGAGCAATCCTAAGCACATACCCACCCTTCTGAGTTGTTTGTAAATAACAGGAGAGGTCCGAGGTGCCAGGTATCCCTGACTCAGTTAGGCTAGGTGAGGACCCATAGCAACCCCCCTAGCAACCTCCAATCAGCATAAGACAGGGAAAAATACCTGGAATGCCAGATGACCCCCCTCCCCCAGTAATTTATGGTGGTTGATAACATGTTGGGAAACCTTGTAGTTAGCAGTACACCCCTTGTGGCCTAAACCAATCAGTTGAAACGAATCCCCCTCTTGTACTAACCAATCACCCCTACCCAACTTGTTCCCGCCATTGAATGTGCTAATCAATGTTAAGAGTTGTTGTTTGACTTTCCAGCGGTATGGAATGATTTGCTGTGTGATGTTTTGATGCATAGAGTACCCCCCAAAACCTATAAAATCTCACTGAACTAAGGGCCAGGACTCACTCCTCCAGACCGCTGAGTCTGAACCATTGTGAGTCCAGGCTGGAGCTTGCAATAAAGATTCTTGTGTGATTGCATCGGATTCAGTTCCTGGAGGTCTATTGGGGTCCCATGACTCTGGCATAACACTACCTCCAGGGACAATGTTAACTCCAGACAATAAAGGAGATGAATTTTATGGGTAGGCAACAAAACCAGAATGTGCACTGCCACCCTATTTTCCCACGCTGTCCTGAAGAGTTGAGCCAAGCCAGCATGAAAATAAATCACAAACAGAACAAAGTAGGAAAAAAATGAAGGTTCTTTTCAGACATCATCATCAACATGAACAGGAACTGGACCTACCGCGACGGGGTAAGACCCAACGAGAACTGCTAATAAACTGCGCTGTGGTCACGCGGCCACGTCCCTCAGCGTGACAGACTCTGTTGGCAGAGCAGAAAGCGCGGCTGTCAGGCGGGAGGGCAGCAGAGTCGCTACTGAGATCTGAAGGCGACGGCCAGGTCGGCCAGCAGCTACTGCAAAGGAACAAATGGGGCATCGCACGTGCCGCGCTCTGCGGGCCTCAGCCTCCCACAACCACTCCACTCCGCCCCCGAGCTCCAGAGCCCCGCAGCGCCCTGCGACACGGGATCGCGACCCGGAGCGGCGGGTCACAGCCCCGCGGCCAACGCCTCCACCTCACCGCCCTCCCACAAGAAGCCCTGGCTGTCCCGCCTACGTAAGGCCTCCAGGGGGACAAGACTTCCAAGGATAAAAACACACACCGACGTGACTTTCTCCAGACCTACGGTGGTCTCATCGCTGCAATTCCGCTACCGGCTTCTACTTGGGAACCCCCACCCAGCGCTCCGTCAGCCTACGGCGGCCGAGGGGGGTGTAAACTCTCTAACGGCGCACTGACGCAACGGACTTCCGGCGCTTCCCAGTAGGTAACATGGCCGCGCCCAGGTGGCCCCAGCCCGCGGAGGTGGCCATGTTTGCTGACGTATTGGGGCCAAAAGGCAGAATTGCCTCATTTCCTAGCACTTCTACACTGGCAGAAAATGTGTAGCGTGAAAACGGGTCGGTATCCAGGGACTTAGGGCCGACTGAACTGCGATCAGCGGCTGTCCAGCATAGTAGTATGTCTGCCCAGTAGGAGGTCGGGTGCCCCTGAGCAGAGAGCCGCCTCTGGAAAGGAACAGTGACGTCCCTAAGCAGACACCCCTGGAAGCGTGGGCGGGAAAGGGCTCGCGGGAAGCGGCTTTTGAGAACAGAAAAAGGCTGAGACGAGCTGGCAGAGTGGGGCGGCCACGCCCCAGGGGTGCAGCTCGCGGGAGGCCTGGAGCCCATGGAAGGAGTCGGGGAGCAGGGTCCGGAGGTGTGACACGAGTGTCCAGACCATGCAGTGGAACAGACTTTTCAGCTATGTTGTTGGGATACTCGGATACCTACATGCAAAAAACAAGTAAGAAGGTAAGCAGAAGAGGGACATAAAAGTTTAGGTGGCCCACGACTATAATTCCAGTTACTGGGGAGACTAAGGCAGGAAAAATATAAGTTTGAGGCCAACTTGGGCAACTCTACCCAGTTTCAAAATAAAATTAAAAGGGCTGAGAATGTAGTTCGGTGGTAGAGCATGAGGCTCTGGATTCAATTCCTAGCAATACAGGGGGTGGGGGTGGGCATAAATGGTTAAAGTTTACAGGAGAACAAAGGCAATAACCTTTATGAACTGGGTTAGTTCCAAGACAAGACACTATCCGATGAGCCGTGAAATTAATAAATAGGAATTTAAAAAAAAAACTATTGTGCTGTTAAGCATATTTAAGAAAGTGGAAAAAGCAGCCACAGATTGGGAGTAAATATTTCCACATTTGTCTGACAAACCCACCACCCAATTACTCTTTTGATGGAGGTCATGAGATTTTTCCAAAAATTGGACTCTTTGGAGAGTAGGACAACCCTATAAACTTTAATTTGTATCTGAGTTAGACACTTTATACATATAAGAATAATAACATGTAAAGTGTAACTGTCACTGGAGAAGATATTTCTCCAAAGAAAGATATGAGGACTTAAGAGAAGGAGAAGCTTGACTGAGGACCAGAAGGGTTCTTGGCACATATGCCAGAAAAGAATTTCAGCACACACCAGTCCTAGTCATAGATGGAGGTTTATTTAGGGAAATAGATACATGTTCAAGGAAGAATAAAAAGTGCCATTGCAGTACAGCAAGGAATAAGCATTCAAGGGAAAGTGCAGGCCATCTCCCCCAGAGACCCCCTTGATGTGGGGTGTTGATACTCATAGAGGACAGTTGCTAGGGACTGGAGTAGAGGTGGAGCCAGAGTGGAGCTGCATTCTCCTGGTGCTTGCACTATCCTCATGTTACCAGGGCAAGGGTCAAGGGCACATGGTTCTTGGGTGCTTTCTGCACTAATGGTTTGGAGTCCTACTCAGGTTTTAAGATGGAGCAGGGTAGACACATTTGATCTCTGCACAACTGGAAGAGTTGTCAATTCTAGGAATGAGAGGGTGGTGATGCAGTTCTATGTACATGTTGTTCCAGGTGATGACTCCCAAGCCAGCCTCCTGGAGAATGACAGACTGTCAATACTGCCCCTATCCATTCCACTTGAGGCCTAGATATGTGATCAAGACCATCTAGGCTACTCAGGCCAGGGCAGGCCAGCTCAAACCAAGCAATCCACACTTCGACCTGCACAGTTAAACTAATGATGTTCCTTATCTGTAGCCTTCGAGTTTGTTGTGTTAGCCAAGTAAAGTTTGTATAAGGGGGCAAATACCAACTTTTATGAATATAAATATACACATGCAGGTGATTATGTAAATCATGGACATCTCAGGAAAACAATCTGCAGACTTAATACAGAATTTCAACATATATAAGTAAGGGTGATATTTATTTATGAGGAAAAAACAGAACATTCTACAAAAGAGCAAATCTACTACTATACACACACATGCATGCACACATGCATGCATGCAATTCAAAATTCTCAGTATAAAACAATTTGGTTTTCTCTTTGGTTTAAGACCTGAATCAGAGGAATATCAAAGGTTGGCATATTTGTACTGCAATCAGTTCTCAATTATTTGAATTTGTTATCTCCAGTTTGATCTAAAATTCAGCTATGTTCCTCCCACAGGCAATCTCTCCTCCCCTGCTCTGCACTCTACACAGTGCTTTGTGTTATGGAAGCTTGGATCTGCCGAGCACCTATAATGTGTTTCCATGTGCATACTATACAAGATGAAAAAATATTTAAATATTGACCCCAAAAATATATATACTTGCAAATAAACAGTGAAAAATCATTAATACTCAGGAAACAATGCTATCAATAAAATGAATTGAGTGGGTTTCAATGATAGAAATAGCAATGACTTAAAGTCAATGATAAATATATTTAAAGACCTAAAGAAAACCATGTTGAATGGTTTAAAGGAAAATAAGAGAATAATGGCTTGATAGAAAATCTTGGTAAGACAGAAAATGTAATGAAGAACCCAATAGAAATGTTAGTGCTGAAATAGCAGAGTCTACAAAAGCAAATGAGTTTAGCAGTACGATAGGGTGCAAGTTCAACACACAGATGAAACCATGAATATAGGAGCATTTACAATGGCTCTATAAATGATACCTTCAGGTAAACTTCTAACAACATACAGGATACGCATAAGCTAAAAAGCTTTTTATTTATTTATTTTTTAAGAAGAATTAATCAAATGGCAAGACAGCATTGTTGGGAGCTGCTCTGGACAGAGCTATGTACACACCTTTAAGTCCTGAGTAAAGGAGTCCTGAACAGTTATTGCACTCTGCAATACATTGGGCTTTTGACCCCTCTTGGATAATGAGGCTGGCTCCAGGAGTAGGTGTCACCTGGTGGGGTTGAGATACACTCACCTGTTCCTTTGAAATCCTACCCCTTTGCCCTTTTAGGGAAAGAATGTTCCATGGGTCCTCCCCTTGTGTGTCCCCTGTGTAAGAATAAATAATTCCAGTGGTTCTCTCTCTTTCCACTGACCCCTAAGGTCAGGAGCCATCCCTGGATTTTGAAAAGGTACTTCTGTGTATTTGCGTGTTTTCTTCGACGTTTTTTTAAGTTATTGGAGTAGTCAGGTTTTGTGGCCCCAGCATAGGTTGCCAGCTTGGATAGATGGCAGTACAGCATGTCAGAAGACTCGGTGCAATAAAGATGCCAGATGAACCCACTTTCGTTTAATATATTGAATGCAATTTCAGTAAAACAGAAAAAAAATAAATATACACAAGCATATTTTAAAGTTTATCTGGAGGGCTCATTGCCGCCGGCTGCCAAGGCTTCAGGGGCCAGTGCAAGCGCCCTGCAGCACCTGGCGGAGCAGCTCAAGCTGGAGGCCACCTGGAGGACCAGGGTCTCTCAGGCTGCTGCAGAGCTGCAGCAGTACCACCTGCAGAATACCTGCAAGGATGCTCTGCTCGCCAGTGTTCCAGCCAAGAGCAACCCCTTCATAGAGCCCAGATCCTGCGCTTTTTCTTTAGGCAAATGACTGGGGTATTTCAGACCTTCCTGTGTCCTGCTCTTACAGACAAAATTCTACAGTAATTAATGATTTTCTACAAATATGGAAACTGAGTGAAGAAATAGAATTGCTTCAAATAATAATTGCCTGATTCTCCTGGTGAAGTGCTTTGTACTAAGATAAACAACTTTATCACCAAATATACCAACATACACTGCTTTAATGAGTGAGTTGTTGGTGTTGCTATACTTAGGATATCATGTATGTTTTATTTACTGGATGTTTACATTTTAGGAAGGAAAACACTTGTAAAAAACAAATGGAATATTTGTAATTTGTTGTTCCTAAGATTTTTATACTATAATAAAATTTGTTCTATCATAAATCTGCAATTACTAAATGAAGACAAGAAAGCATAAAATTGGGAGAAGGAATAGACTTTACTAATCAAATGATGCCTTGATTCTTTCTAAATGAGAATATTGTTTTATTTTTAACACTAAACACAAATGTTTCATAGTAAACTTGTTTAGAAAGATTTATGTTATGATGTATATTAGGTTGCCCAATCTGTGTATGAAACAGATTTGATCTCTTTTTAAGTTCCTTTATAGTTGTGATTGCACTTTTAAAAAGATACATTTAAACATTTAAAAAATGTTTAAAATATGGCGTACATACAGAACATTACAAATGGTTAAAAACAAAGAAAAGTGAAATAGTTATGACCTAAAAGAATTCTTCATGTCATGTCTTTACTTTCATAGTGTGTCTTTAATTTGGGATACCTTGAGAAGGATACTTTGTGTTTGTAATAGTCTTCAAAGATCTTGGGTATAAATTCTGCTTAATTATTATGGATGTAATGCTCTCCTCTATTGTGATGTATGTAAGAAATAATTTAAAATTAATTTTAAAAAAAAGAATTAGAAAAAAATTAAATAAATTCTGCTTAATTAAAAAGTATGGAAAGACAAAGAAACTGGAATAAATAAAACTATTTTCAAAGAAATTTAGAGCCAGAAGAATATGATTCCTTGGTTTTATGACTATCACTGCTATAGTGTGTTATTGGTGAAACAACAAATTCATCAATGGAAGAGTCAAGAAGTAGTCAAAAATATAACCGCTTTTTACAAATGTGCAAGGTCAATTTAATGAGAAAAAAACAGTAATTTCAAAATAATGTTGGACCAACTGTATAATCATAGGCAAAGAAAATAAAACCTAACCCTCAACTCCTATCCAAAAACTAACTCCAAATGGATCATAGTTTAAAAATATTAAAAGCAAAACTACATTTGTAAAGTATAGGAGAAAATAATCATGATACAGCTAGGTAATGAATTTTTAGATATGACATCAAAATTATAACTCATAAAAGAAAAAATGTAATTTGGATTTAATATTATTTATATTCCTGAGGAGGGAAAAATGATACACCACATCTGGGGAAAATATTTGTAAGTGATATGTCCAAGAAAATTGTACCTAGCATACAAACCTCTTTAAAAACATCTCTAAATGTCATACTAGGGAAACAAACATCCTAATTAAAAATGGACAAATGATTTGAGTAAACACTTCATCAAAGATACTTGGAAGGCAAACAAGCACATGAAAAAATAATATCAAAACCATTACAGGAGCTGGGTACAGTGGCCCACACCTGTACTCCCAATGATCTGGTAGGCTAAGGCAAGAAGATCTCAAGTTCAAAACCAGACTGGGCAATACCATGTCAAGAAAGAAAGAAAGAAAAGAAAAAAGAAGAAAGGAAGGAAGGAAGGAAAGAAAAGGACAAGGGATATAGCTTGGTGGTAGGACACTTGCCTAGAATGTGCAGGACTCGGGGTTTAATCCCCAGCAAAGCAAAGCACAAAAGCAAACAACAACAAAAATTAGAAAAATATAAATGAAGGTCGCAATGAGACAGCACTACTTACATAATACAATGACTAAATAACACATGGTGACAATAGCAAGTGCAAGAATGTGGAACTATCAAACTTCTCATATATTCCTGTTGGAAAATTGAACAGGCACTGTGGAAAATAGTTAAGCAACATAAAATTGATTCTCACCATTGGACCCAAAATTCAAACTCTTCATAATCATCTTAGAGAAATGAAATTTGTGCTTACACAAATGCTTGGTACCAGAATGTTTGCAGCATCTTTATTTATAATAGCAAAAAAATCTGACAAAAACCCTAATGTCCATCAGTGGGCAAGTAGAAGAGTAAACTGTTGTATATCTATATGAAATATATTACCCACCAGCAAAAAGAACAACCAGAATGGGACTGAGGATAATTTGCTTAAGGTTATATAATCAAATCTCAAAAGGTACATGATGTGTGCTTCCATTTGCATAACATTGTACAAATGAAAAAATTACATATATTAACAAATCCTATTGCCAGGAGTGAGGTGGGGAGCCAAGCAGGATGGCATCCCTATAAAGCCAACTACTCAGGACACCAAATTGGCTAGATTACAAATATTGAGGCCCAACCTGGGCAACTTAGCAAAAACATGTCCCAAAATCAAGTAAAAATGGTTGGGATAGCTTAGTGGTATTGCACTTGACTAGTATGTGTGAGGCCCTGGGTTTGGTCCTCAATACCTTCACCCCACCACACCCCAAAATTTAAAAAGTTGGGAAAGTATGCAACAATAAAAATGCATGTAGGAATTTGTTGATGTGACTTTATGTTCTTGATTGTTGTTGTTACATATCATAAAATGTCCCTAAACTTAAAAACTAAACATTAAAACTGGTGATCAAATAAATTCTATTAGTCAACAGTATGGCAATAATTTCCTGTAATTGATAATGAACAGTGGTTATATAAGATGTTATCTTTGGGAGAAGCTGGTTAAGGGCCTTTAGAAACTCTTTATTTGGGTAAGATTTCTGTGAATCTAAATTTATTATTTCTGAATAAAACTTATAAAAGTTTTGGTTTTATTCTTTTTTTGTACTTGGAATTGAACCCAGGGGCACTGGGAAACATCTGCAATCCTTTTTTTTTTTTTTTTTTTTTTTTCTGAGACAGGGTCTAAGTGTATTGCTGAGGTTGGTCTCAAACTTGTAATCCTCCTGCCTCAGTCTCCCAAATCACTGGGATTACAAGTGTGCACCACCATGCCTGACTTTATATTGACTTCATACACTGCTTAATACTACTTATAAAACTTTATTAATATATTCCATTTCAAGTATTCTAAACTCAGAATCAAAGAAATGGAAGAGCTTATCATGTAATGACAGACTTGTAACAAAAAGACTTCTTTCATCATTTTGCTAGGGCTTCTTTCCCTCATTATCATCTCTTACTACTTCACAAACGGTTCTATACATTCAAATATATTCATATTGATTTCTTCACAAGTGATGCAATAAAATACTACAAATCCTGCCATAGAAAAGCATTTCGCTAGTGTCAACACTCTCAATCTATTAAGGTCTTAATTTCTGGGCAAAGGCTTTCCCGTGTTTATCATATTTCTATCAGCTGATATTTCATCCATAACCTATGATAATTTTTTGATAATTTTCAGCATTGGGGAATGAACCTAGGGAGATGAAGTCTCTCTCTCAACTGAAGGTTTCTGTAGTCTGTCACATTTGTGGGATTTTTCTGAGTACACACTTTTTAGCCATCATATAATGTCCTGAAATGCTTTTATGAAGACTGATTGTATATAGTTGTTTCATATAATATGGAAGATGAATGAGGTAATTGATCCTAAGTATACCACCATATACTCTACAACAAAGTTATTATTCTTTGTATTTATTATATTATCTCAAGGGCCTACAACTAGCAGAATAACTACCTGTGAATTCTCTTGTGTTTAACAAGGATTGACAAGTGGGCAAAAGCTTTCCCACAATCACTACATCCATAGGGCCTCTCTCCTGTATGTTTTCTTTGATGAACATTAAGCCCTGACTTTGTAGTGAAGGCTTTCCCACATTCACCGCACTGATAGGGTTTCTCTCCTGTGTGAATTCTCTGATGGGTAATGAGGTCATTTTTGCGCAAAGAGAATTTTCCACATTCAGTACATGCAAAGGAAGTGTTTCCTGAGTGAAATCTCTGATGCTGGACAAGGCATGTCTTCTTCCTGAAGGCTTTACCACACTCATTGCATTTGTAAGGCTTCTCTCCAGTGTGAGTTTGCTGATGTATGCCTAGAGTACTCTTCATGGTGAAGCCCTTCCCACACTCATTGCATATGTATGGTTTCTCACCAGTGTGAATACGCTGATGGGCAATAAGCATGCTTTTCCCAGTTAAGCCTTTGCCACATGCACTGCATATGTAGGGTTTCTCTCCTGTATGAGTGCGCCGATGTACATTGAGGTGACTCTTTTCAGTAAAGCCCTTTCCACATTCACTGCATTTATAAGGCTTCTCTCCTGTGTGAGTTCGCTGATGTCCTATCAACCGGATCTTTGCAGGGAAACCTTTTCCACATTCATTGCACACATAAGGTTTCTCTCCTGTGTGAGTTCGCTGATGGACAATCAGGCGGCTCTTCACAGTGAAGCCTTTCCCACAGTCATTGCACATATATGGCTTCTCTGCAGTGTGAGTTCGCTGATGTACAATTAGGTCACTCTTCATGGTGAAGCCTTTTAGACATTCAGTGCATACATAGGGTTTCTCTCCTGTATGTGTCCGCTGATGCCTGATGAGAGGACTCTTCAAGGTGAAGCCTTTTCCACACTCATTGCATGTATATGGTTTCTCTCCTGTGTGTGTTCGCTGATGTATGATGAGACAGTGCTTCATGGAAAAGGCTTTTCCACATTCACTGCATGCATACAACTTCTCTTCTGAATGAGTTAGCTGATGTGTGATAAGACTGTTCTTCAAGGTGAAGCCTTTCCCACATTTATTGCATATGAAGGGTTTCTCTCCAGTATGAGTCCGACTATGTGCAATAAGATGCCTCTTCTCAATGAATCCTTTTCCACATTCACTACATATATAAGGTTTCTCTCTTGTATGAGTTTTCTGATGTGTAGTGAGACTGAACTTTGTAGAGAAGGATTTCCCACATATGCTGCATCCATGGGGTTTCTCTCCTGTATGAGTACGCTGATGATAAATGAGTCGACACTTTTTAATGAAGGCTTTCCCACATTCACTACACTTATAAGGTTTCTCTCCCATATGTGTTTCCTGATGCACACTGAACTGTAATTTTTTGAGGAAGGACATGTCACATTTGGTGCATTCATATTGTTTCATCCCTGTATGATTTCTCTGATGTTCTGTTAGCTGGGACTTTCTGGAGAAGGCTTTCCCACATTTACACCTATAAGGTTTCTCTCCTGTATGAACTCTCTGATGATTGGTGAACTGAGACACCCTGACAAACACCTTCCCACACTCACTGCATTCATGTATTTTCTCTATGCTATGAGTTCTCTGTTGTTTAATGACCAGGGCCATATTGGTAGGTTTTGCACTTAAAGGAAATTTAATTTCAGTATAAAACCATTCATGGTTTGCATGGATGTATATAGATTTCCCATCTCCATTAATCTCAGTAAATTTCTTTAGGTCACAGCTTCTATTCTGGCTTTTTAAACTTAAATTTGATTTTAAAGGTTTTTCACAATTTTTCTTTAGTGGAAAATGAACTTTGCTCTGATTAACAATATTTCTGAATGCTTTATGTTCATGGCCTTGCTCCAGATTCTTCTGAATGCTTTGATTTTTCAAGTGATGTTGCAGAGGGTCATCAACTTTTCTGATTTCTAGGAAAAACAAGAACAGTGAATCATTTCATCATCTTCTTCTGTCATTAAACTGTTTTAAAAAATGCTGTGGTGTGATGTAACTCTTTAATGACAACCCCATATAAATATAAAAAGGTTTTGTATATAAATATCCCTATCTCTTGCACCTTGGTAAAACACAATAACATACACACATTATAAAGTAAAATCAGTAAGTGTACATGCTTTTCCCAGTTAAGCCTTTGCCACATTCACTGCATATGTAAGGTTTCTCTCCTGTATGAGTGATTTGTAGATGTGACTACTTTCTAAATAAATCTTTACAAAATGTACAGATAGTAAAAATATCAACAAGATCACTTTTAGCAGGAACCCCAGAATTTCACAGGACACCATCAGACCATGGAAGCTGGAGACATACCAGACCATATGAGGCTACATTTATTTACTCTACAATTAATTTGCTGAACAACAGCTATGTGTAAGTTGCCATGTTTGTGTTTTGAATATACAAATATATTTCTTAGTTTCATGAAAGTTTAGTTCTAATTATGGAAAAAGAATTCAAAAGAAATCAAAGAAATAAAGACTGTAACTGTCATCTGTAAAATGTTATGAAGGAGGCAGTAAGATATACAGGAGGAACAGGAAATCAGAATATAACTAAAAGAAGAAAAGCTAAAGTTTAACTTACTAATAGTTTCAATGGGAGGAGTGGGAAGAGGATAAGTGAAAGTAAGGGCACAACGATTACTGTAAAAATCACATGGCTTCAACCACCACATTAGGGGAAAGCCTCATGATGAAATAAGAAATATTACTGAAGTCTGGAATGAATGGAAAATCTAGTGTACATTAAGAACATAAAGTTTCAGGTGATTACTATACATCCAATATAAAAATGAAGAAACTGATTGAATATGTAAGTACTGAAAAAGGTCTTATCTGGAAATAGCAATGTGGATATCATCAATCCACACAAAATTATTCAAAGAAAGAACTGGATAAGATTGTACTCAGAAACAAGTAGAAAAAGAGAAGGTACATGCATAAGGCCTACAACTTAGCCATGCCTATATAAACAGCTCTGAAATTTGTTAAGCCCACCAAAATAAACCAAATACTGACTACTATGACCAGGTGTACCTCCAGAGATCCAAATATATGGAATAAATACCCCACAGTGACAAGAATGTAAGATTCTCTAGCAGGGTGCAGTGGAATTTGCCTGTAATCCCAGCAACTCATGGGGGAGGATACAATTTATCAAGACTCTGTCTCAAGATAAAATAAACGAGGCTGGGGATATAATTCAGTGGTAGAACATCCCCTGGGTTCAATCCTCAGTTCTGTGGTGGAAAGGGGAGTGAAATCCTCTTGAAAACTGATAAAAGGGTAGATATGAAGTGTTCTCACCACAGAATTAAATCAGCACTTTTTTTTTTTTTTTTTGGTGGTGGTGGTGGTGGTTTTGGAGATTGAATCCAGGGCCTTGTACATGCTAGGCAAGTGTTCTATCACAAGTTACATTACCAACTCCCAATCCCACTCCTTCTGGGTCATACTCTCCTATGTTGCTACAGAAGGAATAAACAATGATGGACAATTAAGTGTTTGCAGGCATGGGTTATTCCATCACACACACCAAAGAAAGCACTGGCCTTGACTGGCTCCTGAAAGGTAACTCTGGGTCCCTGGAATATTTGTCTAACAAGAGTGTCTTTTTATGCCTAAGGCCTTGGGTCACACCAGATGTGTTTAATGCTAGCAATGTTATTAATGTTGGACACCCTGTTTGTGTATGCCTGAGGCTTTGGACCCAACTGTATCATTTTGATTCTGGGTAGTTAGACACCATACCTGGGTGAACTTCCCTGATAGGCAACTGTGGGAAGCCGTTCTCGCACGTGATTGGGCACCTCCCTGACTGGGTGTGAGGCGTTCCGGCCAAGCTGTGTCAGAACTAATCCCCACCCTTTTTAGGTGCAAGAGCCCATCCGTGTGGGGGTGTGACTGACCATTGACCCTGAGACCAATCACTGACCCTGACCTTGGAATGCTGTCCCCCTCAACCTTCATTGGATGAAGGTTGAATTTCTTGTTCCCCAATAAAAGGCCACTCCCTGGCATGCCCTCTCTCTCTCCTGTTAGTCTCTTGTGTAAACCTCGCTACCCCACCGGGTGGCTCAAGGCAGGAGCCAGGGAGGGCCAGCTCAGACCTGGTCAAGAAAAAGGTAAATTTAGTTTATGTGTGTTTATTTTGATCTCACTAGTTAACTTCTATGCTTAGGACCTCTAGTATGAAGCTAGCGTGCTGGTCGCGTGGCAGAGGCAACACTTCACATATGCTGTCAAAGATTATTGCTGGAAAAATTCAGCACTGGTTGCAGAGATTCACTAATAGAAGATGACTGGTAGCTTGAGCCTAGTTTTGTTTTGTTTTCTTTTTTCTTTTTTATTTTTTTGCAGAGGCCAAGGTTTCACGTATACTAGGCAAGTGCTATACCACTGAGCTATTTTTAAAATATTTTTTAGTTGTAGATGGATAAAATACTTTTATTTTATCTATTCATTTTTATGTGGTGCTGAGGATCAAACCCAGTTCCTCATGCATGCCAGGCGAGCGCTCTACCACTGAGCCACAACCCAGCCCCTGATGATTTTAATTTGTATCACTTTACTGTCAAAGACTGTAACATGAGTATAATAGTTCCCTCCCATCCTAGCTAAAGCCTACATTCTAAATAGTAGAGAAAAGAATCTATTTTAAAAAAGTAGTGATGCTATGCCACTCCTCTATTCAAAACCTAGTGCTTTCTCAACTCATTTGGAGTAAAATCAAAGTCTTGAATGCCTTAGATAGGCAATATGTGGCCCATGGACCAGAACCTCCTGCTACTACCCAACTATCCTTATTTCTACTTTCCCTACCAGCTTCCTAGAAGTTCCACAAACTCCCTCCAGTCTCAATGTAGTAGAACTTCCACTGTTTCACATCTGGAACACTCCACACCCAGAGAGCCTACTTACTTCTGCCATCTATCTACTAAAAGGCCCTTAATAAGGAGCCATTCCCACCCACCACCCTAAAAGCACAGTGCCATGTCCCAACACCTACATTCCTATAGCTGCTTTAATTTTCCTTGTAGTATTGTTTTATCCCCCAAACATATTTATTATGTTTACTTTTTATTATATAGTCACCTCCATTGAGAATGAAAGCAATGTGAAAAGGAACAAGAATATTTTTTCCTCAGGTTTTTTTTTTTTTGTATTGGTGTTAGCAAGGCTTTCAACACACAAGTTTTAAAGAAGTAAATTATGAAGGTAATCACACATATAAACCATATTGATAAGAATTAATATTTAAAAAGAAAACCAAAGCTCTATAATTAAGATGGTATTGTGGCATTGAGATCACTTGAAGAGAAACAGCAATCTTCCATGATAAGAAAATAATCATATTTTTATAGTCTAACAAGGAATAATCTGGAAATGCAAGTAAAAAAGAATTTCATCAATTACAAAATCAAAAAAGAAAACTACTTAGAAATATATTTAACAAAGGAAGTGCCAAACTTACACTGTATTCTGAAAGCTACAAAGCAACCCTGAAAGAAATTAAAAGCCTAATTAAATATAAAATGTCCATTGCTCCTGAATCAGAAAATTTAATAAGATTAAAATGGCAATACTCCCCAAAGTGGTAAACAGACTCAGCATAATTCTACTGAGCTTTTAAGGAGAAAATCACAAGCTCATTCTATAATTCAAATTGAAATTCAAAGGACTCAAACAAAAAATATATATCCTTTTTTTTCCTTTTCTGATACTTGGGATTGAACCCAGAAGCACTTTACCATTGAGCCACATCCCCAGTCTTTTTCATTTTTATTTTGATACAGGGTCTCACTAACTTGTATAAGCTGACTGTCTCAGCCTCCCACAAGTTTCTGGGATTACAAGTATGCATCAGCTCACCTGGCTAATAAAAACAACCTTGAAATAGAGGAACAAGTTAAAGGACTCAACTTTCCATTTTCAAAACTTAGTACAAAACTATAGTAATCAAAGCAACTTGAGAACATAATTTATGTAAATACAAAATGTCTCTAAATTGTTTACACATAATTAGATGATATTTAAGCAACAAATGGCTATTAAAAAACCATGGAATTGTACTTTAAATGGGTGAGTTACATGGTATGTGGAACATATCTCAATCACACTACAAAAAAACATGATGAAACCCCAAAAACTTTTGGGAAATAAATGCATAGCGACACCTAAGATGAATTAAGGAAAGTTCAGAATTAGAAAAACTATGATGGAAATGAGTTAAGTTCTGACTTGCTTTGGGACATAAATTAATTAAACAATCAAAACCCTACAGGGAATTTTAAGAAGACAGAGCTCAGCATGTCGGGAACATTTAAGGTAATGCCAGGATGGATGAAACTGAAACGGGCAGATCTAGGAGAACCCAAGTTTGAGTCAGAATAGCCACACTGGATGCAGTGGCTCACACTTGTAGCTCCAGCTACTCAGAGGGCTGAGGTGGAAGGATCACTTGAGCCCAGGAGTTTGGGGCCAGCCTAGGCAACACAGGGAGATCCCAGCTCTAAATCAATAAACAAACCAATAAACAAAGATAACAAAAAATAATTATTTTTGGAGGAAGATGATTCTTGCTCCTCACACACAATGGGAAGTCACCAGCCAGCTGCCATGAAGATGGACAAAATATACAGAAATTAAATATAAATTAGATAGTATTAAGGGGGAAGTCAATTTGTAAGTCTCTTCCAGAGACCAGAAAAAAACTAATTCAGAGAATGGAGAAATCATAAAGTAAACTTTTAAGACTTATGAGAACAGAAAAGAAAATAGAGAAATATGGAGAATCTCAGAAAGGGGAAAAAAAGAGAAGGTTAAAAAATCACATAAACCCTGAGTGAGAGACCAGGTCATCCAAGATGAGGTTAGATGGTATTAAAGAAGATTAAAATGTAGTAGTTAGAAAAAGAGTGATGCATTCAGAGTGCTCTCTGTTTAGAAAGGCCTGAAGAGAGGAATTTTTTACAGCAAGTGACTCAGGCAGAGACACTATGACAGTGGATTTGAAAATCCTAGGAAGAACATAATTATGCAAAGAAACCAAAACAAGATAGGTATAAAATAAGAAAGGATGAGAGCAAGAAGAGAAAAGAAGGGTATATTTCCAACAAAGAAATGATCTGACATGGGCAGAGGGGCACGTAAAGAGGCTGGTTCATGGCTTTGCCTTCTATTCTGAGTAAGCAGAATATGACTTCTGTGGCTGCCCACCTGGCCAGTTCTCTCACTCACCTGAACAGAATCGACTGTAGATTTTACCTGCTGTTGTCCATGGTTCTTCCCCTCGTTCCAATTTGGAGAGGGCATCTGGTTTGCTGGATACATACCCTGATTGTGGGAAATGACAGAAGACTTACACTGAAATGGGTTAGGATATGTCAAGAAGGGAGACTGTTACATTTTAGGGACTAAACCCAAATTTTATATCTATAGCTCTCAGCTTCTCCCTCAGGAAAAGGTGGATTACTCTTCATATGGGGCAAAAGAAGATCTGAGAATCAACCACTTGAGAGTACTGCTGATGCTCCACAGACTTAGACAGCTGAGAAATGGAAGGCCACAGTCTAGCACCCTCCAAGTAACACAAGGCAGCTGTCCTCACCCATTGACACAAGGCTGCTGTAGTTCTCCAACATCACATCCTGATACAGGTCCTTCTGAGCAGGGCTCAGGAGCTGCCACTCCTCCCAGGTGAAGACCACGGCCACATCATCAAATGTCAGGGATTCCTGTAATGACATAGTATTAATGAAATGATGTTCCTTTGGTGATACGGAAAGTGTGCAAAAGTTATTCTGCTCATTTTCACAATAAAAGAAAATTGGTGTTTGTTTTCTTAATACAAAGTGATAAAATAAGAATTCAAATAAAATATTCTGTGACTGTGCGATCATCTGTTGATTCAACAAAGTTGAAAATTCAAACAAATTTTGGCATATGTAGCCCTTAATTCCTCTAGCTAATGTAATAACATCTACTATAAGTGTACATATATATGTATATATGAGCATCTATTTTCTAATACCAAACTATACACTAAAGAGACAAATAATACAGATTGTTATATGTTCCATGGATCTTTGAGCCAATATCAAAGTAATGAAAAAAAAATTGCAGATGCTAGTATCACAAGATAATATATACCAAACAACTATGGTCAATGTACAGAACAAAACAAAAGAAACTGAAGAACATGTACAAAGCAAAAAATATTAATAGATAATTCAGCAAATTTGGAAAGAATTATATTTAAAAAGCATATCAAACACATATACACAAATGCCTATCTAGATGTGCATAAAAAACTGATTAATATGTTAGAGACATACAGAGGAAACCTGCTTTTGTATTTATGAGAAGGCTACAGTTTAGGACATCACCACCGCACCACCTCTAAGAAAACTCATTAAGACCAAAATGAGCCTCAGAACTGATGCCACAAAACACCAACATCCCTTGAAAACTTGTCTGCTTTCTCATAGTTGATGCAACTTACTGTGAATCTCTTGTATGACTGTCATAGATATCACACACAAGCTGACAGCTAATGCGAACTACAGGGTCCTCCTGCACAGTCATATAGCATATTCCAACATGAATCGTGTAGTGTAAAACCCTATGAATAATAATTTCCTCCTGAGCATGGTGGCACACACCTGTAATCCTAGCAACTCAGAGGGCTGAGGATTCCAAGTTTGAGGCCAGCATTAGCAACATAATGAGACTATGTCTCAAAATAAAAGGTGAAAAGAACCGGAGATGTAGCTCAGTAATAATCACCCCTGAGTAGAATCCCTAGTAACTACCTACCTATCAACCCATTTATTTATTCATTCATTTCTGATCCTACTTTGCACAGATTTCCCCAGATCACACTATTCCTCATTCATACTTGTTTAAATGCACTGATTTTTACCAGTCTTTACAAATCCACTGGGGAATAAAGAATAAGACAAATCAAAAGTCGGCTGGGCCTGCATCAATTTCTTCTGAATCTGTGAAATAACCATTAATTGGAATGTTCCATCTTTTGCCTCTTCTAGATCCGCTGCCACAACACTCAACTAAATCATTCAGAGTCACCCCAGGTGAATTTGGATTTACACAAAATAATTTACACAAAGAAAGTCGCTTTTTCTTAGTGCCCAGTGATGGCTCTCAACCTTAGGGATCTGTTGGAAAGAGAGCCACCTGAATTCTTTATTCTTATATAGGGGGCACACAAGGGGAGGTTCAATGGAACATTCCATCCCAAAAAGGTCAGGGTAGTGTTACAAAGGAAGGAGAAGGCAGCCCACTCCATTGGGTAACGCCCACTTCATTGGGTAACACCCACTCCCAAAGCTGTGCTCCTCTGCTCCACAATTCCATCGCTCAAAGTTAGGGGTCGCTCAGCTCCTATGTAACAGCTTTAAAAAGTTTTGAAATATTTTGTAAGATCTAGTGTGTGCATAGGGGTCCTGTTTCCCCCCTTTATTTATAAAATTGAGTAGAGGATTGGCATAAGCCATAGTATTATTAGTTTAAGTTATAGACAATAGTACAAGTATTTAAATAAGAAAAGATTTATTATACCTAGGTGGTCTTAAACCTGACAAAAGTCATTTAAAGGATCATGGTAAATACAAACTTAGCTTTTGTGTGTGTGTGTGTGTGTGTGTGTGTGTGACTTCATTTTGACTTAACAGAATTACCAAAAATAAATATAATAAGTTGTTTATAAAAATTTGTGTATTGAAGTTAGCTCTGGATTAACTTAAATAATTATCTAAATTTGGAGTGAAGTGAGAGACAGAGTTTTTAACTTAGGAATGGTGGCCTTTACTAGGGACATGAGAAATATAAAGACATCTATCTCAAATAGAAAGTAGACATGTTAAATAAGCCTAGAGAGGATATTTTCTTCTTTACCATTAACCAAAAATGAAATAGAAAAATGAACAGCCCTTTATGTACTAATCTATGAAAAACTGTTATTATTGTTATCAAACTCAATGTTGATCCAAGTGTAGGGAGTTAGTATCTCAAATATTAATGGGTAAAAATAGGTCAACATCTAATTTATAATTTTATATGGCACTGGGCTAGTAATGACATTTTGAGGAATTTATGTCAAAATAGTCCTTATGTATAAAGAAACGGGTTGTATGAATATGTTTAGTAATTTTATTTAATGTAGCAAGATTAGCTCCAATAATTATCTATAATTTATGACTTTACTAATTTCAAAAATACCAACTTGTGATGTAGGGCATTGCCTAGCACGTGTGAGGTTCTGGGTTCAATACTTAATGCCACATACAAAAAAAATAAACAAATAAAATAAAAGCCTGCTTGTGGGAGACCAACCTTACATGTGACTGAGTTATACTTCCCAGCTGGGGGTTTGAGGGTCCGTGACTCCGTGTCTTGCTACAGCCCCAGGGGTGAAGCTATGCTCACCTGTTCCTTTATAATATAACCCCTGCCCTGTTTAGGATAGAATCTTCCATAGAAGTGCCTTGTGTGTGACCCCTTCTCTTACTGTGCCCTTGGGTGTGGCCTACCCAGGTGTCAGTCAACCTGCTGACAGTGGACATCATGAAGATAGACTCAGCCCCCTGAAACCTGACCCCTTGCCTCATTTAAAATACTTCTCCTCAATAAAAGGGGTCAGCGCGTGCTCTTGCTCTCTCTCTTTCTGTGGACCCTTAAGGTCAGAGGAGCCGACGCAGCGACCCCAAAGAAAAAGGTATTTGTGTCTCTCGTGTGGTTATTTCATGCAGCCCAGTTAGCCCAGTTTGACTGGAGTGATCCCTGAGCCTTTTAGTCGTGAGAACAAAAACCTGGCACCTGCTGTCCATCTACAACTAAAGAAATTAATTAAAAAAACAAAAACCCTCCATCTCCAGCTAAGGGTATCCCTAGCAATTATATGATATCCAAGTGTTAAAATCTATTTGCTTAATTTGATTTTTTTCTTCTTCCTGGCAACCTGGCACCTGTAGGGTGAAGGACAAGTCACCCTGAATGATTCATTTTCCTTGTGCCCTGCCACTGTCACTGTTGCTATACACTGTCAGGAGCCGCTCTCGACAGGAGCTATGTACACACCTTTCAGTCCTGAGTAAAGAGGTACGGAACTGGTATTGCACCATTGCAATACAATTGAACCTTACCTCTGCTTGGATAAGAGAGGTGCAGCTCCAGGAGTGGGAGTCACCCAATGGGGTTAGATTACACCCACTTGTTTGTTGGAACCCTAACCCTTGCCTCATTAAAATGGCTTCTCCCCAAAAATACATGGGTTTGAGGTGTGCTTTTATTTTCTTGCTGGACTTGGAGCTGCTGTTGAGAGGCTGCCACACCATGTGACCAGCATTTTCCTTTCTTGATTGGTGAGGCTCTGTGTCACTTCCAAGTGATCTGGCCACATCAAAGTGGCCATAGAAGGTGGCCCCAATCTTGAAAGTCATAAAAATATAGCAAAATGTGTCTTCTTGTGTAGGTATGCCTTCCTACAGCCCTATGGGTTGACTAATGCTCACCTGTTCCTTTGTGATATTACCCCTTAGCCCTGTTTGGGATAGAATTTTCCATGGAAATGCCCTTTGTGTGTCCCTTTCTCTTGCTCCACCTCCATATTTTTTGTGGGCTCCACATTGGTCCTTCCCGCTGTCACTTAACCAGGACTTCTGGCTCTGCCTCCCAGCTACTAGCATATCCTTCTTTTTCTCACAGCCTGACAACTGGAATTACAAGGACTGCACCCAGCTGTTGGCAAATTCCTTCATAATTTTAATACATTCTCACTAAAAAAAGACTCATCCTTTTCAGGAAAATCGGGTTTCACAAGCTTCTACTCTGCTGCCCTAATCCTAACATGTTTTCAAAGCCAAAAATCTGATTTTTAACCCTCAACAGGGTTTATGGCTATATTATTAAGGAAAATTGCAGAAATAGTGTAACATTTATGAGAGACACACATGCTTGCTTATGTTTTATTTTTAGAGGTTATAAGGATTCATTTTGCTCGTCAAAGGAACAAAAGTCAGCAACCTGAGACAATTTTCTCACAATGTTCCCACGATGACCAAAAAATCTTTATTTTCATTTCTGACTATGTAATTACAATAAATAAATAAATAAATACTGGGATCTACATTAATGGTGTATCCATAGTTAAAGTAGGTTGAAGTATTCCAAATATTTTAAGAAGCACATGGTTTTATAAGGTTTACAAAATTATAGCTATACCTTTATTTTCAATGCATATTTTCCCAGTTATTTAAATAATCTATAATCAGTAATTCATAAAATAATTAGCATATGTCTATTTGTTTAATTAAATGTCTATTTGTTTCAAATTGTTTTTCCACAACAGGAAGCACATAATTTATGCATATATATATATATATATATATATATATATATATATATTTGATGCTCTGCCATTTATAGTTATAAATATTTAAGATAAATGTAATTTACTATAAAATACAGATATAATTTTATAAACAGAGATCTCCTAATTTAAAAACTATCTCTAGCTGCATCCCAAATTGAGATAATTATTTAAGTTAATCTAGAACTAATTTCAAAATACAAATTTTTATATACAATTTACTATATTTTCCATTTTTTGGTAATTCTAGTAAAGTCAAAATCAAGTCAAACAATTAATAAAGACTAAGTTTCTATTTGCCATAGTCCCTTTAAATGACTTTTGTCAAATCTTATGACCAGCTAAAAATGATAGATCCTTTCTTATTATTTAAATACTTGTACTATTGTCTATAACTTAAAACTAATGATATTATAACTTATATCAGCCTTTCATTCAATTTCATTTCATTCAATTCAAAGAAAAGGGAAAAACAGGACCCTATATGCCCCTGCTGTATCTAACAAATATTTCAAAATTTTTCTTAAACTGTAATATTAAAAGTCTTATTTCTGCTGAACATGACTTAGAAAGTTAAATCAGACTTCAAAGGATAGAGTTTAAACCTGTCATAGTGAAAATGACTGAAAATCCTGGCACAAGAAGGTAAGTTTTCAGCTGCAGAGTTTACAACCCTGCAACTTCAAAAGGAGCTTGTCAGGTAAGTAAAACTTATGAGTAGACTTCTATGGACCCATCTTTCAAGTCCACCTTTAATGTGCATCACAATGTACACTGGAAAGTCCACCCATGAAACTAGACTAATTATAATGACTATAATGGTCATAGATACACACACACACACACACACACACACACACACACACACACATATATATATATATATATATATATATATATATAGATCCTATGGTAAACAGGCTGTCTAGGAGTATCTTTTGAGAAAAAGACAGCGTATGAGAAACCTAAGCCAGCCAATCATGCTGGTCCTTAGAAATTAAGACTATATATCTGGATAACTGTCAAAATAGAAAGATTGTTGACATAGAAATCTCCTATATACTCCAGTTATTTATAGACCGGTCTTGACAAGGACAATTGTAGAAAGTTTAACCCTCAGTGAGATGGCACCCAGAAGGATGTTTTGATGCTTAACTTCTGCCTCCAGAATTTTACATTACTGACAGATATAAGAGACTCCTTAAATGTGAGAATTAAGGGAAAGGATGATGAATATCCTGTAGCCTGAAGGAATACAACTTGTCTCACTGTATCACTAGTTATTGCCAGCTGACATTTCAGAGCTGTGGTATGCTGAAATCAACATCCAGGCTTCAAAACAGGTGTGGGCCAATTAACCAGACTTGGGCAAGCTCTTGATCTCATAATCCTTGAAGTGACTACTTTAAATATTATTGTTTCTACAATTACAGCCTTTATGGCTATATTTTAAAACTTACAACATGTGGATTTTCTTAATAATTTGACTTAGGGGCTGGGGCTAGGGCTCAGCGGGAGCTCACTTGCCTGGCATTTGTGAGGCACTGTGTTTGATTTTCAGCACCATATAACAATAAATAAAATCAAGGTATTTTGTCCAACTACTACAACAACAAAATTAAATGAATGTTAAAAAAATACTTTGACTTAAATTACTTCCAAAATCCTTCATAGTCAGATAAGTGCTTATAGAAGGACTGGAACAAAGTTGAACATTCTAGAAGCCACTATAATGAACAATGCAAATGAGCCCTCTGCTCTATGGTTTGAGGAAAGGCTTAAATGCTGTGCCAGTTAATTACGTCTGTGTTACTGTGGCCAAACACAATGCTTCCCAATCAAATTGGTAAAAGATTAAGAATCTTTTGATGAGTGTTTGACAGAGTAATAATAATAACATGGATCTTTTAGAGTTAATTAAATCATTTTAATCCTAAAAGGAATTCTGAAACATTCTATATGATATGTTATTGGAATAATATGTTTTCTATTAATTCCTTTTGTGTCTCAATAGTAGGTCATGATGATCTCAGACCAAGAATCCAGTGACTGAAAGATATAATTCCCCAATTGCCTTTTTATATTAAGAAAGGGGAAATATGTCAGAAGCCGCTCTGGACAGGAGCTATGTACACACTTAAGTCTGAGTAAAGAGGTAGGAAATTGGTACAATTGGACCTTACCTCAGCTTGGACAAGAAAGGTGCAGCTCCAGGAGTGGGCATCACTCAATCTCTGGTGTAAACAATAAAACCCACTTGTTTGTTGGAACCCTAGCCCTTGCCTAATTCAAATGGCTTCTCCCCAATAAAACCTGGGTTCCAGGCATGCTCTTTCTCTTTCTTGCCTGACTTGCCCCCCCTTTTGGGAGCTGCAGCTGAGGAGAGATCACTGAACGCAGAGAAAAGGTACTTTCTGTATCTGTGTGTCTTTATTTAGTCACTGGGAGTGACCCTGACCGGTTCAGTCGTGAATCGTTACAATACATTCACCTTAAATCCAGGGCCTCAACGTTTCCACTTAGCCCTCTGAAGCCTACACATGTGGGTTAGTAATACACTGGCTCCGAATGCTGCTCATTTAGCACAACATACAAGCACAGGAGGGAGGCATTCCGACATCTGGGCAGGTTTATCTTTGAGTAAGGTCACTTACCATGACAGAAACGTGGTGTCAACTGTGCCAGGAAAACCTAAAAAGAAAAAGCTGGGAACTCGCAGGAGTCCTCGCCTCAATGCAAACGCACCACTTTGGGGTAAGTTAGATCCCGGGGCTGCGGAGAGCGCGGGGCTCAGGTGCACGTGAGGTTGGAAAGCGGGCGGGGTGGGGTGGGGGTCGGTGGGGGCGGGGTTCGGTGGCCTTGGGGGGCGGGGAGGGGCCGAGGGCGCGGAACACTGGGACGCTCACCCCGCAGCAGCGCAGGAGCGGGCGCGACCCAAGGCACAGCGCCGCCGGGAGGCCGCCGGGGCGTGGACCCAGCCGGTGCGACAGCCCCTCGGCCCTCCGCCCCCGGCCCCTCAAGGCCGAGCCCGCACTGCCTCCCGGCAGACCCTGCAGCCCCCAGCTCGCCGCCCAGCCCCGCGGAGCCGAGCCCACGCCCGCCCAGCGCCCGGGACCCCGCGTCCTCCCGACATCACTCGCGACCCAGCGAAGGGAATTGGCGAGGCGCGGGGACCGTCGCCCGCGGAGGCAAGATGGCCGCGCCCGCTGCCTCCCACGGGCGCCGCCATGCGCGCCGGGGTTCGGGGAAGTCGGTCCCCCGGGCGTTTCCGCAGCCGCGTGCAGCGTGGCCCGGAAGGGAAGGGACCGGAACGGCCCCACTTCCTGGCACCGCAGCCCTCGTGCGGACGACGTCCCCAGGCTGGAGCCGGCAGCAGACTGGGCGCGGGGCGAGCCCCTCCGGCTTCTCCGTGGACGCCAGCGCCGAGGAGGCTGGGTGTCCAGGCCGCGCGGCACGCGTTGGAGAAGGGAGGCGGCCGCCGCCGAGGGCGGACACCTGGGCCCACTTCACAGCAGCTCCAACCGGCCTGGGGCCCCCGGAGGGGGCGGGGCCAGGGGGCGAGGGCCGCTGGTCGGGCTGTCCCGGAGGAGCGGGGAGGGTCGCAGACCCTGACCTTGAGATGGAGGAAAGGCCTCGTGCACGTGTGACAGCAGGGCAGCACAGAGAGCGGGCAAAGGGACCTGGCAATCATTTCCAGAGCGGACTACCATTTTCTCTTCCCATCATCCGTGTGGGATCCGCTTTTTCCCACATCCTAGCATTTCCTATCAGCTCTCAAAAGCCTGGCGAGATGGTGCACACCTATAATCCCAGCGACTCTGGAGGCCGAGGCACGAGGATTCTAAATTTGAGGCCAGCCTCAGTAATTAGTGAGACCACGTTTCAATTAAAAAAAAAAAAAGGGCTGGAGATGTAGCTTTGTAATAAAACTCCCCTGGGTTCACTCTGCAGCACCACCTCTCCCCCCCAAAAAAGAGGGATTAAAAAGAAGAAAAATACATCCTACCTAAATTTTTCATTAATAGCAAAATGAAATTGGCCTCTTATTTTTAAAATGATCATGCCTCCCAGTCATGGTGGCGCCTGTAATCCCAGCAACTCAGGAGGCTGTGGCAGGAGGATCACAAATTCCAGGTAAGCCTCAGCGATTTAGCAAGGACTTCAGCAACTTAGTGAGGCCCTAGCTTAAAAAATAAAAAGCGCTGGGGATGTTGCTCAGTGGTAAAGCACCTCTGGGTTCATTCCCCAGTAGAAAAATAATCTCAAATGTCATGAATAGTTAAATGAATGCTAAGTAAATTTTAAAATCCAAACTTAAACCTAAACAACTGAAAGAATTAATAAATGTTATATTTGAATATTAAGTTTGGGGAAGGTTTGTAATGCAGTAAAAACCGATACCAGTAAACGCAATTTATTAAATGATTGAGGTCTCTTTATGAGCAGTATGCAGACTTAGAATGTCCATGTAAACGACAAAAATGAGTGTATGATTGACTTAAAAAAATCAGAACAAGTTGCATAATACTGCAAATAATGTGAACAATTTTTTAAAATGTAGACACATGCAATTCACAATCTTCAGTGGATATAAAATGGATCATATAATTGTGGTTCTCGGGATTAGATTTGAATAATGTTTATAATTCTCAATAGGTTCAATATTATCTTATTATTTGACATTAGCTTATTGATTGATTGATTGAGGATTGAACTCAGGGCATCTACTGATGAGCGTCAGCTCTAGAACTTTTTCATTTCATTTTGACAGGGTCTTGCAGAGTTGCCCAGGCTAGCCTTGATCTTGCAATTCTCCTGCCTCACACACCCAACTAGTTGGGATTACAGGCATGCACCACCATGCCTGACTAGCCTTGTCAGTTTTTGTCTGTCTCCATTTTAGTTGAAAACTCAGTTATGGAATTATCCATTGTGAAAGACAGAAGGAAAAAATTGAGACAAAAGGAAGTCTCGAAGCCTGCAGGACAAGAACAAACGTCACAATATGTGAAATAGGATTCCCAGGGAAAAGGCTAAAAAAAGAGAGGAAAAAATTATCAAAACTTCCCAAGTATGATAAAATATACTTAGTCTTCAGATCCAAAATTTCAGATCCACATAGGGATACATCATAGTCAATTTACAAGAGACACCAGAGCCTACTCTTTCTGCCCCATGAGGTAGAAGAATGCATTGTCTACCAGACAGAAGAGGGGGTCCTCACTGGAACCTAACCATGCGGGCAGGTCTTCTGGCCTACAGAACCATGAAAAAATAAAATGTCTTTGTTTAAATCTGTCTAGTATTCTGTTATGGTAGCCCTAGCAAACTAAGGGCTATATTTTCACTCTTTTAAGTGTTGGAAATCACTTGGTGTTTGGTTTGCCACACCTATATTATTTGCTTAAATTTATGTTAATCACAAGTGTTAGTATTAAAAACACAACTTAAGGGGCTGGGGCTGGGGCTCAATGGTAGAGTGCTTGCCTAGCATGTATGAGGCCCTGGGTTCGATCCTCAGCACCACATATAAACAAAGCTATCGTGTGCAACTACAACTAAAAATAAATAAATAATAAAATGAAAACACAACTTGGAAGAGGAGGGATTAGAAAGGGAGATAGAGGAACTAGAACATCGCCTTAAAAGGGCAAATGTGAGGGTGCCTAGGGCCCCCTCAATTGCCGTACCTCCTCCCTATAATCCTGATTGGAATGAGGACGCCCCTACTAGACGGGCGGGGGTCCACTGGGGTTCTAGAGTGGCTCAGGTTTTTCCAATGATTGAAAACGCCGATGCTGATGGACAGCCGGCCAGAGCCCATGTCCCCCTAGCCTTCAAGGACATAAAACAGCTTAAGGAGGCGGTCATTAATTATGGACCTCATGCCCCTTTCACATTGACCCTCTTCGAGTCTTTCTCAGCCAGTCAACTGATACCTAATGATTGGCAGCAACTTTGCAGGGCTGTGTTATCTGGAGGGGATTTCTTATTGTGGAAAAGTGAATATCATGAAAGGTGCCGCGAGCTGGCTCAGATTAACCTGAATGCGGGCCATCAACAGCGAAATGCCGAAATGTTGACAGGAACTGGGCAGTATGCCACCATAGGCCAACAAATTAATTACGACCCAGGTGTTTATGCTCAAATAGCCTCAGCTGCAGTTCATGCCTGGAAAGCCCTGCCCATTTCTAAGACTGAAGCAAAAATTTCCAAGATCTCTCAAGGACCCTCTGAACCTTATTCGGACTTTATAGCCCGCCTAATGCAGGCTGCTGGAAAAATATTCCCTAATCTGGAACAGGCTATGCCACTTATTAGACAACTGGCATATGAAAACGCTAACACTTACTGCCAAAATGCTATTAAGTCCTCCCGGGCCAAAAGTATAGATGACATGATTCGAGCATGCAAAGATATAGACTGACCTCATATTACTGGTCAGGTTTTGGCTGCTGCCCTTAAGACTGGAATGCAAAAATCTGATAACAGGGGAACCCGCTCTAAGGGGTGTTTTAAGTGTGGGAAAGAGGGACATATAAAGAGAAACTGCCCGGAAAGGAGCGAGGGTGCTGGCAGAGGGATGCCTAGAATTTGTCCTAGATGTCATAAAGGAAATCATTGGAGCAGTGAGTGCAGGTCAAAATTTGACATCCAGGGTAACCCAATACCGTCGGGAAACGGGAGCAGGGGCCCGCCCCGGGCCCCGGAAGCCAAAGTGTACGGGGCAGTGCAGGGACAGAACAGTGCCCCAGGGAGTGGGCGTCTCCGCCGCCTCCCACTGACCAACCCCTTTCTATCTGGGAACTCCCCAGGGGAACACCAGGAAGCGCAGGACTGGACCTCAGTCCCACCTCCCGAGCGGTATTAACTCCCCAAATGGGACCTCAGACGCTGCCTATTGGGGTTTTTGGACCCCTGCCAGAGAGGACGGTGGGACTAGTGTTGGGACAAGGTAGCGCAACTCAGTGGGGCTTGAAGATTCTTACGGGGGTTGTTGATGCTGATTATCAGGGAGAAATAAAAATAGTAGTAGAAGCTACCCAAGGAATTGTTATTCTTCCCCCCGGGGAGCGTATAGCTCAATTGCTGCTGCTACCCTTAGCTTCCATTCCTGGGCACGCCCTCCGTGGGTCCCAGGGCGACGGCAGCTTTGGCTCCACTGGAACTCCCCAGGCCTTTTGGGTAGCTCATTTGGATTCGCGTCCCAACCTGACCATTGAGATACAGGACAAGGCTTTCAAGGGAATACTAGATACGGGGGCGGATGTCTCTGTCATTTCTGAAAAACAATGGCCACCTGCCTGGCCCCTCCAGAGTCCCTCGGCCATATTACAGGGGATAGGACAGACCCAACCAAAAAGAAGTGCCTCCTTTTTAAAATGGAGAGATGGTGAAGGACATAGTGGCCATTTCCAGCCTTATGTGGTGACTGGACTCCCCACGAATCTTTGGGGGAGGGACTTGCTTCATCAAATGGGGGCTATTCTCACTACCCAGACTTTGAAAGGAAATAATGACTTTGTTAATGATGCAATGCTAGACATGGGATGGATCCCTGGAAGGGGACTAGGAAAGAGACATGAGGGCAGAATATCACCCGTGGATCCAGCAGAACAGGTTACCCGGCGGGGAAGAGACCGGAGAGGACTGGGAAATTTATCCTAGGGGCCACTGAAGTGCGGCCGCCTCCACTGTCCATTACTTGGTTATCAGATGACCCTGTGTGGGTAGAACAGTGGCCCCTAACTAAGGACAAATTACAGGCCGCTTCCCTATTAGTTCAAGACCAGCTTAAGTTAGGACACGTGGTGCCCTCTACCTCCCCTTGGAATACCCCTATTTTTGTTATACAAAAGGGGTCTGGGAAGTGGAGACTTCTTCAGGACCTACAAGACCAGATAGACTCTCTAGCAGAAGTAGTTCTTCAGAACAGGTGGGGTTTAGACTTGCTTACTGCCAATCAAGGGGGAATTTGTTTAGCCCTTGGGGAGAGGTGCTGTTTTTATGCTAACAAATCTGGCATAGTTCGCACAAAAATTAAACAACTCCAAGAAGACCTAAAAAAAAGGAGGAGGGAATTATTTGAGAACCCTCTCTGGACTGGACTTAATGGATTTTTGCCTTATCTTCTTCCCTTATTGGGACCATTGTTAGGCCTCCTTCTAGTAGTGGCAATAGGACCCTGCATTGTAAATAAGATAGTACAATTCATTAAGGATCAAATTAATATCTTAGCCTCTAAGCCGATACAGGTTCACTATCAACGTTTGAAGATGGATGATCGCCTCTCTGAGATATACTTCAGACCTATCCGAAGATGAGTGTCCTCCTTAAAAGAAGAACTCCTGCCATATCTTTTCTCTATGCATACCTCTCCCTCTTGCCTTCCTGTATTAGGATCTTTGCTGTCTAATCTCTCGGTCCAATCACATCTGCCATTCGGCGGTGACGGTCATGGGTCCCGTAGGTGGAGACGGTTAAGCGTTTACCGCAATAATGTCTTGATAGGTCATAACACCTTGAGCTGATCTTGTAGTACCCAGTGACGGGCAACTTTCACGCTTGCTGTGCGACCTAAGACAGGGAATCGGGGCCTTCCCAGAGACGGGTAAGAACAATTTCAATGAAACTCAAATGTGAATAATTTAGTACATTACAGAATAGCCACTTGAAGACTCTGTAACGATAAAACTGCATAGCTGATTAATCAGATTAATAATGAAAGAGATCTTTAAAAAATATAATAGCTTTATTAATATAATTCATATTGTAAAATTCACCCACTTACACTATACAATTCAGTGATTCTTAAGAGTTGTACAACCATTACCACAATCAATTTTAGAACATTTCCATCATCCTGAAAATAAATTGTATACCCATTAGCAGTGTCTCCCCATTTCTTCCCACCATTCTCTCCACTAGCTCTTATGGTGGACATTTCGTATTAATGCAACCAAATAATATGTCATCTTTGGTGACTGGTTATTCAGCATATTTGCAAGGATCATTCCACCAGGTGACCAGCACGCTGGTTTCATTAAAGAGGTTCGTGGCACAGAAGTTAACTAGTGAGATCAAAATAAAACACACAGACTCAATTACCTTTTTCTGTGACCAGGTCCAAGACGGCTCTCACCTCGAACCACCTGGTAGGGCAGCAAGGCTTACTCAGGGCTAGCAGGGGCTAGCAGGAGAGAGAGAGAGAGCATGCCAGGGAGTGGCCTTTTATTGGGGAACAAGAAATTCAGGGGAAAATTCCATCCAATGAAGGTCGAGGGGGGCAGCATTCCAAGGTCAGGGTCAGTGATTGGCCTCAGGGTCAATGGTCAGTCACACCCCCACATGGACAGGCTCTCGCACCTGGAGAGGGTGGGGAAAGCTCCAACACAGTTTGGCCAGAGCCCCTCACACCCAATCCGGGAGGTGCCCAATCACGTGCGAGAATGGCTCTCCACAGATCATTTGTTTTAGGACATATCAGTTCATAATTCCTTTTATTGCCACCCAATGCTTGACTACTTGAATATACTAATCCATTCCTCAGCTAATGAACATTTAATTTTTTTTTTCATTTTTTTTTTTTTGTACTTTGGGACAACCCAGGGTGCTCTACCACTGACCACCAAGCCCCCCCTTTTTTTGAGATAAGGCCTCAGTATGTGGCCTCAAATTTAAGGAACAGCAAACATTCTTGAGTTCTCATTTCTCTTGAGTATAAATCTAGGAGTAGAATTCTGGGCCATGTGACAATTCTGTGCTTAACCTTGAAGAAACTGCCAGATTATTTTCCAGTTGCCACATCATTTCTCATGTTCCCACCAGCAAGTTGCTAGGGTCCCAACTTCACAACCTCAACAACTCTCCCACACCAAGTGGGCATCCTATAATCAGTTCTGACAGTATTCTAAGTTAGTGCAAACTCCACAAGTGCAAGAGCTCAGTGCTGCAGGACCACCTTCACTTCGGATGCCAGTCACAAGTCTCAGGCTAACTGTACATCTAACCTGGCATTAAACTGAGAGGCCCCATGATACTCCTCATATGCAATAATTTACTAGAATGTTTACAAAAATCTGAGAAATTTTACTTAAATTTAACCGTTTATTATAAAGGATACAAATGAACAGTCAGACAAAAAGATACAAAGAGTGGAAGGGCCCAGAGCTCAGAAGCCTCTGTACCCATGGAGCTGGAGTGTGAGAACCTTTCAGCACACAGGTCTTTTCACCAATTTGGACACTCTACAGTTGCCGCAGTCTGGCTGGGCACAATCAGGAGCCACTTGTCAAAAGAAACTAACTTTATTTTTAGAACCACACACGCCAAACAAAACAGCCTCTCAGGAAAAACCCTCAGAGCCTCAACTGCCACCACCGGCTTTCCACAAGCCCCTCTCTCCCCTTAAAAAGCCATGGGCTACATTTTTGTATTGTATCAACGTATGCCCTGATTGTTCTTGATTTTACTGAGATGCCTCCTTCCTCTAACAATTTACTTAACACTCTTTCAGTTTGTTTTTTACTAATTTCTGATCCTGTATTTCTACTATAATACAACCCAACAAGATGACGCCAAACAAAACCGAGACAGAATGAAATAAAAAGGGAACAACAAAAAGTCATTATAGCCGTTCTATCCTCCTGACATGTGCATCCGTCCTTTCTCCCTATCTGTTCCTCAGACGTAAACAGCCCAATGAGCATCACCGCAGAGGAGCCAATCAGCTAGATGTTGCTGGGGCCGCTGTGAGCCAATCATCAGCCGGCATACAGTTTCATTATTCAGGAGTTCAATCTTCAGAACCCTCTGCCCAGGATTCTACCCTATAATCATTTGATCTTTATGGTGACCAGTTCCTCCCTCTATCACCTTATTAGGATGTACTAAGGTGTGCTTAAAAGGACCTCGTGAATAACAAGACATCCCTGTCATTTATGAAACTCCAAGGCAAGGTTTTTAGCTCCCTGCAAGGAATCTGGGACAAAGACCAAAGATATTTCTTACAATAATAATCAGTGCCAGAGAAAGCAGTTTTTCTAAATTATGGAACTGGGCTGAGAGTATAGCTCAGTGGTACAGCACTTTCCCCTAGCATGCTTGAAATCCCTGGGTTTGATATCCAGCATCAATGGAAAAAAAAATATGGACTCATTGGCAAAGCAACTAGACATGGGGTACGAGGTAGCCTGCCTGGAAATGTACACAGGGCGTATTGTCTGACACATGGAGGTTAGACTCAAAAGCACTTAAATGTTGGACTTCACTGTTTTCAGGCTCTCCAATATTTTGCCAAAGGTGGTCTATATTTAACATGTTCAGAGAATTTTTATTTTCTATTTGATTTCCTGACAAATCATAAAGCAGTATGTGTTACTAAATTTTGTTGTATTTATTACCATAAAGTTATTCTCCAGTGTAAACACTTGACACTAATCGAGGTCTTATTTCTGGGTAAAGGCTTTGTTATGGTCACTGTTATTTCTGCCAACTAATAAGCCAATAATTCATGAAGAGCCCTGAAAATAAAGTCTTTCCAAAGATGACTTTCTTAGTCTCTACATTCACAGAATTTATCTAGTTATAGCCTTTCCAGATTATGAGCTAGAGATTTTGCACAGGGGATCTCCATACTAAGTATATCTGAGTTTATCTGTTTTTATTGACAGAAAATGAGAGGTAAAGGATCACCAAAGGCACTATCATATTTACTGCAACCAGGCATATCTCCTGGGAAGATCCTTCTGAGGGCACCCAGTTGGCTGTGCCGTGATTACATTCCAATCGGCCAGAGACACAGATGTTTAGTGAAGTCTGAGTTGCCACAGAAGACATTTCCACCCTGCACAGTGTTTTGGGGATGCATGAGTTCACTCCTAAGTGATGTGCTGTGACTCTCTATTAAAAGAATTTTCAACTTGAATGAATCGATCCGTTTCTCTGGTGTGCATTTTCTTGTGTTTAACAAGGTTCGACAAGTGGGAGAAGGCTTTCTCACAATCACTGCATCCGTAGGGCCTCTCTCCAGTATGAGTTCTTCGGTGTACATTGAGCACCGACTTTGTAGTGAAGGCTTTCCCACATTCACTGCACTGATAGGGCTTCTCTCCTGTGTGAATTCGCTGATGGGTAATGAGGCCATATTTGTGTGAATAGGATTTCCCACACTCAGTACATACAAAGGGAGTCTTTCCTGTGTGACATCTCTCATGTTGTATGAGGCATATCTTCTGGCTGAAGGCTTTACCACATTCATTGCATTCATAGGGTTTCTCTCCTGTATGAGTTCGCTGGTGTATAACAAGAGTGCGCTTGGTGGTGAAGGCTTTTCCACACTCACTGCATATATAGGATTTTTCTCCTGTGTGAGTCCGCTGATGTATGATGAGAGTGCGTTTCACAGTGAAGCCTTTTCCACACTCACTGCATATGTAGGATTTTTCCCCTGTATGAGATCTCTGATGCACAATGAGATTGCTCTTCACAGTAAAGCCTTTTCCACATTCATTACAAACATAGGGTTTCTCTCCAGTGTGAATTCGCTGATGCACAACTAGATAGCGCCTCATGATGAAGCCTTTTCCACATTCACTGCATATATAGGGTTTCTCCCCTGTGTGAGTTCGCTGGTGGACGATGAGATTGCTCTTCACAGTGAAGCCTTTTCCACATTCACTGCATACAAAAGGTTTCTCTCCACTGTGAGTTCGCTGATGAGCAATTAGATAGCGCTTCATTGTAAAGCCCTTTCCACACTCACTGCATAGATAGGATTTCTCTCCTGTCTGGGACTGCTCACTGACAGTGAGGCTGCTCTTCACAGCAGGACCCTTCCTGGACTCGCTGAGTACACAAGGAAGGTCTCCTACATGAGTCCTCTGATGCTTAGTGGTTAGGACACTTCTGGATGATTTCTCACCTTGACCACTCCCAGGTTTCTCTCCTGTATGAATGCTCCCATGATAAGGGAGCAGAGACTTTCTGGTGAAGGTTTTCTCACCTTCAGTGTATGCAAGGGGTTTCTCAATTTTTTGAGTCTTCTGATGTTTGAACGCTTGACATTTAATACCTATGCATTTTGTACTTTCAGTGAGTTTCATTTCAGTAAATGTATGTTCATCTTTATCGTGTAGGTAGATTTTCTCACCTTCATTAAAACCAACAGGGTTATTTATTTCATGTCTTCTCTTCTGGTTAACTAAACCTAATCTTGATTTCAAAATTGTATCGTGCTTTTGCAGTAGAATAAAATGTGTTTTGCTGAAATGAGTGATATTTTTAAATGCATTCTGATCACTGCATTGATGCATACTCTTCAGGAATCTTTGGGTTTGAGAGTACTCCTGCAGGTGGCCATCAACTTTCCCGATTTCTATGAAAGAAGAGAATAAATTTTTCCATGAGAATGGTATGGAGTAAAAATGCCTGGAAGATGATCTGGTGGGTGTTCTAGTTTGGATCTAGAAAGTTTCCCAGAAGCTTGTATGTTGAAAGCATGGTTCCCAATGCAGCAAGGTTCAGAGGTGGGGTTTTAGGCAGTGACTGGATCATGAGGGCTCTGAACTCATCAGTTAATTAATCCATTTGATCAGATGGATTAATTCAGCAATGGCAAAATGGACTACTAAGAAATGGGATCAAGTTGGAGGAAGTAGGCCATTCTCTGGAAGGGATTATTTTTGCTGGCCCCTGCCTCTCTTTCTGCTTCTGTCATGAGATAAGCAGCTTGCCTCTGCCACACCCTTCCACTAGGATGTTTCTGCCTTTGAGTGAACCATGAGCTGCATCCTCTGAAACCATGAGCCAAAATAAGTCTTTCCTCCCCTAAGCTGGTCAAGTATTTTGGTCAGAGTGATGAAAAGCTCACAAACACATAAAGTGGGGTACAGCTCTTTATTGTCAACCGAATGATTCTAGTAGCAAAGAAAAAAATAAAAATACAAGATGAAATAAACAAGAACTATATCCAAAAAGAGACAATGGAGGCACATATTTAAAACTAAACACCTTAAAAATAAAAGTTCCCAAATGGGGAGGTAAATATGAGGAGAAGCTGTTTAGGTATCTTCAGATGCTTCACAGCAGTGACACCTCCCTCAATGAGCAGACCATGACTTTCACAGCCACTCCCCTACTGCTTCTCACTAACTGCTATGGTTTGAATGTGTGTCCCCAAGAACTTCATGTTGGAAACTTAAAAATCTCCAATGCAACAATATTAAGAGGTGGGACCTTTCAGAGGTAACCAGGCTCCGAGGGCTTTCATGACTGGATTAATGGTGATGACATAAAAGGGCATGAGGCTGCAAGTCTGACCTCTTGCTGTCTCTCCTGCACACTCTTGCCCTTCTGCCTTCTGCCATGTGATGATGCAGCATGAAGGTCCTTGCCATACACAAACCCCTTGATCTTGGACTTCTCAGCCCGCAGAACTATAAATAATATATCTCTGTTCCTTATAAATTACCCGGTCTCAGGTATTTTTATAGCAGCACAAAAGGAACTAAGACACTCACCTGAACATGGTCCATTCTGGACTTCATCTTCTATCATCCACAGTTCTTCTCCTTGCTCCAAATTAGAGAGTGCATGTGGTTTGATATTTTGAAACCCTGTTTATAAGAAAAAAAATAGATGACTTAGACACATTGAATAAGGGTACAGGACGTCAAGTGGGAAAATATTATATCTGAGAGACAAAACTTCTCATATGCAAAGTAAAAGTTTTTTGTTTTTTTTTTTGTTTTCCAGAACAGGAGTGGTAATGCCACTTTGGGGAACTAAATGACACTTTAGAGAACTAAAAATCTAACACTTCAGAATACCACAATGAAGGCAAAGCTTTGAATGGTGACAAAGGACAGTATGTGACTTTCTAAGTGACACAGGGGACCTAACCTTACCTACTGAGACCAGATTATTATAATTTTCCAACATCACATCCTGGTACAGATTCTTCTGAGAAGGATCCAGGAGCTGCCACTCCTCCAAGGTGAAATTCACAACCACATCTTCCAGTGTCACCAATTCCTATAAAAACAGAGTTTTGTTTAAAAGAATGTAAATTCCAATCATTGATATAAAAGAAATATGAGGGAAGTTTTCTAATTTTCACCATATAGCCTACTTCTTTAGACCTTTCTCAAATAAATTTTAGAAGGAGTAAAATTCATACATTTTAGTACAATTTCCAAATAGTCAACATATGCAAATAACATCAGGACAATTTAAACATGCCTCCATTACAACAGACTTCATGGTCAACAGGAGAATAGATCATGAACAGACTCCATATTCTAAATTTATAAGAGTGCTTTTAAATAAATGTTAAAGAAAAAAATTATACAAGATTTGTCTAAAATATAAGAGATCATTAAAACTGATTAAGAAGATTTGGGTTAAAGAGAGTTTCCATGTCCATAGATCATCTCTGAAACCCCAGCAAGGAAATTTCCTAAGAGACTGGTCTGCTTTTTCCCAAAAATCAATACACATCATTTTGTTTTTCTGGTTGTGATGGCTCTTGGAGATGTTAGATGCGAGGTGATATCTATTGTAAGCTGCAGGACCCACCAAGTCATTATTATGTTCGAAACAGTAAGTCGTTTAGTGGAACAGTATATTCCTGACCCCAATTTGCCCTAATTTTGAAGTTAGTTCAAAGTTAATTTCTCCCCAGAACCCAATTATTCAATTTATAATTATTTCAGTTGAACAAATTTTTTTTTTCAGGCTTCCAGAAGTCTATCAGAAAACAAAGGAAAAGTACAACAAAAATCAAAAAGTCACCTGAGGCTCAATCATTTTCCTCTATACCCAGGAAATGATGGATAACAGGATTCTAAGTTTTATATCTCTTCTACTACAGCCCTGGAGTCATTCATTATGTTCAGAAACCTTGGCATCCAGTTTAAGGTTCCTTAGAAATGGTAACACTCTAGGAGTTCTTCCTTCTCCCTTCATTCTTCTCCTCCATTCTTCTTGATTCTGTGGAGCAAGACCTGTGGGCCAAAGAGCAAACTGACTTTAAGTGTATATTCCCCCTGGGTCCAGATGTTATCCCTGTTGTTGTGCATTTAGCTTAAGTAAAGGACACAAGTATTTCACACTTTGCCTTTACTTTGCACCTCAAAGGATTCACACCCTGGGGCAATATAACAAGGCACTACTGTATTGAAAGACAAGCTTCTTTTGCAAATCAGAAGTTGATGACAACTAAGGGGAAGTAAAAAAACACAACAACACAAGGGGCAGAGCACAGTACCTCAGAGGCAGGTGAATTCTCAGGGAGATCAATTTTAGGAAAGAAGATACAAAAGGTTCTAAGGATCTAGGCATTCTGTCTTTAAAAAGCAGGTGTGTGCATGTACCACTTCACAAGGCTTTGTACATTCCATAGGAACACACTCTTAGTTTGAAAGATCGTCTGATTTCATATTGTGCAACAAAGGATTAACTTTACATAAGAGAGGCTTGGCCCTTAGTTCCTGTGAGGAAATACCTAAGCCCTTGGAATCCTTGGAATATCTTGCTTGATCAGACCTGATTAGGGTCTTTGCTAACCCAGGCAGCTCAGCCCTTGGGAGGGTGTCCTTGTCAACAAGGTGATTTATGGTAGGGGTCCTGGACCAAGTGCTATCAGCCAGACCTCTGCAAGGCTGGAGACTAAAGGCCAGCCGTGCAGGCAGCCAATCAAGTCTATGTCCACAGAGACCCCAGGAACTCTGAACATGAAGGCTTGGATGACTTTTCCTATTTGGCAATAAAGTTATAAAGATATAGATGAGGAAAACATGATGATCATCAAACCGAACACACCTAACAAGAGAACACCAGAACACTGGAAGCAAAACCTGACAGAATTGACAAGCAAAACAGACAAACCAAAAATAAGGCAGCACCTCACTCTGAATAATAAACACAGCAAGTAGAAAGTCAGCAGGACACAGGAGACTGGAAAAGTACCAACTTCACTTACATTTCACATTCACTCATCAGCAGCAAGCTGTACATCCAACTTCAAGAGTACATGCAGGGGAGGGGACCAGGAAAGGCAGCAGAACCTAACTCCCCAGCCTGGGATCTGTATACCCAGCCAGGGTAACTCCACACCACGCACGACCACAAGACTGGGGACCTACATAGAATAAGTCACACTCGGTGTGTATATTCTGCCAAAATACTTTCTACTGTCATGCATAACTAAAAAAAAAAAAAAAAAAGTGCACATAACATTTTCCACAAAAGTTCATATGCTAGGGATGTAAAGCAAGTACCAATAAATCCAATATATTTACCAACCACAACAGAATTGAATTAGGAATACTTCAGGAGAAAATTTAAGAAATATCCAAGCATTTAGATATTAAAGAGTACACTCCTCTGGACAGATCTCCGCCAAACCCCCAACCCCCAGCCCCCACACCCTACTGGGGACAAAATTCAGAGACGCTCTAACACTGAGCTACATCCCCAGTCCTTTTTTATTTATTTATTTATTTATTTATTTATATTTTATTTTGAAAGAGTCTTGCTAAGTTGCCCAGGCTGGCCTTGAACATTCAATACTCCAGCTTCAACCTCCAGAGCAGCTGGGATTACAGGCACGACCACATTACCCAAAGACATCACATTACCTAACCCAAAGAGATCAGTTTTGAACAATCATGTGTCGTGACACATGACCAGTCAGGGTCACTCCAGGTGAACGGGGCTGGCATGAAATAATCACATAGAGGGGCTGGGGATGTGGCTCAAGCGGTACACACTCGCCTGGCATGCCTGCGGCCCGGGTTCGATCCTCAGCACCACATACTAACAAAGATGTGGTGTCCGCCGAAAACCAAAAAAATAAATAAATATTAAAATTCTCTTCTCTCTCTCTCTCTCTTAAAAAAAAAAAAAAAGAAAAGAAAAAGAAACAATCACACAGAGACAGAGAAATGCCTTTTCTTTGGTTCTGGGATGGCTCCTCTGACCCAGCTCTCACAAAGGACGCAAGGCAGGCAAGGAAGAGAGAGAGCAGCCTCGAACCCAGTTTTATTGGGGAGGCCATTCAAATGAGGCAAGGGGTAGGACTACAAGGAACAGGTGAGTGCAGCTCAACCCCACCAGGTGACGCCTACTCCTGGAGCCACGCCTCGTTACCTGAGCTGAGGCAGAGCCCAAGTTACTGTGGGCGGCAAAAAGTGTTCAGTTTCTCTTGCTCAGGACTTCAGGGCATGTTTCCAGAGCGGCTCCCAACAACCCTGTGCTAAAAAGAAAATCACATGGGACAATATTTAAACTGACTAGAAACAAATAAGAGCATTACCTAAATACTCTTAAAATAGTAAAGGAAATTCATAGCTTTAAATCAAAAGAAAAAGATCATATCAGCACTCTCAAATCACTACTCCAACTTTCCCACTTGAGAAACTTTATAGTTTCTCAAGAGAAACTATAGAAAGAGAAAGTGAAACCCAAAGCAGCAGACTGAAAAAAACTAATAAAGACAAAGGTGGAAATCAATGAACTAGAAAACAAAAAAGTAATTTAAAAAGTCAGTGAACCCAAATGTATTTACTTGAAAAAAAAATCAACAGAAATGAAAATGTTAACTAGAGCAACCAAGAAAAAAATTAACTAGGTCAGGAAAAGAAAAAGAAAAAAAAAAAAAAACCCAAATCTGTGAGAGTGCGGAGTGCAGCTTAGTGGCACAGCACTTGCTTGCATACCTTGTGGGAAGCCATTCTCACATGATTTGAGTTACCTCCCTGGCTAGGTGAGAGGCACTTAGACACAACTGTGTCAGAGCCTTCCCCACCCTGTCCCAGGTGCGAGGGCTTGTCCATGTGGAGGTGTGCCTGACCACTGACCCAAAGACCAATCACTGACCCTGACCTTGGAATGCTGCCCCCCTAGACCTTCATTGGATGGAATTTTCCCTTGAATTGTTTGCTCCCCAATAAAAGCTCACTCCCTGGCGTGTTCTCTCTCTCTTTCTCTCTCTCTCTCTAGCTGGCCTCTTGTGTTAACCTCGCCACCGCATTAGGTGGCTGGAGGCAGGAGCTAGGAGGAGCCATCTCTGAGCTGGGCAATAAACGTAACTGAGAATCATGTCTCTTTAATTTTAAAACTCACTAGTTAGCTTTTCATGCTTCAAACCTCTATTATGAAGCTAGCGTGCTGGTCGCGTGGTTGAAGATACCTGGCTTTGGTCCCCACTACAACAAAAGCTAAAAGCAGAAATAAGCGGGTGCACTCCTGTGACCCCAACCACTCAGGAGCTAGGCAAGAGGACCCCAAGTTCTGAACCAGCCTCAGCAACTTTGCCAGAGTGTGTCTCAAAATTAATATTAAAAAGGCTGAATCCTGGCAGCCAACAGGGCTGAGCTACACTCACCTGTTGCTTTGTAATCCTACTCCTTTGGCCTTTTTGGGATAGAAGGAATATTCCATGGAACCTCCCCCTGTGCGTCCCCTGTGTAAGAATAAAGAATTCCAGTGGTTCTGTCTCTTTCCACAGAGCCCTGTGGTCACAGAGCCATCCCAGATTTTGAAAGTGTACTTCTTCTGTTTCTGTGCTTTCTATGCCATTTTCTTAAGTTATTGGAATAGTCATATTTTGTGAACCCAGCATTAGGTCACCAGCTCTGATAGATGGCAATAACTAGGCATTTGTCCCTTGAATCAGCATTTGTCTAGACATAAATAACAGGAAAAGAGTTTTTAAAAATTTGAATGGCTGTATAGTAACTACAGAAGTTGAACTTGTAACTGAATTAGGAACACTTCAGGAATACTATGTGCAAACTCATCTCACGTAGAAAAGCCGAGGTCCATTCGGCTTTACAAAGCCATTAAGGATCACTAAGCTTTAATTCAGATAAAAAGCCAAAGGCAGTGGAGGAAAAGAACACTGCAGACCAATATCCCTCATGAACACAGGCGACAAACAACAACATACCAGCAAAATTGATTGTTATGGGCTGACTTCAAAACTCCTCACAGACTTAGCCCATTTTGTTCAGATACCCCACCTTATATGAAGTTGGCCCCCTCCCACCTGGTGCCCACATCTGCCCCCTACGCCTCCTAACCACAAGTTCCTGTTTTGACAGCACAGCTGTATAAATTCATACCTCTCGTTCATCCCTTCTGAAAATGTAATTTCTGAGGATGTGACTTTCTTTGATATAAAACCTGATAATTTTCCACTTTTTTGAAATGTATCTTGTGATTACAGTTGCGTCTTCTGTCCCCACTTTTTGCAGTTTTTAGTTTTATAAGCCTGTCCCTACCCTCAACTGGAGTTGTCTACCACGCGGCCTGCGCAATGGTTTCATTAATGAGGTTCTTGGCATAAAGTTAGTTAGAAGAGATCGAAATAAAACACACAGACTCAGTTACCTTATTTCTATTGCCAGGTCCGAGACGGCTCCCCTCTCTGGCTCCAACCTCTAACCGCCCAGCAGGGCAGCAAGGATTACTCAGGGCTAGCAGGAGAGAGAGAGAGTGAACACGCCAGGGAGTAGCCTTTTATTGGGGAACAAGAAATTCAGGGGAGAATTCCATCCAATGAAGGTTGAGGGGGGACTGCACTCCAAGGTCAGGGTCAGTGATTGGGCCCCCGGGGTCAGTGGTCAGTCACACCTCCACACGGACGGGTTCTCTCATCAGGAAAGGGCCGGGAAAATTCCGACACAGCCAGAAGCCTCAGACCCTTAATGGGAGTCGCCCAGTCACCCAGTCACGTGTCAGGATGGCTTCCCACAGAGTTGAGATGTGGCAACACATTTAGATCTGTGTTGCTGCCAGCAATACAGGTTGCATGTTCTGCTTTTACATTGACCTGATGAATTAATCAGAATGTGTCAGAACATTATGAGGCACAATCTACCAAGAATTATAAACTATGGCTAAGAGGGACTGTGGGAGTCCTGGGTGGTATATTGCTGCAAGTCATCCATGGGCTGCGTGTGGGCCACCACACATGAAGCCTAGTAAACAGGAACACGTAGGCTTTGGGAAAGGCAGTGGACACGTGCTCTGGTTAACTGCCCTCACACATTATGAATTCCTACCCTGCTCTGCCTTGTCCCAAACAGCACCTGAGATGGGTGTGACCTGTCAAGATGTCAATCAACTTGCTGACTGCAAGATATAACCAAGAAAGACTCCGCCCTTGAAACCTCATCCCTGCCTTTGATGTCCTCCCTTGAGTAAACCCCTGGAGCCATCCTTCTTTGTCTAACTCAGCCTCTTGTGTGGACTGGATTTATCAGGGCTCCATTTTTGGAAATATATTTCTATCCTTTTTGTCTTTTGTTCTTCACTATTTTTTTAATATTTTTTAGATGCAGTTGGCACAATACCTTTATTTATTTACTCATATGTGGTGCTGAGGATCGAACCCAGAGCCTCACATGCTAGGCGAGTGCTCCACTGCTGAGCCACAACCTCAGCCCCTTCACTAATTTTTTAGACTTTAAGTTCTCAGGTGGCTTATGCTCTCAATGGCATGAAGAAGAACCCCACAATGAGGCCATCGCTTCCCTGCAGTGTATAATGTTAAAATTAATTCATAAGTAAAGCATTCAGAATACTAAGAACAGATGAGAACTTACTCAAACTAATAGAGGGTATTTATGAAAAACCAAAACTAACAACAAACTTAATAGTAAAAATCCAGAACGTTTTTCCATTAGAGTTGAGAACAAAGTTGCTTTCAACCTTTCCATACATCACTATACTAGAAAGTCTAACTAGTTTGGTAAGGTTACAAATAAGTAAAGGCATCAAGATTGGAAATGCATAGTAAAACTGTCCTTATTCCTAGACAATATGATCTCTATATGGGAAATCCTAAGAAGAATGAAACGCCAAAAACTGAGAGAAAACCTTTGCAAAGCATAGAATAAGTATACAGGCTATATAAAGAATTCTCAAAAATCAACAATACAAAAATAAACCTCTCCAGAATACTGGCAAAGGACTAAAGACATATTCACCAAAGATGATACACAAGGGCAAGTACATGACAAAATGCTTACCATAGTCAGCCAATATTAGACACAGACCAAAACCACAAAATACTGCTTTATGCCTCTTACAAAGCCTACAAAGAATGGCTGTGGAAATGCTGAACTCCCACATTGTCACAAGCTGTCCCTGGGCTGTGTGTGGACTACTGAGCATATCAGCCTCCCCAGGGGATCAGTCTGGCATTGGGAACTCCCTATGGCACACCCCGCCCCCCCACAGAGCATGACCACCTGATACACTGAACTTCCCCCTCAAGCTTGGCCAAAGATCCACCCAGCACCTGAGATGGGTGTGACCTGCCAAGATGTCCTTCAACCTTTGGACTACAAAGACTCTGCCCTTGAAACCTTATCCCTGCCTTTGATGGACCCCCTTAAATAAACCTCCAGAGCCATTTTCCCTTTGTCTAGTTCCAGAGCCCATGTGGACGAGCTCTATCAGGGGCTTTGCTTTCTTGTAAATATATTTCTGAGTATTTGTGCTATGTTATTTGCTAATTATTTGAGATTTTAAGTTTTAGGGTGAATTGGATTCCCCTGGGCAGGAAGAACCCCCCCAAAGAGACGCTGCCCATGGTCTTCCTGATACCACAGGCCAAGTACAACCACTCTGGGAAACAAACGCTCCCGAGTTTCTCAAAAAGTTAAACATATACCAACTGCATAATCCACTTCTAGAGATGTGCCCCAGCGAAAGAAAAATATCTGTGAACACAAAGACCTGATCAACAGTGTTCACAGGAGTCGGACTTCAGTAGCCAAAAGTGCTGACCAAGCAGCGAATCCACCCACCGGCAGAAAGAATTCTAAGGAAAAGGAACCGCTCCTTCACACCAAAGGGCGACATCAAAATGCTGCGTGAAACAGACCAGACAAAGGGCCCTCGTGAGTCAAGCAGGAGGCCACACCTGTAACCGCAGCTACTCAGCGGCCCAGGCAACCTGCGGGGCGCAGGTCAGGGGTCGTGCTGGCCCCACGCGCCCAGGCCCTGGCTCCATCCCCAGCACCAGACACGGAAGCAAAGTCCAGGCTGCGGGCTGGGGAGGCAGGAAGGTCCGCCGTTGTGCCTGGGCTGAGAAGGGACTGCGGCCTGGGGACCGTCGGTGGGGTTAAAATCCGACTGTGGCCATGGCTGCACGACCTTGGAACACCGTCAACCCCTGGAGTGGTTCAGGAGGCGAGCCTTATAGTACTTCAATTAAACCTCAACAAAGTCTAAAAAGAAACTTCGACAGCTCAAAGGGAAAGAGGGAATGAAAAAGCATCAACCGGGGTCAGGGGGATAGCTCCAGGGTCCAGCTTGGCGCCACAAATAACTGCAAAAGCAGGGTCGGGGGAGACTGGAGGAGCGAGGGCAGGACCGCCGGGAACCACCTCCAGGGGCCTGGAACCGCCTGCTGCCTCAGTGGCCCACCACAAACTCCCCCGCCCCCGTACGAGGACGGAACCCAGAGGCGCTTAACCACCGAGCCACGCCCCCGACCCTTTATTTTTACTTGGGGCTGAGCTGCTGAGGCTGGCCTCCTGCTGGCCCCTGCCTCCTTCGGCCTCGCCTCCCCAGCAGCCAGACCAGCGACGCCTCTGCGCCAGCTTAAGGCGACGGTGCCATCCGCCCGCAGGTCGGGCCCTGGGTGGGGTCCTAGACCCTGGTCCGGCGCGGCCCACCCCACACGGGGGTCCCCGCTCGCCTGCCTCCCGCCACTCCGGCGTCGCCGCTCACCTGCCCGACGCCTCCACACCCGGAAGTCCCAGCGCCGGCCGCGACGCCGGGAAGGGGCAGAGGGGATGGAGGCAGTTGCACAGTACCGAGGAGGCCACGCCCACCGCGGCCTTCTGCCGAGAGGGACTCCGGGACCCAAGATGGCAAACCCCTCCCGCCCCTCAAGGCTTCATCCTTCCGCTTGACCGGGACGGTCTGCGACGCCGTGCTAACCGCGAACGTTCTCGGAGGCCAGTGCCTGCCCGAGACCGACCGGGCGCCGGCGGCATCTTGCGCGTCCGGCCGGGGAGGAAGAAAGATGGCGGCTCCCTAGGGACGCCATGGGAGCGGCCATCGTGGAGGACGGCGGATCCGTACACAGGGCACGCTAGCGCCCGCGACCCGGAAGAGATGCCGGGTCGGCGCGCGAGACGCACAGAAGGGCGTGCGCACCGGGCAAGGAGGGCATTCTGGGTTGTGACGCAGGCGTACGTGGAGCGCTAGGAACCAGGATTCGGTGCAAGGCGAAGCCCGGAATGGGCGGGGGCCTGTGAATCGCGGGCTCTTGCTCCGGGCTGTGCAGCTGCCTCCAGCGGGGAAGGGGCTGAGGGTCAGGAGCTGCAGATTGTCGGTCCTTCCGGAAGCAAGCCGAAATGGCGGCAGGCTCTGGGGACTGGCCGTCAGGAGGCCGCGGTCCTAACGCCTTGCGTCGGTACCAAGGTTCTGCCTTTGTTTTTAAGCCCACTTAACCTCCGGCGGGCGCCGGCCCTTCTTGTGATCCTAGCGGATCGGGAGGCGGAGGCTGGAGGAGCACAAGGTCAAATCCAGCCTCAGCAACTTAGGAGACTGGGGACGTGGCTGAGTGGAGGAGCAGTAAGGGTTCGATTCCCAGTGCCCAGGGACAGAAATAAGGACACAAAAAAGCCTGTATTACAGTTGTCAGTATAAAATTTAACTGTATTTTCAGAGTACCAAAAAAAAAAAAAAACCGGCAGATAGTGTGTGTCATCTCGCTGGTAGCAATCAGGTTTGGTTTCTTTCTTTCTTTTTTTAATTGCGATTGGTTTAATAGCATGAGGATTTGTACTAGAGGTAGAGAATAATTGTTTACTTAGAAAAAAACTATTTTGCGATTCTCAAGTTAACATGTGTAATCATTAATTACCTTATCATAAACATTTTGGCTTTAGAAAAATAGTTTTAGATGATTGATACAGAAGGTCACCACACAGTAAATATAAAAGACTCGTCTCATTTCCCTTTATAAGGTACTCTGACATACATTTGAACATTTTGGGAGAATATATTGTTATTGATTCCTAGGTACAGTTATGGTGATTTGAGATTTTTTCATTTTGCTCAGATGTGTTTTCTAACTTCTGTACAGGAATTTATTAGTTTTTGTAATGGGCCACTGTAACACTGAGCAACAACTCCAGCCCTTTTAAATTTTATCCTGAAACAGGGATTCACTAAGTTGCCAGGGCTGGCCATGAACTTGAAGTCCACCTGCCTCAGCCTCCTGAATTGTTGAGATTATAGGCATATGCCAGCACATTTAGCTTGTTTGATTTCTTAGCGTTATTATGTTCCCTCCAGGAAAGTTTCTTTTAGAAATACAGTGTCCTGGGCTGGGGATATAGCTCAGATGGTAGAGTGCTTGCCTCACATGCATATGGCCCTGAGTTTGATCCCCACCAACATTAAAAAAAAGAAAAGAGAAATGCAGTATCCTAGAAAAAACAGAAACAACCCTGTAGTGTTCTAGACTTACAAATATCTCTCCTTTCCATACACTGAAGTCCTGGCTCCAATTCCATCTGCCCAGAAAAGTCTTCCCTGAACACTTACTAAAATACGCCTTTGAGTACAATCAATGAATGCACCAGACTTTATATTTCTTCCTAGTTTTTATCATCTGAATTGTGGAGGTTTTTTGTTTGTTTTCTGGTGGTGCTGGGGATGGAACCCTCGACCTTGTACAGGTGAGGCAGGCACTCTACCAACTGTACTGTATCCCCAGCCCCCAGCTGAATTGCTTTGTGTGGATTCCGTCTCCTCATAATCCATCAAGGCCATCACTTCACCTGCTTGGTTCTTTGATGTGTTCCCAGTGTTGACAACAAGGCCTGCAACATACAGAAGCTAACCACAATGAAACTCAAAGGAGGATCCACTCAACGTGGAATTGGGGACCAAATTCTACATGGCAGAGATGATTAGAGGACTCAGCATTTATAAGCTGGATTAAATAAACTTAATGATATCGAGGGAGATAAATGGAGAGAGAAAACAAGATCCTTGTTCCTAGGAAATCTAGAAATTTTTTCAAGCAGACATTCAAATTGATGTTCTGAAAAAGAGGAAATAATGGAAGGAAATGTATCATTGGGAATAAAATAAAAGCAACAAAAGAGGCAAATATCAAATATGGTAGGCTATGCCTTTGAATTTCAAAAATTGGGTTAAAACAAAAAAATTATCGTCTCATGGTTTCTAGTAGATGTCAAGGTGTTGACAGACATTTGCATCATGGAAATGTAAGTTAAGGCCATGATTATATTCCACCACACACCCAATAAGGCTAACTCAGTGAAGTTCCAAGTGCTAGAAAGGACATGGGACAATGGGGTGCTCACACTTCATTAGTGGGGATGTATACAGCCACTGTGGAAAGTAGCTTGACAGTTTCTTATAAACACACACTTATGAACCAACGGTTGTGTTCTTCAGTGTTTATCGCAGAGACCTAAAAACTTAATGTTCACACAAAATTAGATACATAGCTGTTCACAGCATCTGAATTCATGACAGCAAAACAGTGGAAACTCAAACGTCTATCAACAGTGGAGAAACACCACGGTTCAGCCATACAAAATCCTACTAACAATACACCCAACAACTTAGATGGATCTTAAAAGGCAATTTACTGAGTGAATAAAAGTTATATATGTTACGATTCTAATTTAATAGCATTCGTGAAATGACAACATTATGGAGGGAGGTTAAGTGATCGATGGTTGCTATGGCTTTGCGTTGGGGGATGTGACATTTCCTAGTGTTGGCACCAACAGTTTGGCATCCTAATTGTGGTGAACTTTTACATGTGGATATGTAAACAAAATTTTGTATATGTATACAAAATTCTTCAGAACTCTACACACCAAACCACACCATTTTAGCACATGCAAAAACTAGTAAGGTCCTGCCAGCTTGGTGGCACATGCCTGAAATCCCAGCAGCTCAAGAGGCTGAGGCAGGAAGAATTAGAGTTCAAAGCCAGCCTCAGCAAATATGAGGCACTTATAGCAACTCAGTGAGACCCTGCCTCTAAATACAAAATAGGGCTGGGGATGTGCTCAGTGGTCAAGTGACCCTGGGTTCAAACACTGGTACGAAAAACAATAACTAGTAAAGTCCAAATAAGGTCTATAACTTATAGGCCTGGGATGTGGCTCAGTGATAAAATGCATGCTTAGTATGCACAAGGCCCTGGGTTTAATCTCTAGTACCAAAAAAAAGCAATTATACTAATGTCATTTGAATTGGTTTTGTGTATTCTGGTTAAGATAATTGTCACTAAAGAGGCTGCATAAAGGCTACCCAGGAACATATATTTTGTAATTTCTTATGAATCTAAAATTCTTTCAAAACATTTTTTAGTAGAATCATATTTTGTAAATTACTTGATGCTACTTTAAACTTAAATATGAATTTACAGAATATATTCCTTTTAAAGGACATCAATAGAGCCTAAGATATGCTTGAGTTAATTATATGATACAAGATGAGCACGTTAACACTCCTGTATTGTATATATGCATTAAAATTAGTGATTAAAACACCTCACTTTAAAATTATGGATAGTTGATATTACTCAGGTTATCCTGTCTCAAAATGGACATCAAATATGATGACTTTAGACTTGTGATAGCCCTCCAAAAGACATCATTTTCATGAGACTTCTTTACTACATTGATTTTCTGAATTTGCTAAAGCATTCTCTATTGCAAGGCATGGTGGTGCACGCCTGTAACCCCAGTGACTCCCAAGGCTAAGGCAGGAGGATTACGATGTCAGTCTCAGCAACTTAGTATGACCCTGACTCAAAAAAATAAAAAGGGCTGGGGACACAGCTAGTGGTAAAGTGCCCCTGGGTTAAATCCCCAGAATCCACTCCACAAAAAGTCATTCTACATTTAATGTGTTGTTAAGTTTTATTTCTGTGTGCATTAATGACAGATATAAGAAGCAGAACATATTACTGAAATCTGCCCTATTCATTGCCATTTGAAATTCTTTCTTGTCCACAGTAAGATACCTGACAACTATTAAGGTTTTATTTCCAGGTAATGGCTTTCCTATGATCATTATGTTGCTACTATGTAGGAGTTCATTGATGGTCTCTTTTGATCACTAATGAGTTAAGAGTTTTTATTTTCTCATGGAAGGCCTTTCTAGTCTCCCTATTTATATTTATCTCATTATACACTTTTTTCAAGACTTTTCTGCCTTAAATGTATCAGAATGTTTTTCTGTTTATTTTCACATACTATGTGAGGTAATTACTGAAGGCACTAGTACATTCTCTGTATTCATTAAATTTTCACCCTATGCAAATTCCACAATCTCCCAATGGTGAAAATCTATGAACAGGTTGCTCTATGCTATATAATCATATGTGTTAGAAGCACAGTGATGTTTAATGAGTTCAAAGTACTAACACAGTTTGCCCCTACATGAGTTTGCTTATATGTAATGAGTTGAGATTCTGTGCAAAGAATTGCTACTGTCATATTTTTGATGAAGCCTGACAGGACAGCAAGGAACCCTAATAATTGAATGAGTAAAGTTTCTTCTTCCTTGTATGAATTCTTTGATGTACACTAGGTGCATCATATAATTTAAAGACTGATTCATGTTGAGGGCATTCCCATACTGAGTTAATATGGTCCATCTCCTGTGTAAATTCCTTCATGGATGAGATGGAAGGTGTATAAAACTTTTCCACCCTTATTCTACACAAAGAAGTCTATCCTATGTGAAATCTTGGAATGTTACACAAGACTTTTTCTACCTGAAGGCATTACCATGTTCATTATATTATTAGGGTTTGTTTCCATTATGTATTCGCTGATGTACGATGAGATTTCTCTTTGAAGAAAAGCCTTTCCCACATTCACTGCATACAAAGGGTTTCTCTCCAGTATGAGTTCGCTGGTGAACAACTAGGCGACTTTTCACAGTGAAGCCTTTACCACATTCATTACATGCATATGGTTTCTCTCCGGTATGAACTTGCTTGTGTAAACTGAGCTCGGTCTCCATGGAAAAGCCTTTTCCACATTCATTACATATGTAGGATTTCTCAGCTGTATGAGTTTGCTGATGTACAACAAGATAGCGTTTCATGGTGAAGCCTTTTCCGCATTCAGTGCATGTAAACGGTTTCTCACCAGTATGAGTCCGATGATGTACCACAAGATTGCTCTTGAAGGCAAAACCTTTTCCACATTGACTGCATATGTAGGGTTTCTCTCCAGTATGAGTTCGCTGATGTAACATCAGTCCACTATTCACAATGAACCCTTTCCCACATTCACTGCATTTGTAAGGTTTCTCTCCAGTATGAGTTCGCTGATGTACAATCAGTCGGCTCTTCAAGGGGAAACCTTTCCCACATTCACTGCAGATGTAGGGTTTCTCTCCTGTATGAGTTCGCTGATGTATGATGAGCATGCTCTTCACAGTGAAGCCTTTTCCACATTCATTACATAGATAGGATTTCTCTACTGTATGGTTTCTCTGATGTACAATGAGATTACTCTTCCTGGGAAATCCTTTTCCGCATTCATTACATACATACGGTTTCTCTCCAGTATGAGTTCGCTGATGTTCAATCAGACGACTCTTCATAGTAAAGCCTTTCCCACACTCACTGCATATATATGGTTTCTCTCCTGTATGATTTCGCTGATGTATGATGACATAGTGCTTTGTGGTAAAGCCTTTCCCACATTCACTACAGATATAGGGTTTCTCTCCTGTATGAGTTCGCTGATGTATAATAAGCATGCTCTTCACAGTGAAGCCTTTTCCACACTCACTACACACATAGGACTTCTCTCCAGAATGGTTCCGCTGATGTACAATGAGATTACGCTTGCCCGGGAAGCCTTTTCCACATTCACTGCACACATAGGGTTTCTCTCCAGTATGAGTTCGCTGATGTTCAATCAATCGGCTCTTCATAGTAAAGACTTTTCCACATTCACTGCATATACAGGACTTCTCTCTTTTATGAATTCTCTGATGTTCATTGAGCCTGGACTTTCTGGAGAATACTCTGGCACACATATTGCATCCATAGGGTTTCTCTCCTGTATGTACCCTCTCGTGATCAGTGAGCTGAGACTTCTTGAAGAAGGCTTTCCCACATTCACTGCACACATGGGTTTTCTCTATTTCATGGATTCTCTGATGCTTAATGACTTGGGACTTGTCACTAATGGGTTTTCCGCTTACAGGTAACTTAACTGCAGAATGGAATTCCTCATATGTCTCTTTCAGAAATGATTCCACATTTCCCTTAAATTTAGTAGAGTTCTTATTGCCATAGTTTTTGTTTTGGTTGACTAAACTTAAATTTGACTTCAAATTCCTTATATATACCTCAGTCCTATTATGATTTTCTTTGAAAGGAAAATGACTTTTGTTTTGAAGTTCATATTTTTTTATAATCTTCAGCATTCTTTGATTTTCTGAGTGACCCTGAAGATGATCAACTTTGTCATTTTCTAGGAAACAAGAGAACAATGAATCCTTCATAACTTCTGTGGAATACATCTTAGAAGAGTACTTGCATGAGAGAAGCCCTAGGTTCAATACCCAGCACTGTAAGTTTAAAAAAAATGCATGGAGGAGATAAACTGAGGCAGACATAAATTATGACCTGGTTTGGACTAGAAGTGATACCGGATGCAAAACAGTCCTTTCTAGTTATGATAGTCAACAGAAGCAGACCTTTAAGGTCTACATGTGTAGAAAGAACTTTATAACATGCAAGATGCCACCAGCATGAATAGGATGGTGAGATGGTGCTTTTTTAAATACCTTTATTTTATTTATTTTTATGTGGTGCTGAGAACCAAACCCAGTGCCTCACACATGCTAGGCAAATGCTCCACCACTGAGCTACAACCCAACTCCAGCGAGATGGGTTTTTTGTGGAAGGAAGATGATTCCTTTCCTCAGAAACTGGAAAGCCACAGGCCAGCTGCCATAGAGGAAAGTAAAACAGGTAGGACTAAAGTACATATTAGGCAATATTAAGCAAGATATCAATTGAGAGTCTCATTTAGAGAACAAAGAAAGCTCAATCATGGTACAAAGATTAGAAAAACAGCACAATAAAACAGAAAAACTATTGAAGAACCCTCAGAATGGGGGGAAAACAGCTAAGGAATCATCTAAATTCACAATAAGCTCAAATTATAGTGAGGACACGATATACATGGTGGGTCTGGATGTTCAGATGAGGAACTGGTCATTCCCAATGGAACAGGAAAGCAGAAATCAGAAGACAGATGATGATTTCACAGATCTCTATATGGAACGAGGTCTGGAAGGTGGAATTCCAAAGAACAGGTAGAGACACTGTGACAGGTATAAAAAGGGGTAAGAGAAAAAAGTAATTTAAAACGGCAGGGTGATAGAAGCCAAGGAACAAAATTAGGCAAACAAACAAAAAGCAAGATGAAATAGGCAAGTATCAGATCTCCAAAGACAACAAAAGGATATACTTCCCTCTCAAGACCTAAAAGAAACATTCTGAGATGGGGAAAGAGATCCATGCAAGCTGTGTTTCTGTATACTCAGATACCGATGTGTTTTTTTCTGACCAATTAGAATAAGATTCTGTGCTGAAACATCTTGCAGTTCTCACCTGGACAGATCCAAGTGTGCATTTCATCTTCTGTCCAAGGTTCTTCCCCTTGTTCCAATTTGGAAAGAGCATCTGGCTTGCTGACTGGATACCCTGTTTGTGGGAAGTGAGAAAAGACTTGGACACAGCTATGGGGCTGAGATGTGTCAACATGGGAGAGGTTATGTTCAAGGATTAGACAGCTTTCCCAACTGCAAAGCAGAGGCTTTTCTCTCAGGAGCTAGCACATTAGACCCTCTTGTCTGGAACCAAGAATCTACCAGGAAAAAGCGCTACAGAGCTCTGGCTCATTAAGTAGCTATTAAAGGAAAAGCCACAGACTTGCACCCTCTGCGCTACACAGGGCAGCCATCCTCACCCACTGACACCAGATTGCTGTAGTTCTCCAACATCACGTCCCGGTACAGGTCCTTCTGCCCAGGGCCCAGGAGCTGCCACTCCTCCCGAGTGAATGCCACAGCCACATCCTCCAGTGTCAGCAACTCCTGTAATAACAGAACCCTAATTAATCTGAGGGTTGTTATTTACTGATTCACAAAGAATGAAAAGGAAGTTGTGCTGCTCATAATAATGTATATTGGCTGAATATATAAGCCTACTGTATTTTTAATACATAGTCATAGAATCAATCTCCAGATATTCTACAACTGTGCAGTGAGCTATTCACCCAACCAAGTATAAGGTTTCATAACATGCACCATTAACTCATTAAAAACAAATTTTATGTACAATTTTTCATTTCAGCATCTATTGACAATCAGAATATTAAATACTGCTGTGGATGTGGCTCACTGGGTAGAGTGTTTGCCTGACCTGCCCCAAACCCTGGGTTCAACCCCAATACCACAAAAAAGAAAGAAAAAAAAATTAAATGCTGGTGACATCCAGACATATACTATAGATTTCTGTATGTGAGTCTTCCTGACTAACACCAGAGTAAAACATGGAAGAGATGCCAGAACTTCAGGACACTATATAAGTGTTTAATTACAGAATGCAACAACAACAACAAAAAGAAATATACATCAAGTATAAGAATTGTTATAGACTGATCAAATTTGAAAAAATTATTTTTTTGAAAATATATGTATTAAATACATGTATACATAAGAATGCACCCCCTCACACACACACACACACCCCTATATATCCAGATATCTGCTTATAGAAAGGTTAAATTAGAACAAACTGAAAAGATAATGAACCGGAATGTGCATTTTAAAAAATAAATAATCAGCTGGGTACAGTTGTACTCACCTATAATTCCAGGAACTTGGCGGCTGAGGCAGAAAGATCTCAAGTTGAAGGCCAGCCTCAGCAACTTAGCAAGGTCCTAAACAACTTAGCAAGACCCTGTTTCAAAATTATTTAAAAAAAAAAAAAAAAAAAAAAAGGGCTGGGGATGTGGTTCAGTGGTTAAGGGCCCTTGGATTTTATCCTTGGAATCAAAATAAATAAATAAATAACCAAAAATGAAGCAGAAAGCCAAGCGTGGTGGTGTGCACCTGTCGTCTCAGCTTCTTGGGAAGCCAAGGTGGGAGGGCTTTATGAGCCCACAAGTTTAAGGCCAGCAGAGACACAAAAGGCAAATTTAACAAATATGGAGAACAGTGAGACATAAACCTACACATAATTCATACTCAAATAGAAAAAATACACAAAGATCTGAAGAGTAAGCAATTTTCAGAACTGATAAAACATGCCACAACCAGAGTTAGTTATATTAACCGCAAAGCCAAGCCAGAAATCTGCATTTAGGTACATCAGATAGAAACTGCGTAACACTAATGCAAATGTAAAATTATGACAACACTAGAAAACATTACTACAAAGAAAAGATAACATGTACTGACAGGTGACTTCTCCACAAATACGGTGCAATCCAGAGAAGTGTACAGTAGCCTCTTCATGTGGCAAAGCAGCCTAGCCCTGACTGCCGCTGGAGAAGGAACTGGGACCTGCTTGTCCACTACTGCATTCTTCTGTCTCAACATGGCTTGCAATCATAGAGCAGTATGGGAAATTGAGATGGGGAAGCCTAGGGGGAACGGAAGACATTTTATCCCAATGTCATTGCAGAGATTATTACACAGAAAAGAAAGAAGACTTGGTAGAGGCCGCAAAAACTTCTTTTAAAGAGATGAAATCTTGCAATGTTGTTCAAGCTGGCCTCAAATGACACTCTCTCTTACCTCGGCCTCCTAAGCAGCTGGGACTACAAGTCACTGTCCCTGGTTTAAGGCTACAATTTTTTCCCTCAGTACTTGGAATTAAGCCCAAGGCACTCTACCACTGAACTACATCCCAGCCCTTTTTACTTCTTTATTTTTTTTATTTTGAGTTAGAGTCTTCCTAAGTTGCCAATCATCCTACTTCAGCCTCCCAAGTCGCCAGGATTACAGGTGTGTGGCACCACACCCAAGGAGGCTGCAAGTTCTTTGTTTTTAAGCTATAGGTGGACACAATACCTTTATTTTAATTAACTTTCCTCTTTTTTTAATGTGGTGCTGAGGCTCAAACCCAGTGTCTCACACATGCCAGGAAAGTGCTCTACCACTGAGCAACAACCCCAGTCTCTGGAAGTTCTTAACACTGCTGTTCTTATCACATTCTGAATTATTTCACATGAAACAAATCCCCTTAGAAAATACACAAGCCAAAAATCATATAAACAACCCCTATTAAGCTAAGAAAAAAAGATTTTTAATATACAAATAAGAATAGGCATTTCACAAAAGAAAAAAGTCCTAACCAACAAATATACAAAAGACTTCAATTCTACATGTAACAAGGAAAATGAAAATAAGGAAAATGTAAAATAAGGAAAAAGAATATTAGGACACTCAGAAGAAGATTGAAAATTATGTTTTTTCTTTGCTTCTTTCTTTCCCTTTTTTTTTTTTTTGTGTGTGTGTGTGTGTGTGTGTGTGTGTGTGTGTGTGATACTAGGGATTGAACCCAGGGTTGCTCTCTACAACTAAACTATCACCAGCCCTTTTTATTTATTTTATTTTGAGATAAGGTCTTATCTAAGTTTCCCAGTCTGGCCTTGAATTTGTGACCTTGTGTGCCACCACACTATGAGCTATGAAACTTGGTAACATCATCAAGTATTACTTAAGGCATGGATGACACCACATATCACTTATTGTATAGTAGGCACTCATCTAAATGCTTTACTTACATTAACTCATATTTTGTAGTCTGAGTATAATCAAATATAATTTTATATGGTGAACATTCTTCATTTGATCGCAGCTGTTATTCCTTTACATCTTTAAATTATACCATTGTAGACCAATAGGTTATTTTCTTTTGAGTATGATCCCATTGGTGCACAAATTTACCATTGGTGCAAATTAAATACATGTGCTTATGTACACAAACATGTATATCAATATACACATATTTGTAAACATACATACATATGTAGACAAAACACACGTTTAGTGACAGTTAAGTAACTACCAAACATTTGCTAAACCAGTATGAGGAACTTAGGAAATTACAATGCAGTTAGGGAATTTTTTTTTTCTTTCAGATGAGGGTGGACTCACTACACAGTCCAGGCTGACATTGAACTCCTGTGCTCAATTGATTATTCCACCTCAGCCTTCTGAGTAACTGGGACTTCACCCCCTTGCCCAGCTGAAGAGAGTATTTACTTTCTGTTAATACATATGTCTGTGTTGAAATTTTGTTCTCTAAAATGTATATGATATTTAGTTACAAAAAATAAAAGTAGGTAAGAAATTTGGAAGTAGAGGGTTCTGTATGTTGAGATGACAAACACTGAAGAACCCAACAACTCAGACATTTATCAAACAATATTTCTTAAAACTCCCAAATGCTAAATCTGTACTTAAACACCAGTTCAGCTACCTGTTCAGGACAGGTGAACCCTTTCTATTTCCAAGGCCTCTCTTTATTCCTGGATAAACTGAGTCCTCTGAGTGGCCTTACTTTGATGCCTTCATAAATTGTGTCCCCAGTTAGCTTGGTCTATTCCCACAAGAGTCTCTGAGGAACCTTACCATAAACAATAGAAAACATACCCTTGTGTATATATAAAGAATACTGTTCAGTGTCCACCCATCACCTCTAGAAAGACTATCAAATTTTTCCTAATACCTGAATGCCATGAAACAGTGACATCAGGGATGATGCTGGGGCTCAGTGGCAGAGTGCTTTGCTAGACTGCATGAGGCACTGGGTTTGATCCCCAGCGCCACATTAATAAAAAAAAAAAAAAAAAAAAAAAAAAAAAAGAACATACTCTGTCCATCCACAACTAAAAAATAGAAAAACAAAACCAGTGACATCATCCCCCCAGAATCGGTCTGCTTACTCCTCGCAATCACTGTTTCTTATAACTCAGCGCCATTCCCCTGTGGTGGTGGCTGTCAGGGCTGAAGGCACGAGCTGACAGTTAACGCCACCACGATATCCTTTTGATTCACACATGTCATTCCACCAGTCACTTAGTGGGAATCATAAGAACATCAGAGTCCCACGATGCCATGATGTTGGAGTTAAAAGAGTCAAACTTGATTTCTCTCTAGACACTTTCTGATGATTAAAAAATCACAGGCATTTACAAATCTATGAGCAAATATAAGGCAGTCTGAATAGAACAAGAAAAAGTCACCTGAACACTGCTCATTTTCTTCTGTGGGGGTAAGTGGCTAACTTCCGCGTGTGCCCCGATGTCCTGGTGAGCAGTCCCCGTCATCAGGAAGGGTGTCCAGTCCGGGATGCCTCTTCCTTTCGTCCTGCTGCAGGGCCTGCGGGGTGGAGAGCGCGACGCCTCTCACGGTCCGTTCTCTAGCACTCAGCTCAGCTCCCGGCCCGAATCCCGTTCTCCGGGGGACTCTCAGCCCGCCTGCGGCTGCGTGGGACAACTCCGCGTTCCCGAGGAGGCGACCACGGGGACCCGGCCGCAGGGGCAGACGGCGGCCTAGTGCCTGCACCCCGACCTCAACAGGAAAGCGAGGCGCACGCCGAGGAAGGACGGAGAAAGGCCAAGAGCCGCGGACACACGTCCGAAGCCCAGCTCACCGGGTCACTCACGCCCACAGGAACCTGACGGCGGACACTCGGCGACCGCGACCCACAAGAGGACAAAAAACTCCACTCTGCAGCGCCCTGAGCCTTCCTCCGCCCCTCAGCCCGGCTCCCGGGCGTCCGGAGGTGGTCGCTCGGCGCCAGGCTGAGCGCCGGACCCGCGCCCGCCCGCGTCCTCGGCAACCTGCCCGGGCCGGACCTCCTGCCCGCAGGCGGAGCGCCCGCAGCCCTGCCCCAGGGCCTCCCGGCAGCCGCCGGCTCCGCCTTCCAATGTCCGAAGTGCGGAGCCCGCCCGCCGGCGGCGCCGGGAACGCTCCCTTCTCACCCTCTCAAGGGCCCCACACCGACCGACAAGGGCCAGAACTTACTTCCCCGAACTTCCTGCGCTTCCGTTCCCCCTTGAAAAGACCAAGGCGGGCGGCCGCGGCGTTTCCATGGAGAACTGACCGCGGACCGCGAGCTTCCGGCTCTATCCTGTGACGTCAGGACCCGCGCCGCAGCCGCCAGGTGCCCTGGGCCCCGCCATCTTTGGGCACCTTCCGTACAGCTTCCGGGACCCGCTGGCGCGGCTGCGACCGTCTCCAGGCAGAGCGCTTAGGCCCTGGCCGGGAATGGAGAGTGTCAGAGGCTCGAGCTCACACAAGGCAAGCACGGCTATGGGCAGCTCTTCTCCACGGACGACACGCAGCCCAAACCTGGAAGGTCTGGCCGGCGCTTTCCCGAAGGCGCCGCTTCCGCCCCCCGGGGCCGTGGCGGCCGGCGGGATCTTCAAAGGGCTTTAGGGCGCCTCAGTCACCGTTTCTGACGCGATCGCTTCCGAGGCCGTGTGAGACCGTGCTGGCCCGGAGCTGGCGGTGCCGTTAGGGAGCGACCTGGGGGTCCCGCCGCAGGGGAGCGGCTCCGGGGACCTCCGGTCGTGGGTCTCCGACTTCCCCGGCTCAGATGGGCCTCCTCGGTGGATCCACCCGACTCGCCCGTTCACACTGCCTGCCTGTCTTGACGCTGGCTTCACCGGGACTCCACCTAGGAGAGGGCGAGGACTCTAGAAAACAGGGACGCGGGAGGTGGTTTAGGGGACACAGAAACGTGTATTTTCATTTGATACCAACTGGGAATTATGTTTGCAGTCAGCAGCGGCACAGGCCTCTAGTCCACCTGTTAGGCTAGCCTCAGTGACCCAGTGAGACCTGGGCTCAAAAAATTAACTAACTAAAAAGTACTGGGGGCATGTTGCTCAGCTGGTAAAGCAACCTGGGTTCAATCCCCAGTACTAGGAAACAGGGAGGGAGAGAGAGACGTCTGGGGAGTCAGCTCGGTGTAGAGGGCTTGGGGAGCATTCCTGAGGCCCCACCGAAGAAAGTGGGGAGAAGGCAAAGATGGACCCATTACAGCAAAGAACCAAGATTTCAGTCATGCAAATATTCCGACTTCTGGTTTGGAAAAGCCCACCAAGGGTAACCAAATATGGATTATACAGATCAGAAAAATAAGCAGGACACTTGTTTCAGAAATCGCATCGAAGAGGCAAGTCAGAGTATCAAATCGGCACGTTCATTTGAGCTCATCTGCGATATTTTTAATATCTGTGATATTCTACTTCTAAAATGTACTCATTCTACTTCTAAAATGTACTCATTTTCTTCCTGCTGTAGTAATTTTCCCACAGTTCTGACCTCATGTTTGGGGGACACTTATTTTCAATATCCAACCTTTGTCTGTGGACGCATTCTTTTATGTTCCTCAAGAGGGAAAGATGAACGCAGCATCCTTTGGGAAGTGTGAATGCGGTGGGGACCACGTGCAGGTCCCTAGGAGTAGCTGTGCATCCGAACGGGAAAGGAACTGACCTCCACGATCTACACGCTGAACCTATACAGATGCCCACATCTAAACTAGTCCCATTTCCATGTCCTTAAAACACTGACCCCTCACCTTGCCAGTGACAGCATCCACCCTTGGAGGGGGAAAGCCTTGGTGCTGAGCGGGGGGGATCCTATGGTCTCCTTGGTTGATTCCTTCTAGCTGGCTCCTGGAGGATTGTCAAAAACAAGACAAAACAAAAAAGCGCGTGTCTTTGGTAGTTACCTTACCAGGGTGCCATTGGAATGCTGTAGATGGTAAGAATGCCACCGCCATCACGAGGGTGGACTTGGACCTTAAGTACCGAACCGAATTTGGAGCACCAGGTAAACGTGGCCTCAGACATAAGATGACTAGCATCCAATGTGCGAGCCTCAACCCACCATCTCCAGGAGCCCGGGCCTCCGGGGTCCCGCTGCAGGGGTGCACAGGCACTGCACGGAGACCTGGGGACGCCCCCCACCGGTGTCACTGCCTCCCTCCATGCCCGGAGCCTCGCGTGCAGCGGACCCAGCCTCGACCACCAGAGCCCCCGACCGCGGGTGTCTTGTTCCTTAACCTCCCCAGGACCCCTATCCAGTGACCCTCAGGCCCAGCACCAACCCAGACTCCCCTGACGCGCCCTCGCCGCCACGTCCACCGCCCTCGGCTCCCAAACCACATCCGGGCCGACTGGACCCGCGTCCCTGTCGCTTCAGCGGCGACCCTGAAGGCCGCGCCGGTGTGCACAGGTCCCCACAGGGCTGCCTGCGCCCAGAGGCTATGGGCAGGTGTCACTGAGAAGTGTCAGGACCTGGGGCCGCCCGACGCACACTTGGCGGTTAGGAGCAGGCGCTGTGCACGCAATCATCCGAGGACATGACGATTTTCCATTCAGCAAAGAGAGTCTTCTGGGAGAGATTCCCGGCCTTTAGGGAAGGACTCAAGGGTACTCAGGAGGGCCTCCAGCTTGGAAGTGCTGCTGGAGGAGCAGCAAGGCTTGCACAAGGCGAGATGGCTGACAGGAGTCACAGAGGCAGCGGTCAGAGTGGACCAAAGCTGCTGGCCTTTTGTGTGTCTGTCAGGGAATGGAGAGAATCATAGGTCAAATCTAGGGCAGTCCAGTGCCAGTGAAGACCAGTGCCCAAGCACAACCAAAGAGAGGGATGAGGTTTCAGATGTAATTGGATTATTTCCCTAAAAACACAAAAATTGTAAATGGAGCACACGAAAGTATTAAACAGCTAATGTAGTTTTCCTTTGAGAAACAGCATGCTTAGTATCAGCTATGGCCAGGGTGAAGCTGTAAAGGATTTAAGTTGGCATTGCCTTCTAAAGACACAATCTGAAATTGTCTTATTAAATTCTATTTACCTGGGATGCCAGCCTCTGAAGTGAATTCACCGTCTGGTTCTCAAGGAGGCCTGGGCAGCCCATTTGGGGACTCTGGCTGTCAGTTCAGGTAGTAACGCGCTGGACAGGCAGATTCACAGTGGTGAGCAGAGCCGCTCACGTGTGGGCAGAGCATCCATTTCTGACTCTTTACTGTTGAGCCCCTGAACTGAATGCAGTGACAGCCACTGCTTTGCACATTTTGCTCACCAGCTTAACTGGCGTCTACAGTAGTGCCTGATATGTGCGCCCCCCAAACTATGTGAAAAGGATGGACCCAAGAACTCAGGGATTCCACTGTGAGGCAACTTTACACCAAAAAGGACCCCCTGTTTCTAATCTGGATATTGTCTTTATTGGATCAAAATTGAACTGAGCATGGGAGAGATGTCAAGGGCCCCCATTCCCCAGAGACTGGCAAGGAACAAAAATAAATCACATTCATTTAGCATGTCACATAGGAGCCAGCATCTCTGAAATCATGGCAACTCTGAAGGCTGGGGCCTGTGGACCAATGAAAGGGTGCTTCTTCAAGATATCCAAAGGGATCTCTCTCCTTGACCCACCTCACACACTGCTGTCCTGTGTTTTGTGATTTTGTTCCTCTAATCCTTTAACTGGGCGCATTCTGTGACTTGAGGAAAGGTGGTGCTAGGATTGAACTCGGGGCCTTGTGCATGCAAAACGTGCTCTAACACTGAGCTACACTCCCAGCCCCATTGTGGATTCTATGGTCTGCTCCTTTTACATTATGCCAGATGCAAGTCACTATGAAGATAATTTTATTTTTTAAGTTTGTGGGGAAAATGATGATCCTTAGAATTTCTCCATTAGGCCCTTTCCTTCCACAACATTTTGATTAGTCCATGAAGTCATTCATGCACCCTCATCCATCTCCCAAGTCTACAATTAATTTCTATTTTGTTATGTACTGGGGAACTTACAATTATCTACAAAGTATAAAGGAATCTATGTAGACATAAAGATATGAACATTTTTAAAAAGTGTTCATACCTTGCTTCATGTGAGTACAACTAAATCAATCATCTGTCCTCCACAACTCCGCCCCTTTTCAACCAGTGTTTACAACCGCTAGCCACACATGCTGGAGGGTAAAACTGCTATGTGCACAGGACCCACCTAAAAAGAAATGCTCATTTAAAACCAGCAAGCGCTGACAGACATGGTGGCACTCAGCTGTAATCCCAATGACCCAAGGCTGAGGCAGGAGGATTACAGATTCAAGGCCAGCTTTGTGAATTTAGCAAGAGCCCCTCTCAAAACAAAAAGGGATAGGGATGTGGCTCAGTAATAGAGCACCCTGGAGTTTGATCCCCAGTACAAACAAAAAATTAGCCAGGGGTTTTGTTTCCTTCATCACCGCCATCACCTACTTTCTGCAACAGCACCAGCAAAAGCAAAATAGTTAGCATTTTTCTGTGTGGTGTGTTTATCAAAAATAACACAAACCACAGGGTTAGGATAATAACTGCATCCTGGGTTCAGAGTGAGGCTGGCTAGTCATGTGGTTTGAACTTCATTCCCCCAGTGGTATTTAAATAAATTGTTTCTTTTATAACCAAAAAAGTGTAAAGCTAATCATAATAATCCTGGGTAGAAAAAGAAGACTTGCGCCAGTAAAAAGGGAGAGAAGTTGCATTATAACTTTAACACAAATCACCTCCTTTTAATGAAGGAGCCACTGACAGTTTGACTTAAGGTATACTGTCCTAAAATGCACTCTGTGTGTT